TAAAATTGTTTGTAATGTTCCAGTGCGGTAGAGATTTTGTACGGGGACAGTAATTAAATTCGTGCTGCGGAAAAAAATATTCGGATTTTAATCAGAGAGATATCGAAAGCATTATGACTAGCACATGTATGTTCAGAATTAAGTACAAACATAACCTATTATTGCTTGTACATTTTTTCCACAAAAATTTTAACGCAATATTTGTCAGCAATAAATACTATTGCATTCGCAAACATTGTTGTTTTCACGAAAATATATATAACAGTGACAAACGTATTTTTTCTCTATGGTAAAAATAATATCTGGATGATGTGTCTAAGAAAAATCAAATTGTGTTCTTTGCAGTTGAGAGAGATCCCAAAAAGAGGAGGGTAAAACCGGTAGAATCGGCGCAGCAGTCTTTGCTCGACTTTGATTTAGGTGAAAGCTCAGATGACAGCGATTTTAGAATTGAGGATCATTGTGAGGAGTCCGATGATGATTCGGTAGATTCCAATGATGTTGGCAAAGGTGAATTGTATTAGCATTTATATTGCATTTATATTGTGCAGTTGAAATTGTCTTATGGCAAGAAAAGAAGAAAAAATAAGATTAAAGAGTCTTACTATATATATATGTGTATATATTGTACGTTGCAAAATTTTTAAATTGTAAAATGCATACTTTGCGAGAGTAAGTTTTGTGAGAGATTTAAGAAATTTATTTGCATATTTTTATAAGTTTTACATATAGTTTTGTAAATAATAATTTTAAATACACGTTTTTCATAGTAGAAGAGGAAGATGCATCTGAGGAATCAGATGATTCATTAGATGATCCATTGTTGGAAGGAAAAGACAATGCTGGCTTGACTGTAGGAGATGTTATTGAACAAGCTCGCCAGCAAGCTCTAAAGGGTGCACCTCTTGATGAGAAGCTAAATAAAATGCTAATTTGTTGTGGTTGCTTAGGAGACAGAAGTGATGACATAAATGAGATCGTTGAATGTGATGGTTGCGGAGTTAGTGTTCATGAAGGTATCTATTTAAAATATATTTAAAATATATTTAAAAATTATGTTTAAAACTATTTCTGTACTATGTACATTACAAACGAATATTAAATTTCAGGTTGTTATGGTGTATCCGATGTAGAAAGTTTCTCAAGTACTGACTCGCTATGCCAATCAGCACCATGGTTCTGTGAAGCCTGCAGTGCGGGCATCGAAGATCCGTCATGTGAGCTTTGTCCTAACAAAGGTGGAATTTTTAAAGAGACAGATGTCGGGAAATGGGTTCATTTAGTGTGTGCTCTTTATGTACCTGGCGTTGCTTTTGGTGAAGTAAGTTAATCTCATACTATGTAATATTTTCGAATAATTTCGTGAATTATGTATCTTAGGTTGATCGTTTATCGAGTGTAACGCTGTTCGAGATGGCGTACAGCAAATGGGGTGCAAAGACATGCTCTTTGTGCGAGGATTCACGTTATGCACGCACGGGTGTATGCATCGAATGTGACGCCGGAATGTGTCATACGTATTTTCACGTAACATGGTAATATTTTGATCAAGAAACACACATTTCAATTTACATTTTCAAAGTTTATATTATAAATTTAAAATTCAAAATATTATTTTCGCAGCGCGCAGAGAGAAGGCTTATTATCCGAGGCACACAGTGAAGAAGTCGATCAAGCTGATCCATTCTATGCGCATTGCAAATTGCATTCTGATAAATCTCTCGTTCGTAGACGTAGACGTAATTGGTTAGCTTTGCAATTACGTGCGCAATATCGACAACAAGTGTTGAAGCAGCCCAATCATTTAGACACAGATGAACAACGTAGAATTCAGAGAAAATTGGCTAAACACAGACATAAATATCTAGCTCACAAGGCGTCGCGTCCACCACCATGGGGTAAATCAATTTTTTTATCCAAACATTACATTTAAAATATGTATATATATATATATATATATATATATATATATATATATATATATTTCTAATATATATTTTTAATAACATTAATTACAGTACCGACACAAAAGATGCCACGCTTATTAACTACGTCTGCTTCCGCTTGTCGTCAATTGGCAAAGAAAGCCGAATTGATGGGCGTAGATACAGCTGCATTGGAAGCACAGGAATCTCAACTAGTTGCATTAGTCGACGTTAGAAAGAAGTGGCATATCGCTCCCGCCTTCAGCGTAGAATTTATCGGCTATTATTTAGATCGCAACTTGCGGGTGACGTCTATGAAGAGGCGGTTACAGGAACTCCTTGACATTAACTCGCAATTATTGAACGAACAACAGAGACTGGACAGAAAATACGACGAAGTAATGAAGGATAATGAAGAGCAGATCAAAGTGAACTTGACATTGAAGGGAAAGATCGACTTGTATCATCAAGTACTTAAGAGCGCTGGTTACGCAAAACCCTTACCGTCGATCGCCGATTTAGCGAAGCCAAGGATAACACCTACGCTTGGTAAGTTGCATCGTTTAAATTTTTAAACGTAATAAATACATGATGCATATTGTTTACAGGTACAGGATTAGGCGTACCTACGGCAGCTGCTTTGAAAATGGGTGTCGGATTTCCTCTGCCCGTGGGTAAAGGTGCCGAAGGTGTACGCGAGGGTAGAGTGTTGAGCAGCCAGGCGGCTCAAGAACAAAATCACAAAAGCGAACATACGTCTTTTCGACATCAATGTGGTATCTGTAGACGAGCGAGCGATCAACATCTTCTCGCACACTGCGATACATGTCATTTACACTATCATTTGTCCTGTTTGAGCCCGCCTCTATCACGAATGCCTAAGAAAACAAGACAGATGGGATGGTACGCAATGAAAATATGAATAAATTTTGAAGTTTAACATTTCAATTATTACATTCAAATTTTTCGATGATATTGCAACCGGCAGGCAATGCTCGGAATGCGATAAAGAATCATCGGGATCGGAAGTGGAACGCGTAGACACGTCAGCGCCGCGCAAATTAAGACACTGTAAAGATGACGCCAATTCGACACCTACACCGCCGCAGGAAATCCAGGCAACCGCGACAGCAGGCGCACCTGTTACGCTTAAGAATTCTAGCAATATAACAAACATTATTACTCCTGATACACATGCCACACCAAAAGTACTTAGTTATAAATAGAAACATTTTAGTTTAGCTATTTAACCATTAGTATATAATACATGAATAAATCTATCTTTATAGCTAACTATTAAACCAATGGGGCCGCAACCTTCAACTATAGAACAGACGGCTGAATCAATGTACAATCAACAATCTATTAATAATATCACTATGAGAGAAGGTTCACCAGAATACATGGTAGCTTCAGCAGATGGTACGGAATCTGTCTCTCAAAAAAGTGGAAAAAAGAGGAGGAGGTATGCATAAAACAGCCTAAATAAACAATTTATTATTTACATTTTACAAATATGATATTTATATAAATATTTTATTAGAGAAAAGCATAAGAGATATTCTCCAGATCCAATAACTGGGGTTAAACAGAGAAAAAGGAAGCATAAAAGGAAAAGTTTAGATATAGAAAATCCAGAAGTTCAGAGTCAACCAGAATTTCACAGAAGAATTACGATAAAAGTATTCCTTTGTTTTTTCGTTTTACTACATTAACTTTTATATCGATTTAAACATTAAACAACAAATATTGAATCAAACGCAGATAAAGTCAATTCCACGACCGGAAGGAGATGCAGCTTCAGAATCGAGTCCACAAATGTTCGTGGCCACTTCCACGAGTACCGAAATCACATTACCACCACCATCACCTGTGCCACCACCGGCTGTAAATGTCCCTCCCGTAAACGTGTCTGTGAATAGCAGTGGTCGATTGTCAACAGGAACGAAGAAAGGAAAAGATACGGATCTTATGACGCAATGTAACGTCTGTGATACTCCTGGCACCAACCAAAATCTCGTTATGTAAGGTTTGAAATTAACAACTATAATAGTTTAAATCTTTAAATGCATGGAGTTGTACTTCGGAATTACGAGATGTTATTGCAATGACTCTTTGCTACATGTTTAATCTTATTCGTTCTAGGTGTGACGAATGTAAAAAGTGCTATCACTTTACATGCTTAGATCCTCCTGTAAAGAAGTCTCCGAAGAGGAGAGGCTATTCTTGGCACTGTGCCGACTGCGACCCTAGTGTAAGTTCATAAATTTTTACTGTTCGTAAACAATATTTTTAAAAATACTAGAGATTGATGTACTTTTTATTTTGTCTTTCTCTCTCATATATATATATATATATATATATATATATATATATATATAATATGTATGTATGTAAATGTATACACATATGTATACACATTAAATCAATACATATAATACATAGAAGCCTTTAATAAATAGTTGTATAGCGTAAAAAATATTTTTTAGATAATTTTTTTTGACATATATTCTTTTTTATACATACAGTTTACAGAGACAATAAATATTAAATATGTAGATAAAATACAAAGTACTTTAATCTGAAATGTATACGAATAATTGATTGATTTGGCTTCAAGTGTGAATCAAATCTGAAATTATAGGCATCATCTCATGACAATGCAAAAATTAATATTACAAGGAAGTGGGAATAAATTTTTTTTGTCTGATGCAAACTAAATTATATTTATTTTATTTTTGACGTTATTTTGCAGCAGACTAAAAAATGATATATTGAAGTATTCTGAACTCTATTTTGTGTCTTCCGCTTAAAATATTGTCAATGGGGATATATATCATTCTGGCACATTAAATGTAATAAAAGAAAGAGACTTATAGTAAAAATATTTCTTTTATTTCAGGCCTCTGAAACTGAGACTTAATATCAACAATTTTCTATCTGCAACTACAATTCTACGTTTAAATAAATAAGGCATTCAATTGTTTTTTTTTCCTTTTTTTTCCTTTTTCCTTTTTTTATAAGATACATGAGAACAAAGAAGAAAAAATTTTGCCATAATTTAAAGAAAACGTAGATTTACAAAAAAATTATTATTACAAACTTATTTGAAAATGATTTATTTGAATCTTAGTGTAGTTCGCGCCACTTATTTCTCCTGTTGTTTCTTTCACCAATTTTTTCATAATGCTTTGTAGTTTTATATTGTAGCAATCCTGCGAGAAGAGATATTAAATAAATTTCTATAGCAAAATATAAAAGAAGTATACAAAAAATATTTTCGCATGGAAAGCATCATATTGTTTTACATTAAAAATTATAAAGTTCTTAAATGAACAAAAGTAGCAAGTTCATTAAACTATTCGGTGTTTAAGAAAACATTGAGATATAAACAACTTTATTCTCATGATAAAATCACTGCGTCAATATTACACTTTGTACATTCTAAGTTATATAAACCTTGCTATTGTAGTAAATAAAATTTTAATTATCATTATCTGTTTCCAATGAAATGAAATTATCGTAGAGTTACAAAAGAATCTTACAGTGTCTAACAAAAGACAAAAATGACGCTGTAAATTATATTACATTACTTTGGAAAAATATCTTTTCTTTCATTTTGCCCTGCATAAATCCATTTCTAAAGTCCATCGCATTCATAGGTGAATAACCTGTCATTGATACTTTTTTTATCGAGATCCAGCTCGGGCCTTTACACGTCACAATTAATGCACTGCTTTTCCGATCAAATCTTACCAAACCTGAAAAGATTGTTCACATTAATCACATGCCTTTCATTCGAAAATAGTATGCAACACAATGTGTGCGTGTGTGCGTGTATACATATATATATAATTATATTTTCAGATAAATAATTTTCTTTCCCTAGGAATAAACTGAAGGTTTAACGTTTCACAATTCTTGGAATTGATTTAGTACTGTACTGAATCATACAGGAATGACGATTGATTGATTACCTGGTACATCATTCTCCGCATTTATTACACTAATCGGTTTCGACGTCTGCTGAACATCGAATAATTTTATTGTCTTATCACCAAACTTTGTGGTTAATGGGTACAATCCTAGGAGACCGCGATGCAGATCATACACATTTTTCGCCGTCATCTCATCCCACTTCACCAAAGAAATTTTTGATGTAATTTTAGGTGCTACAATATGTAATCATTTTGTGTGAGAAATACTAATAGCAAAAACTTTAATTAATTAAAACACTGATTGTATTTTATTACTTAGCACAGCAGTAAAAAGACAAGTAAAAGACAGTAAAGTTACCATACGTTATGCCTATTTTTTCCTGTGGTCTCGAAGATGATAATATTTGTGGCAATTTTCCTATTACATCGACTAAAATATTTGCACCTATTTTTGCTAGTTTGATATGTAATTCTGGTAGAGTTTCATCTGCATGAATATCTAATTTTTCTTGTGCTACTATTTCCCCGACATCAAACCTGTAAGAACATGAAAATAATGTAGATATATCATATAATTGCAATTTGAGTTATATAAAAAAGTTAGACCCAAATATGTAATATTATTTTTTTTTTTTAACAATAAAACTTGATTGTAGATAGCTTTCTACATTTGTTTTATCAATTAAAATATAAAATATTTATGAAATTTTGATATTATAAAAAACATTAATATATAATTTCATATATTACATTCTTTTTGACACTCTTCTTTAAATGAAGAAAAGACATAAAAAAAATAAATTTAAGAAAAAAGTTATACTTTTCTGGCATTATTTTCATGACTGTAATTCCTGTCTGTGTGTCTCCATTAATTAAGGAATAAATTATTGGAGCTGCTCCTCTCCAACGTGGTAGTAGACTAGCATGGATATTTAACATACCACTAAAATAAAAAATAGTTGTATTAAGGTATATATTGTGTTACAGTACAATCTGTCTGTGTATATGTTTAAGATTGATAAAATAACTTACAGTGGAAAGGAATTTATAATATTCAATGGTATTAAATGACCAAAGGAAACAACTATCCCAATATGGAAATCTTGTGGATTGTTTTCAAGAGGCCATCGTTTAATATTTATTCCTTTTTCCTCTGCGTATTGTATAACAGCATTCTTTTTTCCTTTATATGCGGATACAACTTCTAATCGGCTTAGTTTCTTGGTTCTGCTAAATAAAAATATTTATAATGTTTTAAATTCATTAATTTTTTTTTCTTTAAAATAATTGCTCATAAAATCCAGGAATAAATTATCGATAAAGTACTAACTATTCGTTATACAAACTTCGTAAGCTTTCCAGAGCGAAATTATCCGTCCCGAAAAATAATACATTCCACGGACCACTGGTTTGAATTGAATGCAACTTTCTCTTGCGATGCCAAGAGGTTATCTCACTCGATTTTCCATTACTTTTGAATATTGTGAGAAAATACGAATATTTCTTTATTATACATGATGAGAAATTTATATTTAACATATCGTTGTATTTATTTTTACATAGAAGATTCATAAATACTGACATTCATAATTATTGAAATATTTAATATAATATTCAACGATGCCTGCAAGATGCTGCAGGATCACCATCAGTCATAGACATAAAATATATATATATAAGGGATACCAACAATTTTGAAGTGTGTCGAGCAATTCGACTTGGAATTTTTCGACTTGTCCACCAATCATAAACCTAACCACCGAATTATTATTAAATTCTTTGCCGAAATTATAGTAGCTAATTTCGTCTACATATTTTATATGTCTATAGTCTATGCCATGGTCAATTTATTTGATTTACGTTTTTGCAGACACATATTTTTACCTAAAATGACATCTTGGCTAATATTACATTTGTAGAACACAAGGTAAAAGTTTTAAAATCTCACGATAGAAATTTCGAAAAATCCTATCTCCGATAAATAATTAGTACATTCGATTTTTATCGTACATTTTATTACAACTCTTCTCACATATATACAACTATAGAGAATTTTCATGATATCAGTTAAATGCAAAAATTCTTTTATAACAATAATGTTAAGCAAGTAAAATTTATTTCTCTGTAATAAATATTTCGTAATATTTTGCGAGACTTTTATGTGAAATGTTTAATAACACAATAAAGTAAAAAGAAAAAATTAGAATAATTTAAAAAGATTGTATATATAGAGCATATAGATGTTTCATGATGTGTAAATATAAATATATATGTTTACGTATCTCTTTCTCCTCAATTTTTTTCTATTATATTTATAATGGTATCAGGAAAATATTAACTCGAGTATCAAAAGTGTTTTGCACGTAATCAATAATCAGTTTGTTGCTCTAAAATAAGAAATGTCTCTGCATAAGTGCTAAGTTATTTTTTATTTGCTTCTAGTACATATTGTGTAAGAATTAGCAAGAATATATTGATTGTGTAATCACATATACTTTTAATTTTTTTTAAACATTGAAATTTAAAAGTTATAAGTAATAAGAAGTTATCTGATAAAGTCATGGCGGAACAAATAAAAAATATAGACAAATATTATACTGACCTTCAATATGATATCGATAAAACAGTAAGTATATGAATATACATAAAAATGTACTCATGAAGTAAATTATGTTTATATTAATTGATATTTTAAAAACACATATGATGAATAAATATATATATATATATATATATATATATATATATATATATATATATATATATATATTTCTAGACAGCAAAAGAAATAATTAAAGCATGTGTAATAATGCTGCAACTCAAGAATATTGAGAATTTGTCAGAGAGGTAAATAAGTAAATATTTAATATTAGATGCAGATGTGATATGACAAAAATGTAAAATAATGTAAAATATAAAATATTTTTATAATTATTTTTAATATCTTCTTTTTGTATTTATATAGATTCTTTGAAACAGCATCTTTGATAGAAAAACATTTTAAAGCTTTTGTAGCTTTTTGTGAACATGTAGACGTAGTCACTGCTCTTATCGAATATCTAAATTATTATGGAGCCAAGATATTGTTTGAGTTAAATGGTGTGTGTAATATCATCTCTTTGTAATTGTAAAATATAATGTATATTGATTACATGGACAATTGTTTTATTGACATTTTTGTGTTATATTTCTCAATCTTTTTAAGTAGGTTTATTTTTTATCTTATAGAATTATCCACAGGATATAAGAGCAAATTTATACATATGACATTAACGAGTACAGTTTTTACTATGTGTAAAGGAGAAAAAGTTATTATTTCTTTTTGGATTATGCAGTTTTGTAATTATTATAAAAGTTTAATTATATATTTAGTATAAGTTAATCAATTATATTTATTAAATTTGATAATTAAGATAATTTTATAATTAATTATATTTTATTTCTTATATTAAAATATTATGAATTACACACACACACACACACATATATATATATATATATATATATATATATATATATATATATATATAATGTTTATATTCTAGAAACGATTTAAAGAAGTCATTCGGAACAACATTCAAAGAAAGTGATAGATTTTATCATATGTCTACGCTTATGGATTGTTGTAAGAAAAATATAATGCTAATGTAAAAATGTATTTTTTTTTGACTTTATATAATCAAAATCTCTTAAATTCACAGATCATGTCAGTAAAATGATAATTTTAGAAGATTCAGATCTATATGCAGTTATTAATTGTTTGATGAGAATGGGTGACTCTTATTTAAATATAATTTGTATTCAAAATTCGATAATACAAGAGTTTTTAATATTTAGAAAAAAATATCTTAATTACTCTATAAAGGGTGTCCTTCATATTTTTGAATCACAACAAGAATTACTTACAATTATTAGTACATTTCCTAACTACGAAATGAGCATGATATCCATTTGGTCAGAGGATATTGTAGCTGCAAAGAATTTAGCCTCGAGCTTCAATGTATATTTTTTAAATTATGTAACACAGCATTGCCAAGTAAATTTATCTTAAATCATTAAAATGATATCCTTTTTTGTTATATTCAGGATGATATCGTATTCATAAATACATATATGGATTTTACTGGTGGCTTCCTCCTTGTCCCTTTTGCAAAACTTATGGATAATTTCACAATTCATACAACTATGAGGAATAGTATAAACAAAACAAATGTACATGAAAACAATATATTACTAAGTACTAATAATATATCAAGGTATTCGTCCGAATACAAAAATTATTCTAAAATTATTCATTTATTTTATGATGGCATGTGGCAAAACCCGGTACAAAACTCGTATTTTAAACATGAAGAACAACTATTTGCAAATGCAACAAAGTATGAATATGCTTATTTTTTTTCTTATTTTCGATTACAATAATTTCGTGATCTAAAAGTTTTAATAAAACTTATACATTAAATTTGTAATTGACTTTTTTGTTAATGTAGTGAAGATATTAGGAGATGTATTAAGTCAGCAAAGAAAGGATTCAAAATTTGGGATGCTAATTCTATTGTTTTTAGAAAAAAAATATTATCTAATTTTGCTCTTGCACTATCGTACAATTGGTATGTTAAGTTATTATATATATATATATATATAAATTTATTTACATATTTTTATTTAATGTGTTTCTTTTATATGTACATAGTATACATACATATATATATATATATATATATATATATATATATATATTTGCATTAGTTCAGTTTTGATAACTTTTCATTATAATTTTTTCCTATTTGTTTTTTAGTGAACCTACTTTATCAAGTTTAATAGAAGGATGTACGAAATTCATAACTTTCTATGAAAATTCCAACGGATATTGCACTCAAAACTTAGAATTAATAAATTCTAGTAAAGCAATAGGCATTATTATTCTTAGAGAGAAAAATGAAACTATTTTGCTTCTTCGATTGACACAATGTTTGCTTGCTGGCAATTCTGTTATTGTGATATGTAATGAAAAGTTCAGTAACATAAAGTCATATTTGAATATATTCTCAATGTGTGATATACCTCCAGGTGTTCTTAATATGCTATCAAGTGAATGCATAGAAAATTTAGAATCAAGATTATGTGGAATAGAATATTCAGACTATGCAAAACGATATTTTTCAGAAGAATCTATATTCGAAAAATATAAAAATTATACAAATCTTTACCTTGAGAAGCAAATTGCACACGTTCTTAAATGATTTGATATATATAGCATAAATTATTTTTTATTAAAGCTTAAACGCATACATAACATCTTACCCAAGAGTGTATATAGATTCACATATTTTATTTATATATTATAATCTCAGAGAAACAATTTCTGTCATTTATTATTGAATTCTTTGAAATATAAAGCTAATGATTAGATAATTGTAATACAATATATTCTATAAAAACCAAAATATACTATAAAAATTTAATGTTTTATATTTTCAATCTTATGTATATAAAACAAGTAATGTTTAATTGCAATGTTATTATTAAAATATTTGATAGTGACTTACCGTTTATGTTCTAAAATAATATGTAATATTTTTATATGTATTTTTAATGTATATTTCAGCACATAAATTGAAAAAAAAATTATTAAATATATATCTTTTTAATTTTTTCACGAGTTGTATTTAGCAATTATGAATCATAAGATCCAAGCATAAATAGAACACAATTTAAGATTGAATATTGAAATAACAGTGAATCTCCATCAATATATGTATATATATACTATATACATATACACAGAACTTTTATTGTCCTAAAAAAATCGAAATATGTAAATCTTTAATTGTGCTATACAAATTTTCATTGATCAATATTGGGTATTAAATATCAATGTGTCAAAATTTAGATATTTTATCGTTTTTTCTTAAAGCGATATATATAATTGAAAATGTAAAAGTTGCCTTTCTTGATCCACATACGTATTTTTAAAATATTTCTTAAAAGTATTTTTTTCTATTTAGATTTCTTAAAATATAGCATCTAATATGATAAAAAAGAGACAAAGAGAACTTATCTCTTTTTCAATCTATTTGTAAATGTATAAATTAAAGTGTTATAAAATAAAAGTAATATATTTATTTTTTATAATATTCTTTATTACGTACATTTGTTTTAGATTTTACTTTGCATCAATATGCAACAAATTAATCATTGTTAATAATAATGTGAATCAGCATTTTTTCATATAAATATTTTTGTGATGTGTTCATTGCTTTTAATATATTATTATACAACTTGATATAAATGCGTTTATAAAATAATTTAGATGATATCCTTTCATCCTTAAAATTTAAATATTGCCCATAACATTAAACCACCTAGATAATTAGAAAAGAAAATGTATAGTAATAAATATAGAATGGCATTAAAACATTTTCTTTTTTGAAAATCTCAGGCAATGAACAAAATGACAAATTAGTTAATAAACAAAATGACAAATTAGTTAATAAATTTGTGAACTATATTATCACCAAACAAATACTGCATAATTTTTCTGTCAATTCTTTGCACTCATCTGATTTAAATTGGATTGATGCACAAAAATATTCTTTTACAAATTGCTTAATTTTAACGAGCAACGCGAATAATAATTTAAGTTAACAATAATTAATTCAAAATTAATTTAATTCAATAATTCCATAAAATATGTGCATTATTTCAAAGTCGATATACGAATGCAAAGGACAAAAGTATGGATGATTGCCGATATACAGAGACTTTGTGTTTTAATATATAATAATTAATTTATAAATATTTTGTATCATATATTTATAGAAATTTGTTGTTATATATTTTGTATTATATTTAGATTACTAAAAATGATAAGTGAAAGATGAGTAAAATTAAATTTAAATATAAAAGTATTTTACATATATCATTTTTTACATCCTCATGTATAAAAAATTCTGTCGAGTTTTTCATTATAAATGTAATTTATATGTGTAGCACAATATTGTATATTTATATGCATTGTGTTATACCATTTTCATAAAGTTCTCATATATCGAATATCATTCACACTGTGAAAATTATCTATAAGTAATATAAAATAATATTATAACGCGTAAATAGAGCTGCCAGAATAATAATTTGAATACCACATATAATATTTTTATACATGCGCAATAAACTAAATTGCACTTTCTAGTAACAATGCATTTATGCATCCCATAAAAAGAAGTCCTTACATAATTATTATCTCCTCTTATTATTTTGCTTCTTCAATTATAAAAATATAACAATTAAAACATTTACGTCAAAGTATTAAAGAACGCCCAATGTACTTGTCTCACATTCTTAAAAATATTAAGTTTATGAAAGATATTGCTGAGATATATATAGTGTCAATGTTTTGATTATATAGAAAAAAATTTATATATAGATTGTCCAGATACATATTGTAACAATTTTAAACATATTTTATGAATAGCATACAAGACAGTTGAATAATTTGATACTAGTTGAGCCTCAGAGTTCCTCCGTTGTTAGTAAATACAATAAGAATGATTCATCAATGATTTAATTATGTACTGCCCTTTTTAGCTATATTTCCATAGTATATTTTTAATATTAAAAAAAGATTATATATGATGATATGTATATATTATATAAACATATATTATTTTTCCATGTGTAAAGTATTGCACTAAAAACACTTTCAATTTGCGATAATGAATTATATAGATCTTTTGTAATCGTCATTTTCTCAGATATTGGCAGTTCACGTATTAATTCTATATTACAAGAGTATGAACTTATGCCTATTTTTTCCTGTGGTCTCGCAAATGATAATATTTGTGGCAATTTTCCTATTACACCGACTAAAATATTTGCACCTATTTTTGCTAGTTTGGTATGTAATTCTGGTAGAGTTTCATCTGCATGAATATCTAATTTTTCTTATGCTACTATTTCCCCGACATCAAACCTGTAAGAACATGAAAATAATGTAGATATATCATATAATTGCAATTTGAGTTATATAAAAAAGTTAGTCCCAAATATGTAATATTATTTTTTTTTAACAATAAAACTTGATTGTAGATAGCTTTCTACATTTGTTTTATCAATTAAAATATAAAATATTTATGAAATTTTGATATTATTAAAAACATTAATATATAATTTCATATATTACATTCTTTCTGACACTCTTCTTTAAATGAAGAAAAGACATAAAAAAAATAAATTTAAGAAAAAAGTTATACTTTTCTGGCATTATTTTCATGACTGTAATTCCTGTCTGTGTGTCTCCATTAATTAAGGAATAAATTATTGGAGCTGCTCCTCTCCAACGTGGTAGTAGACTAGCATGGATATTTAACATACCACTAAAATAAAAAATAGTTGTATTAAGGTATATATTGTGTTACAGTACAATCTGTCTGTGTATATGTTTAAGATTGATAAAATAACTTACAGTGGAAAGGAATTTATAATATTCAATGGTATTAAATGACCAAAGGAAACAACTATCCCAATATGGAAATCTTGTGGATTGTTTTCAAGAGGCCATCGTTTAATATTTATTCCTTTTTCCTCTGCGTATTGTATAACAGCATTCTTTTTTCCTTTATATGCGGACAACTTCTAATCGGCTTAGTTTCTTGGTTCTGCTAAATAAAAATATTTATAATGTTTTAAATTCATTAATTTTTTTTTCTTTAAAATAATTGCTCATAAAATCCAGGAATAAATTATCGATAAAGTACTAACTATTCGTTATACAAACTTCGTAAGCTTTCCAGAGCGAAATTATCCGTCCCGAAAAATAATACATTCCACGGACCACTGGTTTGAATTGAATGCAACTTTCTCTTGCGATGCCAAGAGGTTATCTCACTCGATTTTCCATTACTTTTGAATATTGTGAGAAAATACGAATATTTCTTTATTATACATGATGAGAAATTTATATTTAACATATCGTTGTATTTATTTTTACATAGAAGATTCATAAATACTGACATTCATAATTATTGAAATATTTAATATAATATTCAACGATGCCTGCAAGATGCTGCAGGATCACCATCAGTCATAGACATAAAATATATATATATAAGGGATACCAACAATTTTGAAGTGTGTCGAGCAATTCGACTTGGAATTTTTCGACTTGTCCACCAATCATAAACCTAACCACCGAATTATTATTAAATTCTTTGCCGAAATTATAGTAGCTAATTTCGTCTACATATTTTATATGTCTATGCCATGGTCAATTTATTTGATTTACGTTTTTGCAGACACATATTTTCACCTAAAATGACATCTTGGCTAATATTACATTTGTAGAACACAAGGTAAAAGTTTTAAAATCTCACGATAGAAATTTCGAAAAATCCTATCTCCGATAAATAATTAGTACATTCGATTTTTATCGTACATTTTATTACAACTCTTCTCACATATATACAACTATAGAGAATTTTCATGATATCAGTTAAATGCAAAAATTCTTTTATAACAATAATGTTAAGCAAGTAAAATTTATTTCTCTGTAATAAATATTTCGTAATATTTTGCGAGACTTTTATGTGAAATGTTTAATAACACAATAAAGTAAAAGAAAAAATTAGAATAATTTAAAAAGATTGTATATATAGAGCATATAGATGTTTCATGATGTGTAAATATAAATATATATGTTTACGTATCTCTTTCTCCTCAATTTTTTTCTATTATATTTATAATGGTATCAGGAAAATATTAACTCGAGTATCAAAAGTGTTTTGCACGTAATCAATAATCAGTTTGTTGCTCTAAAATAAGAAATGTCTCTGCATAAGTGCTAAGTTATTTTTTATTTGCTTCTAGTACATATTGTGTAAGAATTAGCAAGAATATATTGATTGTGTAATCACATATACTTTTAATTTTTTTTAAACATTGAAATTTAAAAGTTATAAGTGATAAGAAGTTATCTGATAAAGTCATGGCGGAACAAATAAAAAATATAGACAAATATTATACTGACCTTCAATATGATATCGATAAAACAGTAAGTATATGAATATACATAAAAATGTACTCATGAAGTAAATTATGTTTATATTAATTGATATTTTAAAAACACATATGATGAATAAATATATATATATATATATATATATATATATATATATATATATATATATATATATATATATATATATCTAGACAGCAAAAGAAATAATTAAAGCATGTGTAATAATGCTGCAACTCAAGAATATTGAGAATTTGTCAGAGAGGTAAATAAGTAAATATTTAACATTAGATGCAGATGTGATATGACAAAAATGTAAAATAATGTAAAATATAAAATATTTTTATAATTATTTTTAATATCTTCTTTTTGTATTTATATAGATTCTTTGAAACGGCGTCTTTGATAAAAAAACATTTTAAAGCTTTTGTAGCTTTTTGTGAACATGTAGACGTAGTCACTGCTCTTATCGAATATTTAAATTATTATGGAGCCAAGATATTGTTTGAGTTAAATGGTGTGTGTAATATCATCTCTTTGTAATTGTAAAATATAATGTATATTGATTACATGGACAATTGTTTTATTGACATTTTTGTGTTATATTTCTCAATCTTTTTAAGTAGGTTTATTTTTTATTTTATAGAATTATCCACAGGATATAAGAGCAAATTTATACATATGACATTAACGAGTACATTTTTTACTATGTGTAAAGGAGAAAAAGATATTATTTCTTTTTTGGATTATGCAGTTTTGTAATTATTATAAAAGTTTAATTATATATTTAGTATAAGTTAATCAATTATATTTATTAAATTTGATAATTAAGATAATTTTATAATTAATTATATTTTATTTTTTATATTAAAATATTATGAATTACACACACACACACACACACACACAAACACACACATATATATATATATATATATATAATGTTTATATTCTAGAAACGATTTAAAGAATTCATTCGGAACAACATTCAAAGAAAGTGATAGATATTATTATATGGTTATGATTATGAATTTTTGTAATAAAAATATAATGATAATTTTAGAAGATTCAGATCTATATGCAGTTATTAATTGTTTGATGAGAATGGGTGACTCTTATTTAAATACAATTTATATTCAAAATTCGATAATACAAGAGTTTTTAATATTTAGAAAGAAATATCTTAATTACTCTATAAAGTATACCATTTATATTTTTCAATCACAACAAGAATTACTTACAATTAGTAGTACATTTGCTAACTACGCAATGAACACGATATCAATTTGGTCAGAGGATATTGTAACTGCAAAGAATTTAGCCTCGAGCTTCAATGTATATTTTTTAAATTATGTAACACAGCATTGCCAAGTAAATTTATCTTAAATCATTAAAATGATATCCTTTTTTGTTATATTCAGAATGCTATCGTATTCATAAATACATATATGGATTTTACTGGTGGCCTCCTCTTTGTCCCTATTGCAAAATTTTTGGATAATTTCACAATTCATACAACTGTGAATAGTATGGACAAAACAGATGTACATGAAAACAATATATTACTAAGTACTAATAATATATCAAGGTATTCGTCCGAATACAAAAATTATTCTAAAATTATTCATTTATTTTATGATGGCATGTGGCAAAACCCGGTACAAAACTCGTATTTTAAACATGAAGAACAACTATTTGCAAATGCAACAAAGTATGAATATGCTTATTTTTTTCTTATTTTCGATTACAATAATTTCGTGATCTAAAAGTTTTAATAAAACTTATACATTAAATTTGTAATTGACTTTTTTTGTTAATGTAGTGAAGATATTAGGAGATGTATTAAGTCAGCAAGGAAAGGATTCAAAATTTGGGATGCTAATTCTATTGTTTTTAGAAAAAAAATATTATCTAATTTTGCTCTTGCACTATCATACAATTGGTATGTTAAGTTATTATATATATATATATAAATTTATTTACATATTTTTATTTAATGTGTTTCTTTTATATGTACATAGTATACATACATACATATATATATATATATATATATATATATATATATATATATATATATTTGCATTAGTTCAGTTTTGATAACTTTTCATTATAATTTTTTTCCTATTTGTTTTTTAGTGAACCTACTTTATCAAGTTTAATAGAAGGATGTACGAAATTCATAACTTTCTATGAAAATTCCAACGGATATTGCACTCAAAACTTAGAATTAATAAATTCTAGTAAAGCAATAGGCATTATTATTCTTAGAGAGAAAAATGAAACTATTTTGCTTCTTCGATTGACACAATGTTTGCTTGCTGGCAATTCTGTTATTGTGATATGTAATGAAAAGTTCAGTAACATAAAGTCATATTTGAATATATTCTCAATGTGTGATATACCTCCAGGTGTTCTTAATATGCTATCAAGTGAATGCATAGAAAATTTAGAATCAAGATTATGTGGAATAGAATATTCAGACTATGCAAAACAATATTTTTCAGAAGAACCTATATTCGAAAAATATAAAAATTATACAAATCTTTACCTTGAGAAGCAAATTGCACACGTTCTTAAATGATTTGATATATATAGCATAAATTATTTTTTATTAAAGCGTAAACGCATACATAACATCTTACCCAAGAGTGTATATAGATTCACATATTTTATTTATATATTATAATCTCAGAGAAACAATTTCTGTCATTTATTATTGAATTCTTTGAAATATAAAGCTAATGATTAGATAATTGTAATACAATATATTCTATAAAAACCAAAATATACTATAAAAATTTAATGTTTTATATTTTCAATCTTATGTATATAAAACAAGTAATGTTTAATTGCAATGTTATTATTAAAATATTTGATAGTGACTTACCGTTTATGTTCTAAAATAATATGTAATATTTTTATATGTATTTTTAATGTATATTTCAGCACATAAATTGAAAAAAAAATTATTAAATATATATCTTTTTAATTTTTTCACGAGTTGTATTTAGCAATTATGAATCATAAGATCCAAGCATAAATAGAACACAATTTAAGATTGAATATTGAAATAACAGTGAATCTCCATCAATATATGTATATATATACTATATACATATACACAGAACTTTTATTGTCCTAAAAAAATCGAAATATGTAAATCTTTAATTGTGCTATACAAATTTTCATTGATCAATATTGGGTATTAAATATCAATGTGTCAAAATTTAGATATTTTATCGTTTTTTCTTAAAGCGATATATATAATTGAAAATGTAAAAGTTGCCTTTCTTGATCCACATACGTATTTTTAAAATGTTTCTTAAAAGTATTTTTTTCTATTTAGATTTCTTAAAATATAGCATCTAATATGATAAAAAAGAGACAAAGAGAACTTATCTCTTTTTCAATCTATTTATAAATGTATAAATTAAAGTGTTATAAAATAAAAGTAATATATTTATTTTTTATAATATTCTTTATTACGTACATTTGTTTTAGATTTTACTTTGCATCGATATGCAACAAATTAATCATTGTTAATAATTATGTGAATCAGCATTTTTTCATATAAATATTTTTGTGATGTGTTCATTGCTTTTAATATATTATTATACAACTTGATATAAATGCGTTTATAAAATAATTTAGATGATATCCTTTCATCCTTAAAATATTGCCCATAACATTAAACCACCTAGATAATTAGAAAAGAAAATGTATAGTAATAAATATAGAATGGCATTAAAACATTTTCTTTTCTGAAAATCTCAGGCAATGAACAAAATGACAAATTAGTTAATAAACAAAATGACAAATTAGTTAATAAATTTGTGAACTATATTATCACCAAACAAATACTGCATAATTTTTCTGTCAATTCTTTGCACTCATCTGATTTAAATTGGATTGATGCACAAAAATATTCTTTTACAAATTGCTTAATTTTAACGAGCAACGCGAATAATAATTTAAGTTAACAATAATTAATTCAAAATTAATTTAATTCAATAATTCCATAAAATATGTGCATTATTTCAAAGTCGATATACGAATGCAAAGGACAAAAGTATGGATGATTGCCGATATACAGAGACTTTGTGTTTTAATATATAATAATTAATTTATAAATATTTTGTATCATATATTTATAGAAATTTGTTGTTATATATTTTGTATTATATTTAGATTACTAAAAATGATAAGTGAAAGATGAGTAAAATTAAATTTAAATATAAAAGTATTTTACATATATCATTTTTTACATCCTCATGTATAAAAAATTCTGTCGAGTTTTTCATTATAAATGTAATTTATATGTGTAGCACAATATTGTATATTTATATGCATTGTGTTATACCATTTTCATAAAGTTCTCATATATCGAATATCATTCACACTGTGAAAATTATCTATAAGTAATATAAAATAATATTATAACGCGTAAATAGAGCTGCCAGAATAATAATTTGAATACCACATATAATATTTTTATACATGCGCAATAAACTAAATTGCACTTTCTAGTAACAATGCATTTATGCATCCCATAAAAAGAAGTCCTTACATAATTATTATCTCCTCTTATTATTTTGCTTCTTCAATTATAAAAATATAACAATTAAAACATTTACGTCAAAGTATTAAAGAACGCCCAATGTACTTGTCTCACATTCTTAAAAATATTAAGTTTATGAAAGATATTGCTGAGATATATATAGTGTCAATGTTTTGATTATATAGAAAAAAATTTATATATAGATTGTCCAGATACATATTGTAACAATTTTAAACATATTTTATGAATAGCATACAAGACAGTTGAATAATTTGATACTAGTTGAGCCTCAGAGTTCCTCCGTTGTTAGTAAATACAATAAGAATGATTCATCAATGATTTAATTATGTACTTCCCCTTTTGGCTATATTTCCATAGTATATTTTTAATATTAAAAAAAAGATTATATGATTGATATGTATATATTATATAAACATATATTATTTTTCCATGTGTAAAGTATTGCACTAAAAACACTTTCAATTTGCGATAATGAATTATATAGATCTTTTGTAATCGTCATTTTATCAGATATTGGCAGTTCACGTATTAATTCTATATTACAAGAGTATGAAAGCAAATCTTTATGATACGCGCGCTATGAATGCATCGATTTTATTTAATATATATAATTATATATTATTTAATTTATAATGTTATTAAATTATAATCTCGGAAGTGCAAGCATAATTATTTACTAAGCACATAATTATATAGAAATATGAAATGCATCTATTTATTAATCAATTTATTGTATATGTTCTATATTAAATTGGCACTTGTGTATACAGCTATACATATATATATATATATATATATATATATATATATATATATATATATATAAAAATAAATTGCATCCGTAATCGATGTAAGGAAGAAGAGATCTACATAAATTTATCTCGCGTACACAAGATTAAATTATGCGCGGAAAAAGCATTTATTTCTTAAATAAGTCGTTAATGCTCTATTACTGCCGGTAATTTGTCTCTTTTCACAAGTGACATAAAGTAGGCCGTATAAAATTTTTGAAAAATCAGCGATTTTAATGCAGTACTTCACATAAAAAATTTAAGCATGATATGCATCTCGTTAATTTCTCGCAACGCTGTTAAAAGCATCATCAATCACCTTTATATAAACAGTACGACAATTCTCCTGTCAAAATATACATTTTACCTTAAAAAAAAGCATTTTTTATTCATCTTTTAATCATTTAATTTAATTTTACATCAAACATAAAACGCCACAATTTGTAATTTTAAAAATTACATGCGGCTATTAAAGCCTTGTCTGTATTTATAATTTGTCATTAAACACGATTCGATCTTTCTTAAAGGCTTGTAAAAGAAAGATAAATCTTTAGGCGGATAATAAACGATATCCTCGTATAAAATTAATAACCCTTTTTTCAGAAATCTGATCATTCTATTATCAGATTTGAAAAAGCGTATATAACAAGGCTTATTTCGTTTAAGACACTTTTTTAAAGGAGCAGAGATGCCAGAAAGCATGTTTTATAAATTTTGCTATAATTCTGCCCTATATGAATCTTATTACATTACATAAAATAGATAAATTTTAACTATTTTTTTCTTGTGCAGTCATTTCTTTTCATAAAAAAACCTATAAATGGCAACTTTTCTACTACTTTCATAGCAGCTGTAATATCTACTTTTTTGGCGAATTCTGTAACCTTAATCTCTCTTTTTCCTCCTCACTGACAAAAACTCTAGTAATTACTATATCACCTGTGCTAAGCGTTTGACAAGCCACAGTAATTCCAGCAGCTTGGCGATCTGTCCGCGGATTGTCACTTTGACACATGCAGCCGCACTTGCTACATGATGCATCAGCATTGTTGGGAGAAAGCTGATCTGTCGCACAGCTGGTAACAGCTGATAATATAGCTTCCAATTTTTCTATTTTTTCCAGCTTATCCATCCGCCCATCTGAGAGTATTTCGTCCATCATTTGCATCGACTCAGTTAAGCTTGGAGTATCGGCATTTCGTGGAGACAATATACCACCTAGAGAAATTCATTTCCAAACTCATTACACAAAATCAATACATCTCACTAATGAAGTAAATCCTTGTTGGAAATTAATTTAAATAATAATTTAATAATTAATATAAATAATTTTTATTTTAATTCAAAACGGAAAAATATAATTTTGATATAATAATTTTACCAGAATGAGAATTTTCCGATGTGCAACTTTCCAAACTCTGATATTCAGGATCGTCTGTCTTATCCTCATCATCGTCATCGCTACTGTCAACTTTATCCTGACCCATATTCTCTAATTTTTCCAGTTTTCTCGCAACTTTATAACTCCCTTTGAGCTTTTCTTTTTCATCTTCTGTAAGATCTAGATAGCGAAGAAGTCGAATCTCGCGGTTACTTAGTACGATATTTTTACTTGTCGCTTCTTCCATTCTCTTTTTCAAATCTGCCACCTCAGTCTCCACTTTTCGCTGCTTCTTACGAGCTTTTACATCTCCTGGTCTTATATGCATTTGAATTTGTTCTTCGCATAACTCTACAAAAAGACCTTGTACTTCCGGCCTTATAAGTCTGTCAATAATATACAGAAATTGTGATTAAAAACATGCATGAAATTTACTGTTATTAGCTCAAAATGTAATTATTCAGAATAGTAACAAATAAAACTATACCTAGACATGGCATTGTAAACTTGAGGTACAAGGCTTAAAACATCGCTGCTCGCATAAATCAGCATGTCTCGCGTCATAGGTCGCCGAGACCAATAGCGTTGATCTTTACGATAAATATTTTTCAATTGTTCCTTAAGCGGATTACACGGAGCACCATAATGATCGCACAAGGTGTTCAGATTAACATTTTTAACTTTGTACACAGGCTTTCCCGTTTCTTGGAACTGAAGCACTGCATGCGCTGCCTAATACAAGATATTACGATTTCATTTTTACAGTTGTAATATATTAATGTTATTTTGAAAAAAAAACCATGAAATATTAACATTACCTGTGTATCAAAAACATTTGTCAATGTAATCTTAAACTGATTGTACAAATTGACACTATCATTTCTACAATCGTGGATGACCTGCAACAATAAGTATAATTTTATGTAATTGAATTAATTATAAAATATGTATATATATGTTTCTATTATTATTTTAATAATATCGCTACCTTAATAACATGAGGATGTTCTAACAATTTCTGGAGACCTCCAGCTTGAACGAGACTTGGACACGTGAATAAATCGAACACATATGCTTGACCGCTCATTGTACCAATTTGTACAAGTGTTAATTGTCCCTTAACACCCAAATTTATGCCTTCGCAATCAAAAGATACGACGACTTTACCATCGGGAGGAAGCTTCCGAGGATTTATTATATCCTCTATGATTTGAAGACTTTCCCGTGGTGTTGCTATTACCCTAGTCTGTTGTAACACTTTCAGTTTCCATGCATCACCCATCTGGGCGGTTTGTAAACTGCGATCCCGTTCCGTATTATCTGCCAGAGTTCTCATAACGATTGTATTAAACCTCTGCTTGAGACTCTGCTGTTGCAGGCTAACAGGCGGCGAGTTATTATTATTGCTTTCGACAGGTGATGTGCATGTATTTTGTGCATGCGAATTAGATTGAAGCATCGCATTATTACAGACATTCTCCGATTGATTCGAAGATGGTTGAGAGAATTGAATCTTGCTTGGTGAAACGATCGGCGCCGCGTTATTCGTATGAGTCACGTTGTTGCGTTGATTGCCACTCGTGATCTTCGCTTTCGCGGTCGCAGGCTCTGTCATGGAAGATTTTGGTCGACCTATCAATGTCACCAGATTGGTTTGTACGTGAAAAGCATCTGGGAACATTTTTATAAAAGTAAACAAGTCCTGTGGCGTTTTAAATATACTTGTCCAATTCTCGTGCGAAAAATTCTCATTCACCATATTAAACAGCTGATCTATAAGAATTGAGCCCTTCTGCTCAACGCATATACAGAAAAAGTCTAACAGCTTAGCTGTAACATCCGGATCTATTGGAATATCTGGTTCCAATTCATGAAAGGGTTCTGCTTTCATGCCTTCGTATTGTTTCAATATTACGTTATCTTCACTGATTACAAACGCATCGGGATACCTCAAAAGAAAATCGCGAAATTCCTTGTAATGTTGACCAGATATGTGCCTGACCTCTGGCGAAGCTTGCGATCGATGACCCAGCAAACTTTTGATAGGAACCTCAGTGCCCACTCCATATTGCAATAGCTTATTCGTAAAGTATTCTACGGCCTCACGGGCATAGTCACGTTTACCGGATTTACTTCCGCTCTCCTCCTCCACGACCGGTTGAAACGTATTAACGGTTACATAATCGCCGTCGATCAAAAATAGTGCCGGATATTGTGCTAGAAATTTCTTAAGGCCACTTTGCGATCCTCCTGCTATCTGACGCATTTCCTTCGTGAATCCTTTTGCTCCGAATTGACAACTTAGGTCATGTAATGTACGTGGACCACCCTTGTCCATTAGTCGTTCAAAGAAGAAGAGAAGAGTCATGTTTCTGACCATTTCGTACTCTGAGCTATCCATCTTTAAATATATATGTATATATATGTATGTATAGTCACACTTCTTTTGAAAAATTTCTATTTATCAGATGTAATTTTTCTTCAAAATGTCAAGATAATTTCTGTAATAGAATGTGGTAATATTAGATTTGTCAATATTTTATTGCTTATAAAGTTTAAATTTGTTGTATTGTACTCACCGTCATAGTAAAGTTGAAACACCGAATATAAAGGCACATCACTAAACTATCATTTTGTATTTATGCCTTTGTAAAAAATATATCCAAAATTTCTTGACTGTTGACAGATATATTTATTGAGCTTGGATCATTTCTAATTGAACTAAATTGCATGGCCAGCATAATTGGAAAGGAAAGAGTAAATCTGAAACAAATTAAACATTTTTCAAGATATTTACACAGGATATATAAAAAACAATTTTTCAGATTAAATATATACCTTAGTCCACATGGATAAAATTGCATTAGAATAATTTGCTCTCAGTCATTGTTAATTGTTATCTGCATGTTTTTCAGAAACAACACATTATAAGATCTTCTCCTCCTCCTGTGGATTAAAATATTAATGCAATCAATCTAGTCTCAAGGATTTCTGATGCAATCTAACTCGTAAACATCCGATGCAAATTAATGTCAAAAGCTGCATCCGTACGAATTAATTTCGATATAAAACGCAAATAAGTGTCATAATCAATGTGTTATAATCAAGACATATGCTTTTGCACGTCTCTATATGAAACATAATTTTATACCAGAACGCAGCCTGCCGAGACAGATAATCTTAAGAATAAATCTCTCAATTTATTGGAAGAACGCGTGTGGTTGTCAAAAAAAAAGTGACTATCTCTCGACGATCTAATTTTTATAGGTCAAGCGATCCTAGCTACGAGCAAGACGAGGACGAGAAGCGAACAGCGAGCAATTCCCCGGAGGTTACTCGACATCTTCGTGGATTTCCACGATCGTCTTCCCGCAACCGCGTCCTCGTCGCCCTTCGCAGGTCGGATTCTCGTCGACGAGGTACCTTGGCAGCGGTGTACGACAGTTAACCCCAATGCGGTGCCAATACGTAACATTTATCTGAAGGATCACATATTCAGGGATGCGTTCGGAAGTCCTACTTGTAGGGCGGAGCAGCATTTAGTTGACCAATCGGAGCGAGGAGATTTTTGCTCCTTTTGTCCCGATTGGTCGCGCCACTTAGCCTGTCGACTATTTTCGAACGCACCCCAGCGTATCAGATGAATCTCTCTCGCTTGGGACAAACACCGTCAGAGGGTGCGACGACCTCCGACGTGACCGGATCCTGTCAGTATGGCTTCCAGCTATACACCATACATATATATTTACGTCCGTATATAGGAGCGGAAATCTTGGATCATGCATCTCCTTATTCGGATTTATTTTTTTCTACAATTCGCGAGAGACTGAAAAGATTATATGATTCAATGAGAATGTTGTATCTCTGATCATTTGTTATATAATCGTAAGTTATTTTTATAAATGAAAATAAGGAGCATTTCATTATACATGTAAATATATACATACCATATATATATCATGGTGTAGTATTACACCATGATATGTATATATATAATTTTCTCATCTAATTATCTGTCTGTATGTCTCTAATTAATGCATCTGCGAAAACACTTCTGACTGAAAATAAAAAATTACAGAAAATGTATATATAAATATCTAATATTTTTATGAAATTTTATATTTTTATTATTAATAAAAATATAAAATTTCATAAAATATCAACTCTCTTAAATTAATTATTATATTTAATTATTAAAATTTCTATTGTTTATATATATGTTTGAAAGACAATTAATCATATGTTTTTCAGGAGAAATATAAAAAATATTTATTTTTCACCAACTTTATTAACAACATTTTATATGCACATAAGATGATCTCTATCTCTCTCAGAGATATCATTTTCGTATTTTATTTAATTATTACAAAATTTATTCAAACGTTGAGAATTTGTTGCACATGTTTAAAGATTTTAAATAATTAATTATTTTATAGTTTATATGTAAAACTCTATCTGTATAAAAAAAGGAAACATTTGCTAATGGGTCACATTTTGCAAAAGGAATAAATATACACATACATGTATAAATATATACAATATAATACATAAGTATTATATAATATATTTATTTTTATACACATTAAATTATGTATATATATATATATATTCTGTGTCTGTATTTGTTATGTATGTGTAATCTATATAAATATCTGGGATAATATATATTATTGTTTTGAAAGTCAAAGTTGTTTCCTTCAGATATAAGATTTATAATATAATCCGATTGATATGAGCAGATATAAACAGACAATTTTAGAAAGAGAGTGTGAATACAATATATGAAGTAATAATAAAATCGAATAACGTCAGAAAAATTATTAATTTATTTTATTTATTAATTTAGTTAATGTAAATAAATGTTATAAATTTTATGTTATATTCAAAATAGAGATAATGTGGATGATAAAATCGCACGTTAATAGTGTCAAAAAAGCTGTGGAAACACAAGTGATTGCGTCGATGCAGAGACAAGGTAATGATTTTTTTATAAATATACATATATATGGGTTGATTAGTGATGTTTAATCATTAAGTCTAATGATCTACACAATATATATGAGTCTTTTATTTCGCAAAAGGATTATATATTTATTTTCGCATATATAAATGCACTGATATACACGCATTTTGTTAAAATTTATAAAACGCACACTATATGTATAAATGTTATTATAATAATAGGTAATATAAAATAATTTTTTAAAGGATACACCTTGAATGCTGTGAATAATTATGATGAGAATTTGTTACATACAAGCGCAGCGAATGATTGTTTTCGAATTGTGAAAGAAATTTTGAGTCAGAAGGAAAATTGTCGCGTTATAGACAGGAAGAATAAATTTGGTTGGACACCGCTGATGCAAGCAATCCGTAATAGAAATATCGATACTGTAACATTGCTTTTAGAGAAGGGCACCAAAATTGACCAAGTGACTTATCTCGGTAAACAAGCAAATCATAATCGTTCACAACAAATCGCAATTAAATTTTCAGTATTAAAAGAATTATTTTACAGAATACTTATATAAAAATTTTTAAACGTCATAAAATTTTATTATTTCGAAAAAAAATCATAAACCGCATAATTTTAATAATTTAAAAATTAGAAGCTGCATAATTTTACGTTTGAAAACAAATGGGACGAAATTTATTTTTATTCATTTATTTTACTGTTAATTATTATATTTGTTTAATTATCGTAGGTATGTCGGTCCTCGGATTAGCTGCTGCGATCAACAAGAAGATGTTCGAAACAGTGTACAACGCTTGTCCGAACGCTTTGGCGAACGCGACTAATGATGACATTACTCCGTTATGTGTTGTTGCCATGAAAAACGACAAGGAACTCTTCTTCAGGCTATTGGAATTGGGCATGCCGCTTTCGACTGATAGTGAGACAATTTTTCTTCAAATTACAAAATAAATGCGCAATATATTATGATTTATATAATAAAAACTATAATATGAATAACGAAATATTGTTCACTTTTGTATTGCAAAAGTTGTAGCAAAAAAGACTTGTATTCTTCTTTTTCCTATTATTTATTTGTTTCAAGTATAAAAACGTGAAAATTGCAACTAAAAAAATAAATTTGTATTAAACACAGATGAATACACTCGCCTTATGATGAAACGTTCTACGATTCCGGAGATCGCCGCTTTGGTGAGCGAAGATTCTGTCACGAATGATTATTGGAACGATACATCAGATAATATTGAAGTTATAGAGCAGAATATCGACGGCACAACGAGAGATTGTAAACTAATGAAAAATAACGAAAATGAAAAACGGAAAACCAAGTTGCACTTACCTATCTTTACAGAATCCGACAAGCAAGATTTAATATCACCAAACTTAACGTACGACATATTCATGCTATCTCCAAATACTGTTTGCTTTGAGAAGGATGAGCTTACGAAATCGAATGTAATATTCAAGGATAAAGACGGAAGTAAAAATATAACAGAAACAGATTGTGTGACAATAAGGGAGTTTGAATCACCTTTTATTGAAAGGTAAATCAAGTGTAATGAATTAAGCAATTATTTATTAAATTAGAACTCTTTTTTAGAGAGAGCCATTATATTAAATTAGCTATTTTGTAAAATATTATAAATATATAAAAAATATTTTTTGAAAAAAAAAATCTTGCAGATTTAAATCACGATCTACGGATGACACGAAGAATTTATCTTGCGATCTGAATGCTACTCTTGGATTCATACCCGAATTCAGCCCTCTCAAATCACCTAACGTTCCCTCTTATGTTAATGAGGAGAACGCGTTTGGAGAGAATACTCCGACACCACCACGCTGCAAAACACCACCAAAAGGAATGCTTTTGAATTGGTCGCAGACGAAAATGATCATACTATTGAGACGCTTCGGACTAAACCAACATATTCCTATATTTCTTGAACAAGAAGTAAGTATTATTTCTATCAAAATGCATCAAAGTTGTCAGAGAAAATGGATAAATAATATTTATTTATTATTCTTGATTTTTGCAAAAAATTAACTATAATAGTAATTAATTATTCAGTTGCATTTAATTCCTCGTTTAACTGTTAAATTAACTCTGATGTTACTGCTATAATTTCTAAATAGTGTACACAATTCGTTATGTTATTTTATTCTAGGTAGACATTGATCTATTTTTAACACTTACGGATAATGATTTGATAGAGATTGGTATCGAGTATGAAAGAGACAGACGTGCTTTGCTGGAGGCAATAGAAGAATGTAAAACTCGTAAAACATATTAAAATTTAATCATGTTTATTTATAAATTAATGTGAATACAGTTTGTAACTATTTGAACGAGGAAAATTTTAAGCATGTTTTTTCTTGTTTCTGAGTTCTAAGATAATTAATTTATAATTTGTAATTTGAATTTTTAATATTTATAACTAATTTATTATTTATTTATATTTTTTTAATGGAAGTTTATTCTTTTTTTCTACTAATTCTTCTATTATAGAAATATCTTTCTTTTATTTGCATATAATATTAACTATGTTTTAAATTTAAATAGAGAAAAGAATAATAAAAAAAGTAAATAATTATATATTATTTAAAAAAACAAATAAAAACTTTTTTTAAAAATTTCGTAACAGCTTTTCTTTTAAACTTAATTTTTCGGGTTTTTCTTCTTTATTTGTCAGCTCCTTGAACATAAAAAAATATTATCTTTATCAAAAATTGTTTCGTTATTATATGAAAAATTATTACATACAGATAATATATTTACCATGAAGAATTTGTTTTCAGATTTTTGTTCCTCAGTTTTAAAATAACACGATTCGTTCTCATCTTTCCGTACAATTGGTTTGCTGATATTATCTACGTCGCATAATATCGTTGAAATGCTGTCTTCAGTTTTTACCCGATTTAATTTATTTGATAAACATGTCTTGATACCCAAATCAAAATCATTAATTTCAGTCGCACACGTAAGTGAGTCATCAGTTTTTGATAATGATAATCGCGATCGTTTTGCAGGTATATCACAGGTATCAGGCACTCGAAGTGAAGGCATCACACTTCTAAGTCTTCTCGATTGTGTGCCATATCCTGTATCATAGGCTGGAAGTCTAACTCTTGGTAATACTGGTGAACAAGGTGTTAGAACCGCTGTTTGAAACGTATTCTGCGAAATACAAGTTATATTATTATATTATTATTAAGTGATTACAAATATGTTACTACACAATAACTAAATTTATTGATTCAATCTCTCTCATTTTAGAATAATAGATATATTTTAGAATTTTTTAGAAATATTTAAAAATTTTAATTTATTTATAATTAATATATTTTAGAAAAAATAAATACTTGGATATTTGTTATATGTATCACATATAAGCAATAACAGCAATTAAAATGTTATATATAAGAAAAAATATATTAATTAGAACTAGAAAAAATTAATGTGAGAGTTAAGTAAGAATTTAATTGAGAAAATTCGATAAAAATGGAAATATATATAGGTAGCTTGTTTCCTCACTTTCGGACATATGTTTAATTGTTGTTCGCATATTTTGGTCACTTTCCTTCTTAAATCTGCTATAAATTTGTAAATTCTGGATTGTGGATCCGTCATAGATGGCAGAATTTCTAAAGGTCCTGAGGTTAAACACATTTCAGGATATAGAAAAATGTTCGATTTAAAGTAAAAGAATTCGATATTATAAAATAATATTCCATCCTCGTAATCTGGTAATATGTAGCCATGCTAAAATAAGAAGATAAATTATTTCTTATAGCTTGCAAAGTTATTTGATTTAACTTAATAATATCTAAATATAATTTAACTTCTGAAGAATCGATTATTTTCGACACATTACTGAATCTTTGTTTTAAGCAGTGAGAAATTTAATTACCATATTTTTCCAATATGCGCGTAGGTCCTCATAATCCTTGAACAAAGACTTGATTGTCTTTGATACGCGTAGCACGTTTGCCACTTTCATGCTATTTAAAAAATTATTAAATATTAAATTATATTTGAACAATTAATTGACTGATATAAAATTTTGAGATTTTACAATAGTGATTTAATATTTATATATTATACTGCAATATCCTTTACCTTGGTAAAACGCGTACGGGTGGTTGGAAATTATTTTGTATAGAGTGTTTTCTATTTAGTTTTACAAACGGTATTCTTAAATTTACAGCTTCCATAAAAAGCTGAGCGTTGTTATCTACAAAATATTTTTATGCTATATTTTGGCTTATAAGTTTAACAAATCATTCCTTATATCGTATAGAAAATTCTATGTAGAGAATATTAGAATAATTTAAAAGTTCTTGATTATAAAATTAAAGAAAATTTTATACCGCGAATCTCCTTGATATTTAACATTATTGCATCGACATTTCCGGTCGAATTAAGAAAATCTTGCCCTTCGACAAGATATGACCCGACTTTATTCCATTGTGGTGCAATTTTGTATTCCAGGGTGTAAAGTAGACAAGTCTTATAAACGTAAGTCGGTATAGGCTCTAACAGATCTATCTGTATGTTGAACAAATAATATCAATTATTTCTTGTGAAAAAAATGTATATTTTTTAGAAAAATAGGGTGCTCTCTTCTGCAAATTGTGCGAATGCATACCATCTGTATATTTAATGTGTCGCAATGATTCTGGAAATCGCAACTTTCGAAAAATTCTCTTGTAACAATAACGTAGATAGAACCACCAGATTCGAGTATTTTTCTATTATTTATCGGAGCAGCCATTGCTTGAGGAGTTTTTTGAAGAAATTCTCTAAAATCCAACACATCGCGCGAAAGACATAGAAAAAATGATTTTGCTTTTAATTGAGAAAATGTAGTGGAAGAATTGCTAATTAATATTATTTTGTAATATTTTAAAGAACGATAATATATTTTAATAATCGATATTTACCGACACTTGAGTATCTTTGCGCAATGTTTAGAATAAATCAATTTCCTTTCGAAATTGATAATTTTGCAAATCGCACAGCATAGGCTGCTTTTTTCGGGTATAGTAATGTTAAATATTTTCACGGTAGAAACCATGATTATATTTTAATAACACTTTTATATTTGATACAATTGTACGATAGAAAATGTGATCGTTCCACGATGGAATAATATGAAGTTTGTTTAAAATGAGTGCGGGGAGGAACCCATATAATACTTGTATTTTTATTACACTTTTTCAAAATAAGTATAACCAATTTGATAAAATATCAAGAAGTTGATTAAATTTTTATTAATTACATATATAAATATTATTTTTAAATAGACAAAATTTAATTCTTTTGAAATAATTAGAGTTAATTTCAATTTGAAATATATATATATATATATATATATATATATATATACAATTAAATTCTCACTTATTCTCGTTTTAATTGGCGGCTTTAACAAATTTAGATAATTCAAAAAACATTTATACATTTCTTATTAAAATATATAATAACTTTTTTTATGTTAATCTGTTTTTATATTTTAATCTCGCACATTTCGTTGGTTAAAGAATGTAAAAATTTTATTGCTTTCTGTAATTGTAATAGTAGAATTAGCAAATAATTTTCTATTAATATATTTATTATATGTATATATATATATAATTTATTATGCATTTCGATATATATGTTGGTGATACTGAAAATCATTCAAACATTTCCATACATCTTCATTCATTTGAGTAGTATTTATTTGACCAATCAGAACCAAGAAGTCTTGGTTTTTAAATGCGCACGTGGTCTCGTGTGTCAAAAAGTTGAACTATCGCGATTGAAATGATCTAACCGCACTTTCAAGATTGCTTGACACTTATTCAATATTACAGAAATATGTTGAAAATATTGAGAAATGTTGTTCGTTTGGAAACAACTCGAATGGCGAAGCCCGAAAGAATAAGAGAATATAGCCATCAGGTTCAATCATGTTTCATCTTAATTATGATTTTTCTTTCTGAAGGAGAATTGTTTTTAAGGGATTTATTAAATTTTCTGAGGATTTTAATGAATATTTGTAATTAATTATCATAGTTAAAGCATATTGCATGAATTATTATCACATTTTAGATAAAGTTTTATTTATTGTATTGTTATAAAATTATTTAAAGAAAAATTGATTATAGGTTATTTTTACTATGTATACTTTATTTTGTAGACAACACAGACTAAATACCCAAAAAGGATATTCTCTGGAATTCAGCCAACTGGAAACATACATTTAGGCAATTATTTTGGTGCTATTCAAAGATGGGTAGAATTGCAGAATGCAGGCGAAGAAGTTTTGTGCAGCATAGTGGATTTGCATTCTATAACTTTACCACAAGTAAAGAAAATTAACAAATTCAGCATGTTAATATTATTGTCGAGATTATTCATGGATAATATGTAATTTGTAGGATCCAAAAAAATTGAGGGAAAATACTCTGGTGATGACTGCGACATTAGTGGCTTGCGGTATAGACTTTGAGAAAAGCATCCTGTTTCAACAATCCAAAGTGCCTATGCACACAGAACTGTGTTGGGTTTTAAGTACTATCACGACTATGCCGCGATTAGCGCACTTACCACAATTCAAGGAGAAAAGTGAATCTTTAAAGAACGTCCCTTTAGGCTTATACATCTATCCTGTTCTACAGGCTGCTGATATATTATTATACAAGTAAACATCTCTATATTAAATATGTAATGGTTACACATGACGCAGGTTGTATATGAAGATCCTTTATTTAGAGCAACACACGTTCCAGTTGGACAGGACCAAGCTCAACATATACAGTTGGCACAAGATTTAGCACAGATATTTAATAGAAAATTTGGACAAACTTTCCCAATACCACATACCCTTATCAGTGGTAAGCCTCTAAGATAGTAAGTTTTGAAATTCAAGCAAGTTGTTTCTGATTTAGTGAAATTTTTCTAATGAATTTTTATATTTTTAGATGGTCCAAGCCAACGGATCAAATCTTTACGTGATCCTATGAAGAAAATGTCAAAGTCACATCCAGATTTTAAGTCCAGATTAGACATCTTGGATGAACCAGATGTTTTGTTGGAAAAAATAAAGAAAGCTATGACTGATTTCACATCTGAAGTGACTTATGAGCCAGAAAAACGACCAGGAGTGGCTAATTTGATTAATATACATTCTCTTTTTACTGGGAAAACACCAGATGAAATATGTAAGGAAGTCACAGAGTTAAATACAGGACAGTGAGTATATATAGATAAAACTATATTATATAATTTTTATAATTAAAAAAAAATTGTACTCACACGCGCGTGTGTAACAAACTTTCTGGAGTTCACTAGTTAATAAGCAAATTTTGAAGTTTCTTGTTGATGTAAATTCTTATCTCTATTTCATAGATATAAATTGGTGTTAGCGGATGTAGTAATTGAGAAATTATCTCCAATTCGTGAGGATATATTGAGATTAATCAAAGATCCTACTTATTTGGACGAAATTTTGAAGAAAGGTACAGAAAGGGCGACAGAACTCGCAACAAACTGTTGGGAGGAAGTTACGAACAAAGTTTTTGGTATTGATACAATACAAGAAGTGAAAAATATAACAAGTACTGTAAAGATTATGTAGGAAATAGCTATTTGTGATAAATAAACTATACAATTTTTACAAAATAGATATTTATGATATAAATATTGCATCTATTTAATTAAATGATAGTATGTTGCTATCTCATGTCAATGACGAGTTTACCTCTTAAATGGCCTTGCTTCATTTTTTCATATGCCAGTGGCAAATCTTGAAAAGGGTACACTTGTTGAACAACAGGAACAATCTGCAATATGTAAAATATAAAATATCAAAATTATGGAACATTATTAATAGAATACATTAAAAATTTTTTAGATAATACATACTTCTTTATTTTCTACAAGTTTTTGAAGAACATTAATTCCAGATTGGGAGGGTATAAAAAATCCCCATTTTACACAGCTTTTATTTTCTGCCTTTGGAATATTATATTTTAAAAAATCTTGCACATTCTTTGCCATTCCTATGACTAGCCCATGTTGATCAGTATTTTTTAACAGTGGCGAATTTAAACCTATGTAAGTACTGTGCGGATATCCTTTCATTCTGACGTGCTCCGGCCCTCGATTGGCGCAATCTAAGATTATGTCATACCTGCTTGCAAATGTAACATATGTATATATACAATAATTATATACATACGAATACAATACATTTCGGTTTAATATGAAATTACTTACGGTCCTTCCGAAATAATTTTTGAATCGGCATCATCTTGCTTATAATCAATAACGATATCAGCACCTAAACTTTGTAGCAAATCCATGGCATCACTGCTGCACGTGCTAATTACCTAAATAAATTAAAATTTATATATTACAAATTTTAATGCAACATGCATGATGAAATATTTACATGCATGTTCCAAGCTTTCAGCAATTGTACAGCCAAGGTTCCGACTCCACCCGAACCTCCCATAACTAGAACACGTCTATTTAACCTTGTGACCATCGCCGTTTTATAAGATAGCCCTCCTGTAATCCACAGTGCAGACCATGCAGTCAGTCCAGCAAATAAAATACTTGCAGCCTCTGTATGAGATAAATTTCGAGGACATGGATTTACCTTACAAGAAAAGAAATATATTATTCAATATGTAATTTTTTTGCGTGTGAAATGTATAATACTTATAATATTTTAAAAATAAAATATCTTACTAGATTACTGTTAACCACGACATAATTTGCATGACAGCCTTGTTGTTCCATTGGAACTACTCCCCAAACTTCTTCACCTAACTCGAGCCGGCTTCCCACATCATGTCCCTTTGATACTATTACCCCTGTAAAGTCTCTGCCTAATGTCAATGGCAAGTCTAATTCATTGTATGTTCCGCCAGTGCAATTCTTGGCTTTACGCATTAAATTTAAAAGAGTTGTACCATAACCACCTATAATAAAATATACATGCTTTTATTATAACGAATTTTTTTATTGTAGCTTTTAGTTATATAAGATTAAATAAGCCATTTATTGCAAAAAACCTTTTGAATTAAAAATACATTGGAAACTTTATTAAAGCATAATAGCATTAATTTTTGACTATTTTTATATAATATATTTATTTAGATATACTTTCAATAACAAATATAAAATGTGACAAATATAGAATGTGTTATTTCATAATTTGATATGTGTTGTGATTTAAATTTTTACATGTTATTTACAGAATAAAGAACACATACAGAATAGAATACTTACTTGTCATCGCAACATCAATGGGATTCACACTAGCAGCTTCAACCTTTACCAAAACATCTGTTGGTTGCATAATTACCGGTATTCTGACATTTGATAGTCTTAAATCTTCCAATCCATTATACGAATGTATCTGCCAAGCTTGCATCTTATTAGATTTTTCTTCCAGATCCATTGAGAGTTTCGTTAAAGAGCGAAACTGCATCGATTGTGTGATGCATTTTAATCTCAGAATTGTTTTCTGTAACATATTCTTATTAAATCACTCCTTAAATAATGAATATGTACATATTAGAAGATATTTGAGATTAAAGTGAAATGTAAACAAATTTCTTGGTTAGGATTGCATAGGTTATATTTATTCCTTTTTGGCGCAGTGTCAATGGCGCCTTCTAATTTAAATTAATGTAATATGGATATTAAAAAATAATAAAATCTTTAAATAAGAATTTTATTTTGTTCATTAAAATATTTTATGAATAATTTTGTACATTTTGTATTTTATACACTTATTCAATTTTGAATTATATAAGTATTTCCTCTATGTTATATAAAATAATTTTTTAAAATTAATATACTGTTACAATAATCAAACCCAATAGATATACAAAATGTAGAGAATATTGTAAAATAATATGTACATTATTAAATACTTAGGATAATCCCAAGTGAGTCGGATTAACCAGAGTAAATTTCTCTATGCATTCAATTAACCATATAAGTGGCAGACTCTTAATATGCGGCATGTTGTATTTAATACGCGGTTCACCTTTACCTGGCATATATATAATATAATGTGTACATTTGTACAAAGGATGAGAAGAATCACTCGCAGTGTGAAAAGGTATCATTTGCGTCATATCCTTCAGATCTTCTGGATTTGGTTCTCTAGAGAATATTGTTCCTTCTCCTGCTTTTACAAGCCGTATCAAATCATCTTTCTTTAATTTTAAATCACCAATCTGATAAGTTGTATCTGCTTGTAAAGCAAAATAAAAGGAACAGTTGTTGAATAAGCGTGGATTTTGATTTTCCGCGCATCTTCTTGCTTTTTTTGAAACATCAGGAATTGACACACCATTAACTTCAAACAATTCAAAATCCAAATTAGATATGTCGTCTATATCTCTGCCAATTTAATCCCTTTAAATAAATTATACAAATTTTAAATCATGTTAAAAAATGACTACAAGCACATAATTATGTTTTATCTTACATTCACTATTAAGAAGCCAATTGCCATGGACAATTGTGAACAAGACATCAAGTGTCAATTTGGTAACATTCCGTTCATTTACCTCCACTATAACATGTGTGACAGATGATCTGAAATATAAAACTGAAATATAGATTTGCTTACACATGTTGATATTTTTCGGTTAATAAGAAAAATTGTACCTATATGTGGTTAAAATCTTGAGTTTATGTTTTGCAGCTATGAGACTAAGTAGTTTCTGATTTTCAGGTTTTAAGTTTGATGGATAAATCACCAATTTACCACATTTTGCATATAATGACGAATCTAGTGTTTGATTAATACTTGTGTCCAATATCTGTTCAGATTGTACATTTATCAAAAGCTGTCGCATCTGGTCTGATTTACAGTAGTCTCTATAATCAAATTAAAATCATGAAAGAAAAATAAAAACTGTTTCTCAATATTATCTTATAATACCATAATGTGCATATACATACATAGGTTTTTTGCCATATCGATCACATAGATTTTTGTCAGCATGATAATCCAATAACAACTTAGCTTCTTCAATTCTATCATTCTCAACAGCTTCATGTAATGGAGTTTTCTGGTCATAACCCGATATATTAGGCAATGCTCCACAGCTTAATAGTAATTTACTTATTTCAATACACCCATAATTGATCATTTCTTGCTAAAATATTTATACAGAAAGACCGAATAATTAAATCTTAAAAATAGCATAAAAATATAATTAAAAAAAATTAATGTAGATGTATTTTTTACCAGTGGTGTCCAACCTGCATTATCTTTTGTATTAGGATTTGCACCAGCTAGCAACAACTGTTTAACTTGTTCAGCATTTCCCTATAAGTAAATTGACTTGTAATTTATATAATATTTAATATAGTAATAATTTAATCCAGATAAAAAATAATCATAGTATTATTTCAAACTAGAGATAGAAAGGGAAAGGAAGAGATTATACTAGTGATACATATACCTTTGATGTATATACCTTTAAACATGTAGTATGCAATTGTGTTTCTCCTTTTGCATTTGGTTTATTTATATTTTTTTTATTCTTAATATAAAATTGTTTTCTTGGTGTGCTAAGTATTTCAGATACTGAAGGGGCCACTGATATATCTCCAATATTGTTCCATACATTTTCCCTGCGATACATTTATATTATTTATCTTTAACAATTTTATATGTATATATAATTATGTAATAGTTAATACATATTGATACAATATGTATCTGATACATATTGATACATATTTGTATATTAATACATATTGATACAATATGTATTAATACAATAATATGTATTAATATGTACATATTGATAAAATAATAATTATTTCATAGTAACAACATTTCATATATTCATATTTAAATAAAATCTAATCACACAAACCTTTTAATAATTTTTGCAATAGTATCGCAACCCTGAATGAGATTTGATATGAAGCAGTCAGGATTGATTTCTCGTGGTTGCACAGGTATTTCACATTTAACACATATTGTTGCAAACTTGACACAATTATGACAGAAAAAATGTCCACAATTTGTGAGTCTTACAGGAGATATTGGTTTGCATCCACTGTAAAGATATCGATATGTTAAATCAATATAAATCTTTTTATATATATACATATATATAGCAGTAAACATATATAAAATGTTTATAGAAGTAATACTTGCTGAATAAATCACAAATTTCTAAAAATAGTGTGCAAAAAAATTATGAATATAATGTGATTGTTACTTCAAAGTACTTTAACCAAACTCTGATTAATTGAATCAATCATTTTTAATTAATCATTAGTGACATCTTGAAATATTTTGTTAATTTAAATAAAATTATTGATTATTATTAAGCAATTATAATTGTAGATTGATCAAAATAATTCTTAATAAATAGAAATTTATAATGTATAATTACCATTTCCCACAAATTAAAATGCTTGCAAAATCCTGCAATGCTTTAATAGTATTTATCCATGAATAATCCATTTTCGTAAAATTATTTAATCAATTTTCCAAATTGTGTAAAATATAAATTATTATAGTTATGTATATAAACAATTCTTTATTACTCCGCCAATTCGAATGTGTTATATATAGAAATGTAAACGATTGCACTAAAGGTCTATTTTCAAATTTTCATCGCCTCAGAGAAATTGATCCACCAATCAATTCAACGTTACTAGACGTGTGATTGGTGGATTTTTTGTACATGTGTATAAACCCAAAGTTTTCAGCACAAGACTGGCGCGAGAGATACAGAGACCTCTATCAAAATAGTTGTGAACGAGGTATTTTTCAATTTGCAATTTTGTTTTACGATCAAGGAAGAATTATATTATTAATTGCAATATTCGTAATTAATAATACATCGCCTACGAAGTATTATTAGTATATAAGCGATACTTTTCTTTTAAAAAAGCGAGTCAAAGTAAACTCTTTTTCTGTAATTTCGATTTGCCGCAAAACCATACAATATATCGTTTGAATATAATCGATCGATCAATCAGAACACAAACGGCAAAGATTTCAAACGCCAAGTTGGCGTGCACATTTTATTAACGCGTCTCTTCGTTTTGAGCCGTATATTTTTGCATCTTTTGCCAAATAAGGTAAGTGTACACGTTTAAGCTATAAAAAAAAGAGAGTGGAAAATACGAGAAATGTAATTAAATGTGGAACAATTTGCAGGTGTCGATTATGTTTACTATTTTCTTTCGCGGAATCGCGGAGTGATAAAAGAAGGTTGTGTTAAAAGGTACAGGTACAGTGTACGATTAATATATTTGCTTTTCAAGACTTTTTATTTATATATATTTACACAGCTCTGCACTAAGTAATATTCAGTTATTATAAAACGTCATGAATATGATGCATTTTCTTCAAATTTGCCGATTTTTTTATGAAATTACATTTCATAAATAAAACGACACACACTCACACAACACACACACATACACACACACACACACAGCGGTTCCTGAAACCAGTAATGGGGGAGAAGGGGAGCGAGAATTTCTACAAAATTATTTGATTAATCTTTTCACAAATAATCGCGTTACAATTATTTTTTTTAATTTAAAAAGGGGAGTTTAACCTCAATCCTCCTTCCTCAAGTTTGCCAACACACACATACATATATATATTATTATATATAAAATAAAATCTAAAGATTAGTAAATACAATTAAAATGTAGTTACGATAAAAATTACACTGTATAGAACTTAAATTTAAAATTCAAGAAATTGAAATTATTATTCTAGAAATTTTCCTCGATTATTTTTCTAAAATCTAAAATAATTATAAAGTTTTGGATTTTTTTACTTAGATAATTATAATAACGTATTTTATATTTTTCAGTGCGATTTTAAAACATTCTTAAATCTGCAAGTAGAAGAGGACTGATACAAAAGAACGAAGAAAATATAAATAAGTAAGAATATTTATTTTAGAGAGAGAATGATACGTCTTATTTTTTTTATCTTAAATAACTATAATAATTATTTATTTTATATTTTTTAGTGCGATTTTTTCACCTCAAATGGTGTAAAACATTCTTAAATCTGCAAGTAGAAGAGGACTGTTTTTAATCAGACATGACCACAAACGTAGTTTGATTGTTACGTTCGCTTCTTATGACTCATGTAAAAGAATGTAGAAAGTATAAATAAGTAAGTATATTTATTTTAGAGAGAATACTACGTTTCTTATTTTTTATATCTTACATAATTATAATAATTCTGTATTTTATATTTTTCAGCGCAATTTTTTGACTTTGGCTGGCGTAAAACATTCTGAAATCAGCAAGTAGAAGAGGACTGTTTTTAATCAGACATAGCCACATACGTAGTTCGATTGTTACGTTCGCTTATTATGACTGTATAAAAGAACGAAGAAAATAAAAATAAGTAAGTATATTTATTTTAGAGAATGCTACGTTTCTTATTTTTTATATTTCACATAATTATAATAATTCTATATTTTATATTTTTCAGCGCAATTTTTTGACTTTGGGTGGCGTAAAACAATCTGCAAGTAGAAGAAGACTGTTTTTAATCAGACATGACCACAAACGTAGTTTGATTGTTACGTCGCTTCTTATGACTGATGTAAAAGAATGAAGAAAATATAAATAAGTAAGTATATTTATTTTAGAGAGAGAGAGAGAGAATACTACGTTTCTTATTTTTATATCTTACATATTTATAATAATTCTGTATTTTATATTTTTCAGCGCGATTTTTTGACTTCCGATGGCGTAAAACATTCTGAAATCAGCAAGTAGAAGAGAACCGTTTTTAATCAGACATGGCTACAAATGTAGTTTGATTGTTACGTTCGCTTATTATGACTGTATAAAAGAACGAAGAAAATATAAATAAGTAAGTATATTTATTTTAGAGAATACTACGTTTCTTATTTTTTATATCTTACATAATTATAATAATTTTGTATTTTATATTTTTAGCGCGATTTTTTGACTTCCGATGGCGTAAAACATTCTGAAATCAGCAAGTAGAAGAGAACTGTTTTTAATCAGACATGGCTGCAAATGTAGTTTGATTGTTACGTTCGCTTCTTATGACTGATGTAAAAGAATGAAAAAAATATAAATAAGTAAGTATATTTATTTTAGAGAATGCTTCGTTTCTTATTTTTTATATCTTACATAATTATAATAATTTTGTATTTTATATTTTTCAGCGCGATTTTTTGACTTTCGATGGCGTAAAACATTCTGAAATCAGCAAGTAGAAGAGAACTGTTTTTAATCAGACATGGCTACAAATGTAGTTTAATTGTTACGTTCGCTTATTATGACTGATGTAAAAGAATGAAGAAAATAAATAAGTAAGTATATTTATTTTAGAGAGAATGCTACGTTTCTTATTTTTTATATCTTACATAATTATAATAATTTTGTATTTTATATATTTCAGCGCGATTTTTTGACTTCCGATGGCGTAAAACATTTTGAAATCAGCAAGTAGAAGAAGACTGTTTTTAATCAGACATGACTACAAATGTAGTTCGATTGTTACGTTCGCTTATTATGACTGATATAAAAGAATGAAGAAAATAAATAAGTAAGTATATTTATTTTAGAGAGAGAATGCTACGTTTCTTATTTTTTATATCTTACATAATTATAATAATTTTGTATTTTATATATTTCAGCGCGATTTTTTGACTTCCGATGGCGTAAAACATTTTGAAATCAGCAAGTAGAAGAAGACTGTTTTTAATCAGACATGACTACAAATGTAGTTCGATTGTTACGTTCGCTTATTATGACTGATATAAAAGACTGAAGAAAATTAAATAAGTAAGTATATTTATGTTAGGGAATGATATGTCTTGTTTTTATATAAATTTTTAGGTACAATTTTTATATAAGTTGTTTTTTTTAGTGTATTAAATTTCTACTTCTTTATATCTTTATTTATTGTATTTGTGAAAATGTACTTGCAGAATCATATTCATCGTGTATTATGGAGCACCGCAAATTGGATTATTGTATGAGACATCGAGACACGATAAAATTGCAAAGATTGAGAATTCTCTTCGGATAGAACGAGCACGGATTCTCTCTTAATAAACGCGCCTGCTCGACATCGATCACTGATCATTATACGGTTTCAATGCAACGGCGTTGGCAATGATGACGAGAACGTCGATCACTCTGCACGTGTTCACGGTAAGTAAAAAGCTGGATTAATCGGAAGGATTCTTATGCATTTGCGAGATAGGAGAATGTATCGAGTTTATAGAAAGAACGAGGAAAGAGATGGAAATAGAATAAGTCTTTAGACAAAAATCACCCTCTTATCAAAATTTACGATTGTTTCGGAGTAGAAAGAATAGAGACGGTTGCAAATTTGGAAGAAAAACAGAACAAGCTAGATTGACAGTACAAAAAATGTGAATAGAATTCTATTTAAGACAGGTTATTAGAATACGCATAGCAGGGTTGAGGCAAGAACTTTCGTAAAATAAATTCGCGCGATACAAAGTCTACGTCTAGCAATGAAACTCAATCCAATCAACGAAATATTTTCCCATCACGGGCCTAAACTCTTGTTGCCGATCAAAACCTTTAACATGCCGATAATATACCCAGGGCCTTCGAAGCTCGTAATTTCGCTCCTGAGTTGGGTAAGGGATGATGGCGCGAGCGAAAGGAGAAAAAAAAGTAAGAGAGAAAGCGACAAGAATCGCCACGGGGAAACGAAGAGAAAGGATCGTCGAAAGGGGTTAGCGGAGAACGAAGAGAACGGGAAAACGGGAGCGGTATACGGAAAGTCGCGTATATAAGGGGGCGCACCTGTACGACGAGGGTGGTTCGAGGGTTGGAGAGGACGCGTCGCGGGCGCAGCGCGCGAGAGAGGATATTGACATTTTCGGACGTGGGGCGCGCATCGCGGCGAAGACAGGAGGAAGGGGTGGTGGGGGAGGGGGCACGAGGTGCGCGCGCGACGGGGCAGTCGCCTCTCCCTGTCGGATCCTGCAGTATCCATGGCTACGTCGTCCGCGAGGATTTCCCGCGAAAGACCGGAAGCGTGATCGTCACGGCGAGGCGACGACTGTCGCCCAGCTACGCAGGGGCGGATAAAAAGAAAAAACGAAAGAGGGAGGATAGAAGGCGACGACGAAGCGGTGGCAATAGCAGCGACAACAGCGACGTCAATAAGCGACGAGGGTGCCGTCGAGAGCGGCACCCGGATAGCCTCTCGGCGTTTCACTCTGGTGGGTCTCTCGCGAGAATCTTCACCCTCTTCATTCTCCGTCCATCTCTCCTTCCGAGAACTAGGGTGGATATATCGGTGTCTCTCTCTCTCTCTCTCTCTTCGTGTCTTCCCCTTCCCGCAAGTTAACTCGGAGGCCACGTAACTCCAGCCCTGCCACCCCCGTACTCCGTCGTCGTCGTCGCCGCCGCCGCCCACGACCTCCTCTCCGACTGTCGCGCGCGATGCTCTTCCAGCATCCCATCGTCTGTTCTCCGTCTATCTTTTTCCGTGGTGTCGTCGCGGTACCCGGGGCAAACTTACACGATCCGAGAGTGCGCGATCTCGCGAAAACCACCCGATATATATTTTACCCAAAGTGCCAGGAAGCTGGAGGAGAGAGCGTCGTCGTGTCGGTGAGGGTGAGTCATCATCACGCGGATGGTCGGAACAAAGATCCGATAAATAATTAGATAGACGAGAGACACGATTGAAGAGACCAGTGGAGACGAGGAAGGACCTGGACGAAAGGACGACAAGATCGGGGTGGCCAGAAAACACAGAAGAGACGTCTGTCTTCTCGTCGACGAGGAGGTGGTGGGTGGCGCGGGGCGTTGATCGTACACACACCGGTGTCGTTTAGTAATAGCGGTGGTAGTGGTGCCTCTGGTGGTAGTAGTAGTAGTGGTGGTGGTGGTGGTGGTGGTGGTGGTGGTGGTAGTAGTGGTGCATCCCGCAGTGTGTTTACCCAGGGTGAGGTGCCTCTCGCGCGCGCGACTAGGCGGAGTCGCACCTCTCCGTCCTCACTCCCGCTTCCGCTTTTCGCGTCTCCCCGTGACCGAGCGAAGGAGCGGCGATGAGGAACGACGTGTATCTCTAATCCGTGACCCGCTCTCATCTTCTCTATCCTTCTCTGCGTATATCTACGTTACTTCACTTCTCGTATCTAACGTTTGACGTTACGTTGTGAAGCAGAAGAGGCGTTGCCGCGGCGGCCCCGAGCAGCCGCCACCCTCAAGGTGGAGAACCGGATATTACTGGGATATATATCTATATATATATCTATATATATATCTATATATATATCTTAATCTTTCCTCGCTGGCCTTTCTCTCGTTCCGGAAGAATCTTCACTTAAGAACCTGTCTCAGGTATCAACTCTGCGAGTCGATAATGATCACGAGACTTATAGGATAAGAGGCGTTGGCTCATCTCGGACGCGCTTCTACGTCCGAGTTTTTGGAGAAACAAGTGTCACGCGTCCTCCGGATGATCTTTCTGACTGGCTTGTGAAAATTTTGGTTCGATTCGGTGATGAAAACATTGTCGTTACTTTGCAAACATGGATGCGAAAGTAAACCATACGGATATGTACCACGTCTGACAGAAGATGCCTGATCTCTCGGTGTCTTCGATTCTCCGCTCAGTGTTTCAGATTCGTATTTTGTCTCTCGTCAAATTTTATCCGCAGAAGAGTCCTTAGATCGCGAATATGTTCGTGGATAAATTCGCGAGTCGATAAAACTCGCGAAGCGACATGAAGGCGTTGGCTCTCCTTTCGATACTCTTCGTGTGTTTTGGAGCAAGTGTATGAATTTTCCATGATTCTCTTGCGGTTCTGTGCGGAGTTTCGTCACCAGGTTTGGTGACAGAAATATTCAATTTAAAAAATGTTATTTTTTTATACAACGGGAAAATACGAGTGTACAATATTTGTGTATTTTACATGCAATGATTTTGGATGAATATATTTCGTTAAATTAATGAGAAATTTTCACAGGACGTAACAAAATATTACTAAAGTCGATTTATAGCATCTTACAGAAAATAAGGACTTCCATTTTTAAATTCGTATCGAGACTATTAACATAGATTGTGAAAAATATATTTTTTCTGAGAGAAAGGAAATTACGTAAATGCATTTATATATAGTGTCTTATTTTGTTTATTGTTGATATAGCTGTAATTAGTTGTGGTTCAGAGAAAAATTTTACTCTTTTTTTTTACGTATATATATTACTTTGATAAATCGATAATGTATTGATACTTTTTTCATCAATTGAAAAAAGTGTATGCAATTTTTTGTAATCTCCAAGAAATTCCTGATTCAATTGACAACATTTTATATTAGTGAATTAGACGTTATATTCATTTGTTTATATTATTGATATTGAATTAAAGTATCAAAATTTTAACAAAGTAAAAGAGAAGGAAAAAGTTTATTCTAATTAATTGTGTTTGATTAATAAAAAATTTCAAAGACTAATCTTAAATTCACATAAAAAAATAATTAAATATTTTTACATAATATATTTATATAACATATGTTTTTTCTTCGTAGTATATTTCTGAAACTCTTAAAATTATCTTACATCCATTTATCTGTTTGACTACGTAATAAATATTTTTTCCTACAAACATATAAATAATTATAAATATTTAACGAATAGTTTAATTCATTGTTTCAAAATCCAAACGCTTTGAACCACAGCATTTGATTCATTCAATGAATTTAACTTACGAATTCTACTATCGCAAATAGAGCACATTTATCAGTGAAGCACGGCCAGGCAGAGTAAAAACGAGCAATCTTCGATTCACCTGGACATTTCCACATTCCACGATATTGTTCGACACTGCGAGAATTTAGTTTCACGCACAGGGCAACCTTGCACCCATCATTCATGTTTAGCCACGAACGACGAGTAAGCGTGTCGCCGCCGAAATCGATATAGTGTTTAGAAAGCTCTCTCTCTCTTCACACCCACGCCGGTCGTACGCCTACCTTTCGTGTCCCGGCTTTCGTGTCGGGATGACGAGCGGACCCCCGGGCACGACTAAGGCTTCCTACCTACGTCTCTTCATTCGACTCTACGCCCACGTCGGCCGTAATTATCGCGGGCTATCGGGCGAACCGACTGCTGGCGATTCACAAACTCCCGTTCTCCCGATATATATCGCCGTCTGCTCGTGCGTGTCGACTATATCGGTGACAACGACAACGTTGTTGGGATTTTCGCAGACGGCAGACCGCAATTTTCCGCCGTCTCCGTCGACCATAATTAATCCTTTGAGCCCCAGGTAGTCACGAGTGCACGCACCGTTTGACATTTATCCACTCGCGCGGACCCTTGTCCAATTAAGCATATATATATAGGCATATATACGTGAATCCGTGTCTTTTGCCCAGACGAAGGCCCGATGATGTAAAAAGCTTAGATAACAACGGCTGCCGCCGGTCTGAAAATAATTTTCCTCCTTTGACTCAGTTCCCGCGATCGAACTTAGAAATGACGTTAGAGAGTTTATCGAATCTCCTTGGTTCCAAAGGTGGATGACCAATTGATTAATTAATTAATTGGAAAATTATTCTTTTTTTAAAAAAGAAAGATTCCTACGTGTAGTTAATCATTTATTTTACAGTAAAATATTGATTTCTGGTGAATGTATACGCTACAGTTATTTAAAAAATTATTATATCGTAACAATGACGCACTCGTGATAATTTTAAAATTAAGATTAATGTTACAACGTGGCTGGACGTTTACGCTGAACATATTTTTAGAACCACCGGGAGTAATTGTTCGTGTGCCAATTTTATTATACATGCAACTATGGAGAACGAGTACAGGGTTGAAAATATAGAAGCCAACTGTGTGTTGGTGTTTCTCGCAGGAATAGTCCGAGCCAGAAAGCCCCCGGAACATCATCCTCTATCTTCTCGTGATGGATGTTGCGAGATGAACGTTACGAGGACCTAGGATAGTCGCGAGCATTGTCCAGAGCATCTTCGGGAGAAATGATGTATTACGCGGCTGACAGGGATGGTTCAGTAACCCTCCGGTGGCGCTACCCCTTTTATTATCCGCGACATATCTGTACAATATCTCACGCTATTGACCTCTTCTCCTGGCTTCAGCCAAACATTAGAATGAAGCACTCGCAACGACGATGCTCGCAGTAATCGATTGCACGTTGCGAAAGAGTCCATCGAAAGAAATGTGAATGAAGCCCTGACGTGCGAGAAAAGATCGTTGTTCAACGAGAGAGTTGCTAGATTTATTTTAACTGTTTAATTGGGAAATAAAGTTGCGACGAGGTTGCAAGAGCGATAGCTTATATCTTTCCGCTTGAAAGTTCGCTCGAGAGCATTGGATTTACTTTATCAGAATTTAATTGAACCCCTGGCCGCATCCCCGAAGCGTTTTAAGCTAATTGATATTCATAGGATTATAAATTAGTTTGCTGAAAAATTGATATTAATCAATACGTTGATAAACTCGTTGACTAAACCTGCAATTTATTTAAATCCCATTGATGAGTTTGTTTCTTCGAGTGATTGCGACGTTTATATGATCAGCCTCGTCGTAAATCTCCTTAGTTTTTTATATACATATTATATATTTATGTAATTTTATGTTAATTTAAAAATTAGTTTAATATATTATTATTTCATGTTATAAAATACATACATATATATACACATATGTATATATATATATATATATGTATATGTTATTGATATATTGCATAACATTATGCACTCGTGTAAATTTTCTGATAATTCGCATCTCATTTTATGACATTGTTTTAATTAAAATATGCGTTTTAATTGCATTGAAGATAACTATGTTTACAAAAGATATATAATTCATATGTATACATATTCCTACGTGAAGTAAATAAGATTTGTATATTATGCGAATGTTTGAAATATATATGTTTCTCATAGCTAATCGACTCACGTATGTTCGCAGCGATCATGCTAGAGACAAGCTGATGACTTTCGCGACGTCTGCAATGATGTGACAATAAAGATACCTCCTCCTACTCTCTGCTAACTGGGGATCCTCCCTATTACACACAGTGCTTCCCAATAACACACACGATCCGAGGATCACGCGCAAAGAAAAAAAAAGCAACGCCAAATCGTCAGCCGTGGTCGGCGTCGTTGAAAATCGGTGCCAAAAGTCGACACAGACAAGCCATAAGAGCCAACCCCGCGAAAGTGTGTCAAAGAGGAATTGAAGAGGGTGGAACGGAGAGAGATATAAAGCGAACAGAAAAACAGAGAAAAAACGAGACAAAAAGAAAAAGATATATAGACGTAGTAGTACGGGGGATCAGACGGATATCCCGAGGACCTGAGGGGGAAAAAGAAAAGATACGTGAGGCCAGGAACGTGTTAAGGCGTGTCGTGCCAGAAACACAAACAAGCATCACGAGTACAGAGGGTGGTGTGGTGACGCAGAGTGGTGGTGGTGGTGGTGGCGGGGCAAGGCAAGGCAGGTGGCAGGATCTAAGCCGGAATAAGAGCAGTTAGAATGGGCAACAAGCTTTCCTGCAGTTGCGCACCCCTGATCAGATCAAAGACGTATCGTTACGAGGACAGCCCATGGCAGCAAGGTGCCAGGGGCGGGATGGGCGGCGGAGGACGCAGGGGTGACACTGGCCACTTGCTCAGGTGCGGAAGCTTAAGAGAGAGGAAGAGGTGCGCATACCATACCATTCAACCATTCAATCACTCTCCATTCAACCATGTTGCCACTCTTTCTCTTCGATGATTACCATTCGTACACACTTGACTGACATGCATTATGCTGACTCTCTCTTTCTCTCTCTCTCGCTCTCTCTCTCTTTTCCTTTTTCTTTCTCTTCCTTTATTTGCTTCTATTTTTCATGCGCCGCATGGATGACAGCAGCATTGCTCGGGAATCAGAATCTTTGCATCAATTTTGCATGATAATTACGCATGAATTATATAATAGATGATAAATGCAATTTCATAATATAATAATTATATTATTGTAAGAAATTATTAGAGAGAAATCTCTTTTCTTTGCGCGTACATGTATAAGAAAAGTTCTTACGATTTAAATTATTCAAACGCTTTATTGATTTATGCAATCTTGAATTTTGACATGTTAAATATTCTGACAGGTTTATTACATATAATATTAAGAAGGAAAATAATAATGGATAAATTGACTTATTTTTACTTGGAAGTGAAATTTTTTATGAGATTTTTAATGTATCTTAATTTTCCACCTAAATGTAATCGTTACATATTTCATCGCGATCTTATTATTGATCTTATTTTAGCAAATACTCTGAAATGTTTACTACAAAATGCAGTACATCCAGATCCGGACTTATATATTATTTTGTAGCGTCTGACGGTGAGAGGCTACATACTTCTGCAGTTATATGCCGGTAGCTATATGTATATCGGGGATGTCGCTTTTTATTCACGTCTCCCAGACTGTCTTGCATTTCTCTTATTCATTCGTTTTCTTCACTTTTATCTCTCTCGCTGTCTCTTTTTCTCGCTATCTTATTTGCTCGCGCTTACTTCTTTAACCCTGACCGTCCTTTCGCTTTTCTCTTCCACTTTTTGTGTGGCTGATCAAACTAGTAGCTCGTACATCAACGGGCAATAGCTTCTCCTTGGTTAGATATGATACGCTTAGTTAATTTTGAGTAATAGTAGTTAGTGTAATTTTGATGTATATTTCTTTATTTAATTAAATAGAAATTAAGTGCTGCTTTCCATGTGTTTGACTATAATAGGAGTACTAATTTTTTTTATTATACGATTTGCGTTAATAAATTAAATTTCATTTAAATTAAGTGGAATGGAACATTTATTTTATTTTTCTGTAATCTCTACTACTCTACTTTACACTTCATCTATACATATTTATGCTTCGCATGATTAGTATTTTTAACACAGAGTGTCATTATTTTTTGTCCACATTTAATCTAGTTCAATGAATAAAATTCGATTATATATCGTCCAATTTTTTATCCATATTTTAAAGTTTTAAAATCAAAATAATAAATATCTATATGGATCATAATTTTAATGCAGAAAGATTTTACGCGATATTTATTCGGATATTGTAATCTAAATGTAGATATTGTATGCATATAACGTACATGCAATTGTGATTTTCCTCGCACGATTCCATTTCAAAATACAGTGCGATATTATGATCAATATAATGTAATGATATTTTTTATGTACTTTTAATATTATATCTATAACGAAAACAATAATAACCACAAATACTTTCAATGATAGATCTTTACTTTTTCTCTTCTCTCGTTTCGTGCCACAACTATTCTATTTTATCACACGTTCTTTCCTTAGAAATTTTCCTTAACGGTGTGTCGATGTTCAATAATCATGTTGTCGCAACACACGATGTAATGACGAGAGTTTTTAGGCTGTGGGCCGAAGTGTTCCATGTAAACTCGAGCGGAGCTGGCACTGTCAAGTGGCAGCAGGTGTCCGAAGATCTGGTCCCGGTGAACATCACTTGCATCCAGGATTCGCCGGAATGCGTCTTCCATATCACCGCATACAACAGCCAGGTCGATAAGATCCTAGATGTGCGGTTGGTCCAACCAGGTAAATCATGATTCAAGAAAATATTCAAATTAAACTAATTTTCAAATTAAGCTAATTTTTTGTAAGAGAACAAAGAACGATACTTCCATAATGATATAGAAAAAATATAATTTTTACAAATTAATTTTACTTTCGGGATAAAATGCGGCGATAAAAGTAGCGCGATTTCGGCGAGTTTAATGAAAGTTAAATTTTGCAACAATTAATATCGTGTAATTATGTTTCAGGTACGCGCATCGGCCAAGCATCAGAATGCTTCGTTTACTGGAAGGACACAGTCACAAATGATACATGGGGGCTGAACTTTACGTCTCCCATAGACGCAAAGCAATTCAGAGAATGCTGCGTAAGTTTAGTGATACTACACCCGCGACACGCATGTCGTTACATTATACGTACATCGTGCCACAACCCTGTTCGCTATCACTCTCACGAGGTCTCTCCGCCTATTTCCTTTCTCCCATTGGGTAGCACGCGAGAAAGTTGAGCGGAGATGGTTTAGGGGCAACACACAACAAGTCCGATACAAGTCCAATTCGACTTCTTAGGTCATTTGCAGTCACTAGTTAATTTTCCATACAGTCACCGTCGTTCAAGATTTCAAGGAAAGCGTCCTCTTCTTACTCGTTGAAGCTCGAGCCACCGAACAAGCAGAAGATCAAAACACGCCGAAAGCCACTGTCGACCCCGGCCTCACCCAGCCGATCCAGAGAACCTCAGTGTACCTGTATGACGCCGGAACAGTTTGCCAGGCTACGTAGCCAGGATCCCAGATATCGAAGCCCGTGCGGTATGTATGATTTCTAGAGAATATATCTTTATATATTCATATATACATATTTCTAGTCTATATTTTCTTTGTTATTTTTTAAATTTATATATACACATTTATTTTCCAATTTTTTCGTAATGTGTTTAATTTTGATAAGAGCAAAATAGAAGATCGAGAGAGTATACCTATATCTTCGAATTTTAATTTCTTCAGTCTTTTAATTATTGTAGAAACAATAATACATCAAATTTTTGAATCAATATATATATATATATATATATATTTAATTTAGATAATCTCATTTCGTATAAATATGTAAATTTTTTTATATAGGTACACAAGATATACATATGTACAATATTTCGCGCAATTTGATTTAGACGCAAACTAATAAATATCTGTCTAAAATAAATCTGTCTACTTTATTTCAGGACCGTCTACGCTTCCACGGACCATGGCGCGATCTACGGAGATGGAAATGACGCCGGGACGAGATAAGATAACAGCGGCCACATCCAGCGCATCTCTCTACGACAACGTCAACAATCCTAGCGCGACACCCGGAAAAACACCAAAAGCTGGCGACTCGGCCAAACAGAAGGATAAACAGAATGAAACGTGTCAGACAACCCCGAAGACTGCCAATATTGGAATTGGAACTGTTACGGTTGGATCGCAGGCAAGTACAATTATAGCAATATAATAATGCATTTTTTTCTGAATCAATGCTTAAAATTATACAGATTTGTGATATTCATAGAATATCACAATAAACAATTATTGTTATTCTTTGTTTCAGATATAGTTCATTCATTCTTCATTTGCCAATTTAATTTAATGAGGCATAGATTCTTACTACACGAATATATTTTACGTTTTATTGCATTTTTTCAATGGTAAAATGTATTATTCTTTTTATTCCATATTTAGCATTTTAAGAAAGTATTAATTTTTTAGAAAAACAATTTTTGATTATTTATATATATATATATATATATATATATTTTTTTTTTTTAGTAATAATATATATTACTTTATATCACATACAATACATATATTAATATTATAAAAGATTAAATAACATTTCACAGAAACTATAATTTAGTGAATATCTATTACAAAAATTGAACAAAATATTATTTTGAATTTATTAATTTATTAATTCCATTTCAATAGATCGACAGTCCTGACGAGAAAAGTTCCACGATATCGCCGAAGAAGCAGAAGCAGAGTCAGGACTCGTCAACGCAACAGAACGGTACCGAGATGCTGAAGTCAGAGGGCACCCAGGCTGGTGGTACCCTACAGAGTAAATTGCATCTACGCAAAGAGCAACTGCACCATACCAAGTCGGCCGACTATACCGAGTTGGAGATGCAGAACGGTAATCTCTTCAATATCGTCAATAACAATCATGGTCACAGATCGAAGAGCAAGAGCACCGATGACATGCGGATCGAGAACGCGCAAAACGGCGGCATCAGTCTTGACTCGAACACCTTGAAGCGCATGCTGAAGCCAATGCCAAGCATTGACAGTCCGGTAACGTCGCCGGAAATGACGAGGAAACGTCACAGCAGCCATCACAGTTATCACTACCATCCGAGCAATAACAATCAGAAGTACATGATGCAGGAGGTTGACAACGAGAATTACGCGCACCCCTATCGCGCGCCCTACAACAATAAGTTTCAGGGATCCCGAAGCGTCCATGATATGAGCCGGCAATATACTGGTATGATTTTTTCCCATTTATTAATTCATTGTATACTAATTAATCTTTATTCACAATTTTTTAGACACAACATTTTTTTACTATTCCATAATATCGCCCTGCCATTTTAAATTCTCGCCACACATTTGCAATTGATAAATGCCTACTTTGCAATGTTATGTAATTATTTAAATTTATAAGAAATCTGCTAATCTAAATTAATATTTAAATATTAAAATTTGATGTATATATTACAATAATGTGTACATTATAATGATGTATATTATTAATATACATACAGTAGAATATATTTAATTCTTAATGGGATAATGTTATCATTGTTTATATAATTTATTGTTAATATATATATATGTAGAATATTCAAATTGTTTAAAACAAAATTTTTTTAAATCTAAAATTGAAGGTAAAATATGTATTCAAAATGCAAACATTTTAACAATGATAACATTAGAAAACGACTAGAGGATCGATCATATAATTTTCTTATAAAAAAGTAATTTTTCTGCGTTTTTTCTACACGATACATAATATCATAATGATTTTTATTTACCGCACAAAACAATTAGATTTAAATACAATTTAAAAAATTCTAAAAAAAATGACAAAGTTTATACTGGAAATGGCATGATCGATCCTATAGGATATTGCTCTTGTTTGTCCCTATTTAATTCCGGCGAACGCATAACATCATAAGAAGTTTCCTAAAATTAACCAGCGACTGATCTCTGACGTCTATTCGATGTATATCTCTAACCTTTAGCTACACCCTCGGCATAACTTAACATGCGCACAGAGCGACAACGTGGTTGTCGGTGAGCTCCACCCTGATGAAAGTCACGGGGTCATCCACCACCACTTGCGGCACCTCTAACATTTTGTTTTGCTTTTAACCTTCTTACATAACATGCGCACTAAGGGTCGACAACGTGGTCGTTCAGTTCTACGGCAGCCTCATTCAGGCTCATTCTCGGATGGACCACTTCTCGAGTTACGCGTTCGCCGAGTTTGACTAAACTAATAAACGTCTCCTTCGTCCGTTCATCAGCGGACCACCGCACGACTCATCACATATTCCATTCTGCACTCTCGGTTGCACCTCTCTGCTCGCAGGCGGCAGAGGCAGGACGTACTTAGATTCGGAACGTAATCGGTGCACAGGTGACATGTCGCCGCCCTCGGACAATGTCATCTTCGACAACCAGTGCTACGCGACCACGCCGAGCTCGTCGAACGGCAACTCCGACATGGAGCAGCCGAATCACTGCAACTCCCGTCGTTGCAACGGCGGCCAGACATATCAGCAGCAGAACATGCAGTCGGTGTCGACTCCGGGCAGCCCGACCAGCCGGCTGCTCCTCGAGTACGAGATGCATCTCAGGAACACTCTGGCCAAGGGTATGGACGCGGAGAGTTACAGCCTGCGTACGTTCGAAGCTCTGCTCACGCAGAGCATGGAGAACTTGGGTGAGACGCCGTTTAAATTTTGATTCGAAAAAGACTAGATTTTGATTATAAATCGTCTTTTAGCAGCTACATAAAATCTATAAATTAATTAGTATCTGTAAAAAAATTATATAAAGAATGTATAGATTTTTATATATTTTAATTGGAAATATTATCTTTGACTTTTTATTCATGAGATGAAATGTTATTCTATTCAATAGTTACATTGCTGGCTAATGGATAGAGTTTTACTTATAAGAGTTTTATTTGCAAAATTGAATAAATGAAAGAACCTTTGGTAAAATTTGTCGAATGTTTTGCTATCGTTGCATTAAATTTCACGTGAATAAATTATACGTTATTTCAGTATAATCGAGAAATACAGTTCTCTTTTTGTCGTATAATTTTTATCTCACTGACCCTTGTTCTTTTCAAGTGAACAGATTAATTGAACTTTAACTTTAACCTTTCCAATGTATTAAAGTAATAAAATCATTGAAAGTAATTAATTTTATATTAATTTTATTGAAAGGACAATTTTTTACATTTTCCAGAATTTGCGGAAAACATACCGTTGAACGTTCAGCGTACACCTCACGTTTCACGAAGACGTAAGTTGAACATACATATATTGAAAAAACTTTGATGGAATTTTCTATTTTCAATTTTCTATTCACAATCAAATTCGCAATTGCAGGTTCCAGTTCCAATAAGTCATCGACTTTGCCGCTATCGTATCGCTATTGCAATGAAAGACAGAACAGCAAGGATAGCCGAGATGGCTATTATAGCGACCGTAATGAGATAGTGAGAGAGAAGCGAGAACGAGATCCTGATCGAGATCGCGGCTATCTCAGCGACTACAATTCTAGGTAAATTACTGCTCAAATTTTCATTAACACTAGAATTTCGTAAAAGATTTTTCTAGGCATCAATTAAATTTATTGCGTTTTTTATATTTAAAAATGCATAAATGAATTATGCAAAACATATTACACACGTCTCATTCATACGAACATATTTTTATAATCAGACAAGAGAATAATATATAGGTTTTCTCAATTTTAAAAATACTTTACATAAAATTTTGAACATAAAAATTGTAGGTAATTTTTGAATTCTAAAGAATATAATAATTTAACCTAAATTTTTATAGTATAAAATTTTATAAAATCTTATTTTTTTACTCGATAATTCAATAATATTTTTTACAATAAATATGAGATGATGAATGAGATGATGAAATATTAGATTAAATACGATTCTATACATAAAATCATTTCTATACCAAATAAAAGAAAATAAAAAAATTTCAAAGACATATATTCAATTAGTCTAATGATATTTCTTGAATATCTTTTAAATTGTTATGCGCGTTAATTATGGAATTGATTCACCGACGCTTTTTATCTGCTCCATTGAAACACCTGCCGTGCAAATAGTGCAACGTTAATTAACGCGATCGCGCGCGCGATAATAGCCAGCGACCCTTCGCACCCCAAAGGGTGTTGCATCAAAAAAAGACACGAAACTCGTCGTTGGGAGACTTTGACATTTAAAGAGTCGTGCCCTACGATCATCGTACACATACGAGCAACCGCGGTCTCTGTGACGTACTCTCTCTTTCTCGTCGTCCATTAAGGGCGACCTGGATAATATCACCGGATGTGGTTATCGTCTATCGATAGCCTTCGCGCGGGCGGTATAAAAAAAAAAGAGAAAGGAAGAAAAATATCACACCGTGCGCCGTGAAACTATATCGATAGGTGACGCGCGTCGACGGGCGTCGCGTGGTGTCTATCGAAGTCTATCTCGAAGGTACGCCTCTCGATACAGCGCTCGGCGCATGCATCATCATCCCCCGGCCGCCGGCGCGTTGTGCATTACGGGTCAGCGAAGGCGGCGACTGACAGCGGCGAGCCGCATCGTAGTAAATATAGAAATCTCGCGAGTGGGCTTCGACTCTCAGCTGGACGGAGAGAGCGAAGAGAAGAAGGGTGTCTTTCTCGTAGTCATGTAAATAAGAAAGAAACGACAAAAACGCACGACAAGATTTCGCGTGTGTTCCTGGAGGTGCATCCTGAAAGTGCAAAGCGCATCCCTGAAAGATCAGATACCTCGTGATAAAAACGAGGGTTGCACGGAGGATTGCGTATATTTTCTTCATTATACCTGCATCGTTTGAATATTATTCTCCTAGTGCGAGATGATGAATTATCGGTATCCGAACGATTACGATATAAAGTTGCGCTGTGTGCAGTTACTATGTGTCGCATAAACTTCTGATAAATGGTAAATGTGAAGTATAAAAAGACGTTAATAAATCATCGATCAACCTTTAATCGCTGCGATACTTGCGTGGTGATAGATGAATGTGAAAAGTGAAGAAAGCAAATTGAAAAAAATTATCAACATTGTAGAAATATCATTTAAATATTAAATTGCTCAGCTGTGTCCTTCGATAAATAATACCTATATCTCGTTGTCGATAATTATAGAATCAAATTCAAGGAGATATTAGCCTCGTTGTTGCTAATTATAGATACAAATAATTTTGTAAACGATAAAAAAAAACGATGATGAGATATTCATCTCGTCGTTAAAGGCTCGAATGGGGATAATTTTCAATCTGAATTAACGAGGATAATCAGCGCAGCTGTGGGTTGCGTGAAAACATAAATTAATAATTATTTCGCTTGGCACATGCAAGCGCATTGATATCTTTGAGTGCGATGAAAATAATTATTCAGTCGTGCCGCACGTGATTGTCCGTCGCGCGAAAATTGGAACGAGGAAATAATTATTTTGTCATTGCTGTGCGAGTGCAAACAGCGACCGTTTCCATGGACCGACGATAATCATCCCTTCGTTATCGAGTGCAAACGTCAAAGTGATTATCCAGCTGATCATCTCACCATTGTGATCGCAGTACAAATACTGATCTAACGCACGATCCGAAACTGATAATCGCAACAATGAGTTATCGATACAGTATTCAGCGCAGATACCGATCGCTCGAGAGGCGACGAGAACCGAAGAAAATGCCGAAGCTGCCGAAGCTGCCGGAAAAAATTTTCTATCGTGTTCTGGATGATGAATCCGGAACTCAGTCTCGGAATAAGAAACATGTAAAGTTCCAATCGTTCGGAGAGGAGGACGATGCGAAGAAAGTCTCCGCGGATCTTTCGCCTATACCTGCACGGTATTGCACATCCGTGTATACAGAATATGCATTTAAACTTCTTCAACTCGTATTTTTTACAAAATAACAATCTATTTTTTCGATAACTTATTGATTTTTTTCGAGAATATACTCTATTGAAATATATATATCTCGTACGACAAATATTAGTTCAACGTATTTTAAAAATTTCAATCTTGAATTATTATAATTAAAATTATTAATTATTAATTAAAATAATTATCTTAAGCAGAATTATTAATTAAATAAATTACTTGCAACATTTCTTTTATAATCCCGTAAAAAATATCTTGCTTTATTGACATTATTTAATTATACAATTTGATATACAAATAATTATTTTTATTTAAGGTTATTATTTTAATGATAATAATTTTATTTATATAATGGAAATTTTATTAGAATATAAGTATTTTAGTGAAATAATTTTATTGAAAATAATTATTTTATTTATTTTAAATGACTCATATTAATTATATAATTGTTCCTCAGACTATAAAAATTTGAAATTATAGTATATAACACTGATCTGTAAAAAACCCGTAATGTTGCAGATGCGCCAGCTGCATTGGGGAATCCGCACGTGCACAATGGTTTCGACATTCTGACGGATGGCAATCCGGTAGCTCAACTCTCGGCTCCGGCGCTTCGAGTTCGATAAATCCAGGGTATTCGGGATACAAGAGAGAATCACCCTGGGATTCTCTCCCATCTTTGAGACACGAGGGCAGCCTCAACGACAGTGGTTATAAATCCAACCGAACTGATTCTCTTGAACACAGGTAAAGAAAGTAGATTCCTCTTACATCGGGATCAAGTTATCAAATCAATGAGTCTTATGTTCGAAAAATTCCACAACATAAATCACTTAATAAACTACAGAATTTTTAATAAATTTGGAATTTTTGCTAGGTATATATCATTTAAAAAAGAGATAAAATGTTGTCACAAGTTTTCGTATTACAAATAAGTAAAAAGATATCTAGGAAGAGAGAGCATTAGCAAGTTTTGAAAAAGTAAATGTTAAAATAAATATATTTTTGCAATTTTTATGTTTAACATCGTAAATCTTTTTAATTATATGTATAATTTTATATAATCAGCGAGAAAATTAAAAGATCAAAATTAAGATTAATTTCGTTACAAAAGAAAAATTATCTTGAGACTGAATTTATATCCATTTTTTAATAAAAAAATTATTTTTTATACAATATTTTATTGTATAATATACATTTTTATTTTAAAGTAAAATACAAAAATACTTTGATATTTTTAAGACAGTAAAAATATAATTATTCAAAGCTAAAAAAAATACGAACTTCTTTTTCGGCACAATGCGTACTTATTCCTTTTTAATTTCCAGTTCACTAGGTTTTCTACAATCTATCTTTTGTCGCCCTATATATTGTTGGCATTGTCTTCCATATTTCTATTGTCTTGGCGCTCTCTTACTTTTACTGTACATCTCGACTATATATATACTCTCTGTATTATTATAATATATGCCCGAAAATAGTTTTAATATTACAAGATAGTTCTTTTTCCATTACTAATTGTTGTCTTTTTTTAAGAAGAATACTGCCATAAAAAATAACTTTTATATTACATTGCAAATATTAATTTCTAACTAAAAGTTTTAATAAATAATTTTAGATTTATTTATTGTTACAATTAATTTTGATATAACTCCATCATAACTATTATATACATACGTATATGTTTAGTATTATATAAATAGAAATGTGTTGTAAAATATCTTAAAAATAAATTCCATGCATAATATAAAGAATTAAAATTTCACTTTACTTTCTAATAAAATCGTACATATCTACGCAAAATAAAATTAACACTCGATACAAAAGTAATTTATTTAGAAATTAATTTTATAATAGTTTCTTTAATTAAAGGAGAGATCGTAAAAGAGATTCCAATTGAAAGATATCTACTTCGTACATTTGTGTACTATGCTGTGAGATTGAATTGAATGTGTTGCGTATTCCAGAGGTACTTTCGACAGACAGGACAGCGTCAGATCCGATTATATGTCCGACCGGGATGGCAGATACGGAATCGTTCAACAAGCCTCGTTGGAGAGCACCGACTCAAGGCTCTGCTACTTGACGTCTTCGGAGGTAAGTTATCCAAGCACTCGTTGACCTTATCAGTCTGATACATCCAAGTACCACTCAATGATGCCTTTGTGCCGCAGTTTGCATTCATACTATGTATATGCACGGCTATAATACACGCAAAGGCTTCGATTTCTTGCACCAATCTTGCATGCTATAGTATCAAATAATTCTGGGTCGGAAATAACTGCGAAACTATATCGCAGATTTTATCAATTCATTTGATATATGCTCGTTGCGAAATTAATGCTTCATTCTGCACTTAAGAATCACACACTGTGTTAAATATTAAATTTAATTACACGCGCACTCTAGTAATTAAACGCGAGACTATATATGTGTCGACTGTGGAATGCAATGGTGAATATTGATCTAATTGGAAAAGTAGATATTCATTTTCAATAAGTAGGACAATTATATGTGTACATACACGTGTACATATAGTATATACATACATAGTATGTATTACATGCATATATATTTTTTTTAAATAAAATTACATAACACAATTTTTAAACTTGAAGAAGAATAAAACAAGTTAAATAAAAGATAAAATAGGATAAAATAAAATAAAATATATAAAATTATAACAAATATATATGTTTTTCTCACTTTTCAAAATATTGACAAAATTTTTAAAAGTGCATTAATATTTTAGATATATTATAATTTCTTTTAAATTTTATTACAACTATTTTAGAATCATAAATTAAATATAAATGACAATATCAATTTTTTCTTATGATGAAAAAAGGCGCTTTTATTATTGTTTAATTTTTCTCCCTTTTTTTCTCTTTTTCTTCTGCACAACACAAAACATAAAAAGGCGCATTGGCGATGTGGCGCATTACTTTTAAAGCTCTTTGAAGAGATTCTTTTTTGCTTGCACTTACCATACATTTGTGATTTAAAACGGTAAGGTACCCAGCTGCTATATTCGCAAAAACTCGAATCGAGAGCGATAACGGTAATTGTTCTCTTGATGGTTTTGAAGTTTTTTCTATTCTACATTAAAAAGGATAGATAAAAATGCATTTTGCATAAAACAATTTACATCTCGTTTATTTTGCTTTGATTCATAACTCGCTATTGTATTGTACTTTGAGAAGAAACTTCTTGTGAAACGCTTTGCAAACATATTAAAAATGATATAATATTAATATAACTTTTTTAAATAAATTAATAATAATATTGTTTTTTTTTGTAACTTTTATATATCAATTTATTTTTTCAATTATTTTTTCATTATTTAAAAACAATTTATAATTATATTCACATAATTAAATCTGATTATAAAAGTAATCAGATGATCAATCATCTTTCGTTATAGTACTTTAATATATAAAATGAGAAACTTTATATATATACACCTATATATTTGTATATGTATATTAATTGCATAAAATTTCATAAAACTGATATTTTTAATTCATATGTATACCAACGTGACAATATACACAAGTGTTCTTATAATCTTATTTTTAATAATTATGAAAACTTGCGCAACTCTCGGACCTCTACCCTCGGTTGCACAAATCGCGCTCTCACCGGCCACGCCTATCATGTAACGACGATGTTACAAAAGAGGTCAGCGCGAATCGAGGAAACGGAAATGCACGTACGCCGTGTCGATAATCGCGGGTCAAACTTCGAACGTTTTAGCGAAAATAAGGTCGTTTCTGCACTTGTTTTTATTTTTCCCGCAATTGTGTCGAATCAATATAAAAATTCGAATTTTCGACGTATACAAGGGGATGTATATGATCCCCTATATATAATACAATATGTGTGTACGAAGGCCGCTTTACGTGCCCGACAAACATCGATAACCTACTGACCCTGTGTCTTGCGCTCGCTAGCCGCTCGAATCCTTCGCTATTCAACCCTATTCGTAGTGTAAGCACCCCGTTGTCTCTCGGTTATTTTGCACCGCAAATAGAAGTGTGTATAGGTGTAGATGCGGAGATAAAGGTGGGAAACGAGTCGAGGTCATGAGAATCTGAACGCATTCCATTGCGTACGTTATGTATATGTATGTACGAATCCACCCCTTCGCAAAGTCATATACATATGTACGCGTACGAGAACCAACCGCAGAGCAACGAAGATATTCTATTATCGCAAGCTTACGCAAGCGTTGGCTTTTATTCCCGCGTTCCGCGGTCGACCGATTGTCAAACAGCAGTTTTCATTATGCGCTTTTCATTTATCATTATCATTTTTCACATGTCAAACGCGAGAGAAAGTTGGAAATATAAAAGTTCCGTAATATATATTTGATATAATTATATCAATGTTTACAAAAAAAAGATGTATAATTAGATACATTTATAGACCGACTTCTAATTAAACTCGTTAAAATTATATAAAACTTGACGCTGTATCGAGATATTCTTTTTTTATCTATAGCCGTGCTATGCATATTTAAAAAAAATTTAATTTCGTGCATCTATTTGCGACGGGGATTCCTGAGCATTACATTTTCATGCGGGAAAGTTTTGAGAAATTCTTCGCTGCGAAATTATATATGCCTCTCCGTCTCGAAATATACATACGGTCTCGTATAAAGGTCGGAGTTTTTATGACGCGTCGTGAGCGAAGATACGCGCTTAAGGGTTAATAGGTCGCGCCGAGATTAGCGGGCCGAGCCCCTTGCTCGACATGCGAGAGTAAATAAGAGAATCGAACACCCCTGCACCTGTCGTTGCACAAGTCGAGCTGCGCCAACAGGTGCATATGCGCAGACGCACATCATCTTCCGCGACTTTCTTCCGCTTCCCTTGCTCCTTCGCTCTTCTGGCGATCACGGATGCAATCGGAAAGACGATTAATCGGTGCATATACGCGATAATATATATATATTTAATTCAACTGTCCGCGTGAGGGTAAGACGGACATATTATCCCGGTGCAGAAGGCATTTATTGTTCGCCGCGATATTATTTCATACAACGACCGATTGTTCTTATCGTCTCTTTCGTCGCGCAAGGAAACTATGCCATAAAATTCAATAAAACTTGGCGTCGCTCGCATGCGCGCCAACCCGTTATATATAATCTGGGATTATTTTTTTAATCCTCCCCTCTCCTCCCTTCACTCGAGTCCCTTTGCGGTAGCGAAAAAGAAAACGAAATATGTATGTACATACGTAACGCAAAGCGCAGAATAAAAGAGCTGCGGATAAAACAGCTGTAGATCGATTCATCGATAGAAGAGTAATATATGTTAAATCTGTTGGTCTCATTATAGTCATGAAAAAAGTTAAGAAAGTTCATTATTCCCTCAAAAAATCTTACACAATTCTAAACTACTTAGATTTTTTTTGCCGAAGAAAATTGCGAAGCGAAAAGAAAATACAAAACAGCAAGCGAGCGATGAAAATTTAAAAAGCTTCTTCCAACTTGAAAATTGTTCGCCGTCATCCCTGATGTCGGAAAAGCAAAGCAAAAAAAAAAAAAACGGGGAAATAGGCGTTTTGCGAATAATAAGCGTACTCGAACAGTCGGCGCAGAGATTTACGATTCGATTTTTCCGAAACTCAATTCCCTCGAAAATCGGATATTCATCTCCGCAGGACGGCGGGCGTAACAATCATCGCGAAACGCTCAGCTGTCAGCTGTTAGCTGCTACCAATTGACAATCATGCAGCGCGTCGTGTTCCCTCCCAGCAGCGGGTGCATACACACATACATACCAACCCCTTTCCCTACTACCCCACGTTGCGGGAATTACTACCGGCTATATCCCAGCGCCATCCACCCTCTCTCTTCGTGGCACATCCCTCCTTCTCTCGTTCCTGCAATCCCCCTTCGACCACCACAAGCACCGTGGTATTGATTCCCCTCGCGGTAGCAGCACCTCTTCCCTGTTCTCCAGCGGCAGTCCGGAGCGAAGCGCGTTCGCGGCTGCGGACTTGGTGACACACTCGCTCGTAAGAGAAGGAGAGAGAGAGAGAGAGAGAGAGGGAAAAAGGAGAAAGAAAAAAACAATAAAGAAGAAGCATCTTATTCGCGACGTTCGTTTTCCGCGTCTTCAAAGGAGAATATAGAGAAATTCCGCGAGGATGACGAGAACCCTCGGCGACCCCGACGAGTGCAGCCGGGACCATCGATCGACGGACGCTCGTTAGACGCTTGCTAGAGCCTCGACCTCGTGGAGAACCGACGGCACGACGCAGCTTCTTCTTCTCCCTGTCTCGCAGCATCCGAAACGCATCACCGAGCCGGGCGCGCTCGAAGGGTGAAAAAGAGGGAGAGAAAACGGCGCCGTCGACGCGCCGATGCGCGGGCGCCGGAAGTCGTCGGGCCGCGCGCGACACATCCCCGGACGACACGTCGCCAACGTCTGTCGGAGGACGACTCGCCGGAGGACGCGGTCTTGATAAACGATCCATCCGATTCTCGTCGACGCTCTTCGAGCAGCCTGGTGCAACCTGTCGCGCGCGAGACTAGAAATGTTGTTGAAGCAATACATGTTGATGTTGATGTATGCGTGAACCGGAAGTGCGGAGGTGTACCCGATAAATTCGACTGTCTCTCTCCCTCCGATTTCTTGAAATTGCGCAATAATTGCGCGTAGATATAGCGAAAGGGTTGTTCCCGCGGGATATGTCATCGGGATTGACGAGGAATTCTTGAGTCGCGACGCGGCTCGCAAATTAGATTACGAGGCATCGATCTCGCAGTTGACGAGATTCGATCTCGCACGTGCGTGCGGCGCGTGCATCTCGACGATGGCAACATCAGTCACTGAGTACCTGGACTCTCTCCTTTTCTTACGATCAGTCCGAGATTGATTTCCGCCGCGCGGGATGATTTCCGGAGACTCGGGAATAGGTCAGTCGCGATTGGCAAATGACTGACTCCAGTTTACTCCGGATACGTTAAAGGGGAGGACACTTTATTGAAATATCGCGCGAAGAATTAATATTGTATACTTGTGAACAAGAGAGAGGAAATAGAAAATCAAAAAGTGTGAATAAATATATCGAGAGGGAAGAAGCCGAAGAAGATCAGCTAGATATCCAAGTAATATATTCTGGATGGATGTTGGAGATTAGATAAGGAGCGGGGCAAAAGAGGGTAACGCTTTACAGCGCATTTTTCCACGAGAGAGGAGAAAATCGATGCTTTGAGAGGACATCTATAGCAATGTGTGGGAAAGAAGGAAAATCAGCTGGAGAGGAGCGAGAAATCAACGTTTAGAGAAGATATCTATATGTATATTTAAACAGAGCAAGAGAGTATTTTTCTATGGCGAGTTCGTTTCTATATTATACGATATAGAGAGAGATAACAAAAATATCTTATATATTATCAATTCCCCTCTTCTCCCTCTTCGCCAAAAAGGCGGGAGTTAAAGTGGCGTCGTCTACGATCATCCAGTATCGTCGAGTTCTGCCAGTTGTGCGCTTCTCGGATGAGCAAGAATTCTTGGCAAATTCTCTTAGAATATTCTATAGAATATTAATAGAAAATTCTTCTGCGTATAAGTACCTGCGGACACTTGCGGCGATTCCTCTCGTCGCTCTCATGCTTCTACGTGCGTCATAACTTTGGAGATTCTTGAGATAATTAGATTGTAGTCTCGTAAAGTTAACGTTAAGGAACTTGACGCATTTCCCTCTTAAGAAGGGGCTGCAGTTGATTTTAATAGTGCAAAAGACGTTTGCCTTAAAATAGAGGACTTTATTGATAACTCGAGGAAATCGATTTCCCTCGAGTTCGAAATAGACTCGTCGTAAATTTGATGAACCCGAATACATACACGTGATGAAACAGCTGTTCTGTCGTCGTCCAATTTTTGCCCCTCATGGTAATTCGATGATGCGTCGTGTCGTGAGGCGCGTTCAACGTTTATAGGATCATTAATATTTCATCCTACGTATTCGTAATCGAGACGCGCTCGATAAATTGAGAACCGAACAGCTGGTTGTGTACATACAATCGTGACATCGAGGATTTCAATTTCGAGGATCTCGCGGTTAAGAACCGTAAGAAGTACAAAGCATTTCCGAAGCGATACCATCGAGCTTATTATATCGCGACAATCGATCGTAAAAAAAAAAAAAAAAAAAAAACATCTCACCAAGCCACGTGGGTGAGCCTTCTGCCGTCCGCGAGACAATAAAATAATGCCATCGGAAAAGGAAGGAAACACCGTGGTCACACAATGGCAGTTTCGCCCCGTCATCGGGAAGCCGAGGATCCCGTCCAACAGTCCTCTCTTCCCTAGAAATCGTCCGATCTCGGGCGATTTCAAAGTCTCTTCCTCGACTCAAAAGTCACCGTTGGCGGACGAATAATGGTAGAGCCGAGATGGTCGATCAAGTGTACGAATAGTACCCTGGACCTGCTGGATCCGAGCGACGATAGTTACACGGACCTGAAGACGCAGCATCGGCGACGTTGCTGGAAGTACTTTTGCTGGTGTCGCAGACACACGATAAGCGTGATATGCATTAACGAGACGCGCAAATTGTATTGGTTCAACTGCCGGAACGTCCAGGAGAAGGTCACGTACGGCTCGGGCGAGGGCTATTATCACAAGCTACTGCGTTTGGTGAACGGCGCTTTGAGCACCTGGGCGCAACGTTACATCGACGGCCTAAGCGTGGCGCGTCGCGAAATTATGTTGAGGATCAACGGTAGCGCGGACAACAACATGAGGCTGCTCAAGGAGGGCTGTTACTGCCACTACCATCCGCACATGACGGCGGACGCGTGCAACGCCGATTTTCTCAGAAGAGTCGTAAGTTTCTGGGCCGGCGAGAGCCTCAGGGGAATACGCGAGAGGCTCCGCGGCATGACGAATATTACAAAAAAGGTAGAGGACATGAATCGCGAATCTTACATTTTTTCTCTATTTTCTTGTGAACGAATGTTTCTCTCTTGATATATTCGGATTTATATATATATATATATATATTATGTATTTTGTTCCCGATCATATATATTTCCCTGCCTATATATGAGACGATCGCACCTTGAGAGGATATATGCCACCCTCATGCGAGATTCCGCTCGTATTACTTGGCATGCGCTTCGGAGAGAAGGAAGAATCAAATCTCTGCGCCGAGTTCCGTTTCCGTTGGACTTTCGTTCGTCAATTCCCTAAATTACTCGCATTCATTCTCGTACTCAGAATTGCATCTCATTTTCTCATCGACATCATTATAAATCGATCGTATCGAGACTGAAAAATCACATTATGAATATCACATTTGTTTGCAAGAGAAAAATTTATAGCATCGCGTTTCAAATGAAAAATAAGAGCAAAATAACGAGGGGATAGACAACGAAAACAGTGGAATTGCTAGACAAAGCACTTTCGCATTTGTGACATGATTATCCTTTGTTGCGAAGATGTAGAGATTTTCAATTGCGATATAATACAATATTTTGGCATGTATGACCGCGTTGACATTAATTCTTGAAAGCAAAGTAATCTTCTTGTGCAATTAAAAGGGCTTCTAAGCTTAGCTAAGCTGGCCTTGCTAAAGTTGCATAGGAATTAGTTGCCATTTTTTAAGTAGCATGTGCCGAGTAAAGTCGTAACTAAAATTTCTTTGCATCTTTGTATCTTTACTGCCAATTATTAGTAATGCGAATGTCTCCCTTTTATTTAATATTTTTTTTATTTAATATACATATAATCAGTTTGCAATAATATTAATTAATTGTGTGATATTATAGTGTACCCACATTTGACAAATTATAGAAAAATTTAACATAATCATTACTATAAATTAAAATATTATATTATATTAAATATTAATCTCACAATTATTGCATTGTAAATTATTACATTATACATAAACTCTGCACTAATTACAATTCCCAATGCAATATATTCTTAATTATAGTATATTACATTTCCCAAATGCAGAACAGTACTTCTTTTGAAAATTAATTGGCGGAATATTTACAAATATATATATTGTAAATAGCAATAACGCAATAACCCATATATGCACTTTTAGATAGATGAGGCACCAAATCAATTAATTATGTACATATAAAGCATCTTGTCATTGTCAGTAATAGATTAGATTTATCGTTGCATTTATATCATTCTTCTTTATCAGCATCATTTTATTTTACGATATGATCGCACGATACATTTTCTTCTATGCACATTTTCTATACATGATACATTCTTTTCAGTTTACATATATGCGTGACTCCACGTACAATTATTGACAAATATAAAAAAAATCGTAAAGAACAAATATTAGATATACTGTCAAATCTTTAACGTGGGATCGCCCGTATCTGTCTTGTCGCAGTGACAAACGCTCGTTCGTCGCGGCTAAAGATAAAGCCTGATATATTTTTCAGATGTCAGACGATGATAGGATGTCACTCACCACCGCCGTCAGCGACGATGACGACGGCGAGAGTGTCATAAATTCGCCCTATCGTGGAAAGCAGACTGGCACAGCTGCGGCTTCGTTCAATTGCACCGGTGCAGTTCGAAAAGCAGGGTACGTCGTTTGTTCTACAAAGATAATGAGCCTTGAGGGCCTCTCTCTATATAAATATCTCTCGGATAATATTGAGATAAATCTGGAGGGTATGAGCAAAGAACAAGATTTTTTAAATAAAGAATATCTTTTTCTTATATTTTAGAAGATATTATAGTTTGTAAAATTTATTTACTTTACAAATTGACAAGAGAAGAATTTTATTTTTTAAATATTAATCATTATTATATACTTTGAAAGTGAAGAGATGCGAGATTCTTAAGATAAATATGATATATAGATAGATAAGATAAAAAACATGACATAGAATAAACACTATAAAATTATAGGAATAATACAATAATGACACATTTCTGATATATGAAAATTATTCATATATTTTATGCAGCAACGATATAATTTAAATATTAAGAGAAAAAGTGAAATAATAACGATGTATCGAATATTTTAGATTTCTCAGTGTGAAGAAATGGCTGCTGCGCAAAAAGCATCAGATCGAGCTAGCCAGGAAGAGAGGCTGGAAGGGTTATTGGGTCTGTCTGAAGGGCACCACGCTCCTCTTCTACCCCTGCGATTCTCAGGAAAGCAGGGCCATGGAAGCGGCACCTAAACATCTGATCATCGTCGATGGTGCGATTATGCAGCCGATTCCCGAACATCCGAAGAGGGATTATATATTTTGCCTCAGCACCGCTTTCGGGGATGCCTATCTATTCCAGGTAAAAAAATGTGGCAATTTTAATTTTGATCAAAATTAATATAAAAATGTATACAAAAAAATTATATATTTAATGTGCGAGAAAAGATCTCTGTAAGATAAACCGCGCTTTATAACTGGCTAATGCTTTTTCGAATAAATAACTCCTTCATAAGTATTGCATATCCTTGCAAATAACACGCCAATTAAACTCGAAGAAAGTTATTAAAGTTATCGACAAGTGAAGGGAACAATTCGAGATAAAGTTGAATTCGAATAATTCCAGTTCAGTTTGATCTTCACACTTTGGTAGTTCGAGAATGCACGAACCATGCGAATCGCTAACTAGATGTATTTAATTAATTCCGTTTCACGGAACTCCCGCGTTTCGCGATCACACAACGACAAACTTTTAATAGCCTGCAGCCCCTACTTAAAAGCTTCGCCGCGACTTTAAAGAAGTGTGAGCGACATTATGTACATCGCTTCGCGGTGATATCGATTTGCTTTCAAAGTTTCCCGCTTAGATATCGAAGGTCTCAATTCTCGTTCATATTAGAAAGAAATGTCCGTTTTGTGTTTTTAGGCGCCGTGCCAAGTGGAGCTGGAAAATTGGGTGAATAGTATTCATTCGGCGTGCGCCGCCGCGTTCGCGCGTCATCGCGGCAAGACTGGCACGTTGCATCTTCTGCAGGAGGAGATCTTCCGTCTGGAGAAAGCGATCGAGTCGGTACGTAACGAGAATGTCATTGAATCGATCAATATATAACATTTCATTGAGCCTGATTTATTTTAAGTATCAAAGAGTAAAAGAGAGTGAAGATTTATTCTAAACATCATGTAGAAAGAAATAGCTAAGTGGAGCAAAGTTTATATTGGTTTCAACATTTATTAAGGTTTACTTCGCAAAGAGAAGGAATTCGTCAGAAAAAAGTTTTGCAATCAAATGTTAATTTTGCAAAAATTATTACAAAATTTTAATTACTATGAATTCTCATGTTAAAGAAGAAAGTAACGTTAATTGATATCGACATGTGTATTGACTGTTTGCAGGACCACAAGATGAAACATATGGCGGATCTCCAGCAATCAGTGGTTTCCGACGTCGACACCAAGCAGCAAATCAACAATCAAATAGTACAATGGGAAGAGAATCTGGAACGGCTCCATTGCGAGCAGTTCCGTTTGCGGTGCTATATGGCTAGTTTGCAGAGTGGCGAACTGCCTAATCCGAAGGTAAGTATCGTACGCGAGTACAATGTAGAATATTAACATGTTACATAGACTAAAGATTAACATTGTACAATAGAAAGACATTGCATAATTGTGCGAATATAATTGCTTCGACAGAAAAATTATTTCTCTAATGTATTTTATCAATATTTTTTATCAGTAAATATTTTTTATCGATAATATTTTTTATCTTTTGCGAGCGATATAAGTTGACTGATTCACGCGCGCAAGTATTGTTTTATCTGAAGAATAAATTCGAGAAGCCGTATTGCGCCTTTTTATCGTATTATGTCGATTACAATCGCGCAATTGAACAAAACATCGTGATTTGGTCGTAGCTTTCATAGGAGAGACTCGGATCCTTTCGATTTCTCGCGGATAAACAACATCAACGTGCTGTAATCTCGCTACATTGTCCACACCGTCGCTTCAATTGTCTGAAAAGCGAGGAGGTCGCAATCCGCGCGCAGTCAGGATTCGTTAACTATCCGTCTACATCGTGTCTAATTTGCGCCATTCGTCCTGTAATGGATGGTATCGATCGTTGCGCGAGAAACAAGACTATACCATAGTCAGTCAATATATACGATAAATTAACATTCTCGCTGCAATCAAACTGTTTGAACAACAGCAAATTTATTTTCGATCTGTTTTATAAATAAAACTATTTTTTTTTCGAGAGAGAATATTTCTGTAAATTTAAAAAGTCAACCAGGTCGATGAATTTGAACCATCCTGTATATATAATTATTTAGAAAGGCTTGTATAAGATTGAATATCTTCAAAGATTTGATTTCTCGAGAGAATACCTTGGGGACAAATGACCGAGCTCAATCAGCTGACGATACTAAATAAGCCCTATGCCCTCATTTTTTCCTCAGAGTCTACTGACGCACGTATCTCGCGCCACGAAGCAGACGTTGAACAAGCTGGGCGTCTTCACAGTATCGTCCTTCCACGCGTTCATCTGCGCGCGTAGTCCATCCTTGCTGAATAATTTATTGGCGGGTCGCGGAGCGACAAAGAGAAGACCGCCGCTGCTGTCGAGGTCGAACAGCGGCTCCAGCAGACGCTCGCTGCAGATCTCGTCCAGGGACGAGGAGAAGAGTGTCAAGGTGTCCGTGCCGGAAAATCAGGTACGATCGTCAGGACATCGGGTGAGTTGATCGAAATTCTACCGTAACGAGACACTTAGAATGAGATAAGGGTAAGAAGAACGCGACCCGGTGTTTCCCGTTCGCTGTTTCAGCTCGTCTCGGTGTTCCTGCGCGACGCCATGACCGTGGAAGAGTTTCTGGCAAGCGCGTGCACCAGGAAAAACCTCAATCCGATGGAGCACTTTGTGCGCGTCAAGAAGCGCCGAGATATGGAGGACCACAACTATTTTGTGCCACATAGGACTGATTTGATAGAAACCTATGTAAGTCGAAAAGCGATAAATTTATATTTATTCATCTTTAATTTAAAAATATTGTATCTAAAAAATTGTACTTATAAAATGTAATGAAATATGAATGGTTTATGATGACGCCATTAATATAATTATCATTTTTCTCTAGTTTCTTTAATTGCGCAAATTTTTAAGGACACAATTTGATGCAATTGGATAAATAATTTATTTAAAAAAAAACTAGGGATTAACTCATTTCCTGAGTCTAATTATAGAATAAATTAATTAAAAAAAATGTTTATCTTAAACGAATAAAATTATCATTTTCTATTTCTTTATAATCAATTGCTTTATAAAGTAATTAAAATCGTTGAATACAGCGAAAATTAATATTGATAACGTAATCTTTTTTTTTGCCACATACAGTTGCATACGCATGAAATCGTGGAAGTCTGTGCCAAGATTTTATATCAAGTGGAATTGCAAAGAAATACTTTAGAGCAAATGTGGGGCTTCTCCGTCGAGGCCGAGCTCATAGAAAACTCCGACAGACAGGATGAGCTCTGCTGCTACGTTAGTAGAGTGGAAGACAAGAGCGTCGCCATGCAAAATGGTAAGCACCCCTTATCTAGGACATGTATAACTAAAATAAACGTCCCTCAAGCGCAACAATTAAAAGTTTCGATCGTTACAAGGTTTTTTTTTATTTCTGGTCATTTACTAGCTATTCTATATACTTTTATCAATCTATTATTTAAACGCTATTGATTCTCTGTACGATTAATTGATCTTATAATTTCACAAAGTAACGTATTAAATTGATCGAAAAGTTCATTCAATTTTCTCTTTACTAGAACTACATCGGAAAGAAACAAATCAATTCCGCTGGCTAGTTCGATAGAACAAGTTTATTACATTTATCCCAAAATTTTGTCAAAGAAACGAAAAAGTACAGTATTGCGTCATACGCAAGTTCCACAAGCTACACAATATTCCCACTTGCTTTTCTATTCTCGGTTTCATCTCTTGCGAATCTTAGAGAACAACTCACTTAGAGAAGTCTGACTATATTAAATTTTTAGACCGTGTCGGCGCCAGGATGCGCAAGGACGCCATTGAAAAGTCATCGATTTTCCGCGCCTCGTCCCTTGTTCGTTGAGCAAAGTCTCATGCTTACGTGGTTAAATGAAGCGCGCATAAAGCGCGTAAAAAAAGAAATATGTATCTAAGTAAAAATATATATTATACGTGTACCGGGGGTGGGATGGTCTTAGGGCCGCAGGCGCAAACGAATCAGCATGACATTTAGCGCCGCCTTTCCGCATGTCTAAATTTACCTGACGGCTTACTGGTAAAGCACGGCCGAAGGGAGCGACTTATTATAGTTGCGAAAGATACCGAGCCGAGCGGATGATCGTCTTCGCAAGTGGATCGCAAAGCAAACGCGATGAATGTCAGTCCAAGTGATCGAAAATCACTCTTAAGAATCGTAAAACACTAGTCGCGGTCGTGTTAAATCCTTCATTAATCGCGATAAATTATAGTGATCAAAAATATATAAGCAGCATGTCTATATTGTATAATACCAAATTTTTCATATTCCGCTAAAATAATTGATAAATTTGACGACAAAAATCGTATCAATTTATGACGTCTTCTTCGTTGACAATAAACACCTAATTCTATGCACTTGAAAAAATTCCCTTTCAACGTAAATCTTTCTTCGAATCCTCATGCCATCCTTGGCGACGCCGCTCTGCTTTCAGGAATCATTAAGGGTGATGAGATTATGGTAATCAACGGCGCCATTGTGAGCGACCTGGATATGATGTACTTGGAGAGCGTCCTACAAGAGGAGGTGGGTCTTTGTATGATGATGCGATCCTCCAGGACGGAGCCACCAGATCTCACGGGTATTATGCGAGTCACTGATGATATAATCGAGAGTCTGGTCTGCCCGCCGCCACCTACTGATCCGCCAGTCATCAGCGAGGAAATGATTTCCGGTCTCATTGTGCCGGCACCCGGATGGAGTGAGTTTTTTTGCACTTTCGAAAACTCGTTACGTTAAGAACTGTAGTCTATTTATGGTGAACTTTTTAAATAAATGAGACGTGGATAGAGCGTGAAAGTAGATCGCAAGAAGACCGTGAAACGGGATCTTAATCAAGTCGAATTTACTTTCTAATTTATAACTAGCGCAATCTATATATCATGTCTTAATATAAATGTTTAATCCCATTACCTCTAATTGAGATTAAATATCATTAGATATTATTGTAAAATCGATCTTTCAATGCAGCTTAAATTAAGTTCGCTATTAAATTATATAGCAATTAAGTTTTTACGGAAATCTTCTCGCTAATATATTATTTTTTTATAATACAGACCATTTTTTATGTATTTCATTTATAAAATAATGAATTATTATATCTGTCGTAAATAGTAATACAACTTTTGTGCGAGATTATTATAATTAATATAAATAATAAATTGTAAATTTACAGTTGCAATTATAATGTAATGCATATCTTACTTTGTCACGTAGGCAAGGAAAATATTATGCAGGACTGCTCGGCCGCTCACATGGAGAACAGCAAACAGACCTCGCGTACCAATTCATTCGAGATTGAAAATCTTTTGAAGACTGCTGAACAGGTGACAGGGATCTGCCGTTCTCCGGGAGAGACTAGGAAATCGAGTCCCACCGGAAGCGTCGTCAGTTCCCATTCGCAAGCTCTTACACCCAGCCGGCAGCTTAGCGACGCTGAGAAGCTGAAGAAAGTGATTCTAGAACTGATTGAGACTGAACGGACTTACGTAAAGGTAATGAAAGTTAATTTTTCATACAATTATAATGTTATAGAGACAATTTTTGATAGACGCAAGAATAGATGTATATATAATAGATTTAATCGATTTTCTTCTGATTTTTGTGTTCGCAGAATTTAAATAATTTGCTGGAGAACTATTTGGAACCCCTTAAACGCGAGACCTTCCTGTCGAACGCGGAGATCAACGCGCTGTTTGGTAATATTCAGGAAATCGTCACGTTTCAACGACAGTTCCTGCAGAATCTCGATCACGCCATCGAGATGGAGGCCGATTTTAATAGCTTCGACCATCCGAGTCAATTTAAGGTACGCCTTTCGATCTAACTTGACCTCTTATTAATAACTAATCGGAATTAAATAAGCTATTAAGCAAAATGGTCTTGGATTAGAAAAAATAAAACTGACAATTCTCTTTCTTTATATTTTTGAAGCGATATAACATTTAGATATCATTATTCTTGTAGTACAATAAGTATACATATATGTTAGAAGAAAGTTATTTATTAAATACTGTCAGAATTCTTATATCTTTCAAAATATCGATTGTTGCTTTTTTAATAGCTCGAATATATCGCCAGTAATATCGAAAACTGATAATGTATATGCTCGAACAAGAAGGGACATTCCGGGCTGAATTTAAATACGTGAATTTTTTACGGCTGTTACAGGGAGTCCTGTTTTCCATTGGAAGTGCCTTCTTATATTACGTAAATCACTTCAAGCTATACAGCTCGTTTTGCGCCAGTCACTCAAAGGCTCAGAAAGTTTTACATCCAAGTAAGTTTTCACTTAAAGTACACATCTCTTTCTCGTAAGAGATGACCTTCGACGATGTCTTCCTCCACGTCAACACGCCTGATCCTTCGCGATCGATAATTCACACGCCAGGAATAACTGTGTCCAACCTCACTCTCGACACTGTCTATAAATATATGTCGTTCCCGGAAAGTTTTCGATTTATTATTCATGTCAACCTTCTGCGAATGAGTGACATTTTTGCGGTCATAAAGTAGAAGCTGCGTAAAAGATTACTGGATCAAATCCCACATTCGTATCTATTATTCATCGAAATTTTATTTCGTCGTTTGAATCTTTAATGCTGCTAATTAAATATTATATATGTTCGTTGATTTATTGGTTTTAAATATAGTCATTTAGTGTGACGCGGAGAAATAAATATTTTGAATTGGATATATTATTCACAATATTCGTTACGATGTGTATAATTCGTGTACAACACGTCCAGAAATGTAGATTCTAACTCGACGAGTAAATTTTTTCTTTAATTTAAATTACGTTTCATATAATTACGATAAAACTCGAAGCACGAAGCAATCTGCCGATAATTATCAGGGATAATTGACAATTTCAGACGAGGGAAATCAAGCTTTACAAGAGTTCCTGCAAGCGAGAAATCCTCGGCAGCAACACTCGTCGACTTTAGAATCGTACTTGATAAAACCTATACAAAGAATACTCAAATATCCGCTGCTGTTACAGCAGCTTAGAAATCTCACTGATGAACGAAGCGAAGAACACCAACATTTGATCGGTAATTATTGCGCTATGTAATGTGACTAATGTAAGAAACAAGTTTCAAGCGTTCATCAAGAGTTTAATCGCGAACGATTACAAATTGCATATAAATTGCAGAGGCGCTCAAAGGCATGGAAAAGGTGGCAGAGCACATAAACGAGATGCAGAGAATTCACGAAGAGTACGGAGCTATTTTCGACCATCTGTTCAGACAACACCAAAAATCCTGCAAACAGGTAAATTAATTTTTACGCCTCTCTAGAAACAAAATTTATATATCAATTGATATAACAAATATTATGTACAATAATTTATTTATCTAGACATAAAATTTAAATCACTTTATGTATGTACAAATAATTATAATGAATAATGTTTTACGTAAAAAAACTTGAGATTTTTTTATATATATTATAATATTTTTTTAATTATAATAATTATTTTCTCTAGATTCTTAATAAAATTATTTCCTACATTTTATGCCAAACTCTAACTTATATTTTTTTATTTATTTGTTAAATGATTTGATATCAGAACAGCGTTCGAATATTTCGAATTGACGCATTAAATTTTTGGCAGCCGATCGACTTAAGTCCAGGCGATCTTTTATACTACGGCGGCGTCGAGTGGCTCAATATTTCCGATTTTCTTGGCAAGATAAAGAAGGGTCTCGAATTACACGCAATGTGTTTCGTATTTAAATCAGCCGTCGTGTTCTTGTGCAAAGAAAGATTGAGACAAAAGAAGAAACTCATGGTGAGCGCGTTCATACGATTTAATTAATTATCCATATTAATTCTTGCAACTTGTTCGTAATATTGAAGACTCTGTGTCATGCGTTTTTCAGGGAGTTTCGACTAAAGCTAACTCCAGCGAGGTGGAAATCATTCGTTATCAGGTACTGATTCCGGTGACGGAAGTCCAGGTCAGGGCCAGTTCTGCCAAGGACATGGAGTCCCACTTCTTATGGGAATTGATTCATCTAAGAAGTCAATTACAGAGGAGATCAGAGAAAGTATACGTGCTCTCCAACAGGTATTTTTCGATTTTACTACTTAAATTAATTAATCGTAAATTATAAATTAAAATAGATATTTAAATAAATCAATAAATTCTTTGCACTACGTATATCATAGATTAAATTTCGATAACATATTTTTCTCATGCATTTATTTTTTGATAAAATATTTGTTTGAACTAGATATGTAATGAAATACGTTCACTTCCATATTTGATAGATAATTATTGATCGAACGTAATTGCAATTGATTATGTAGTGCACACAATTTTACTGATATTACTGATTAAACACAAATTGACAATATTGTCAGATTGAAAATAAATTGAAGACAAATGAGATTAAGATTCATCTAATGTGATTAAATTTTCTTCACTATTGCGAATCAATACTTTGCTATTTTTTCACAATTCCCAATAAAAAAATTCTTTACATCTCTATCTCTCTCTCTTTTTATTTAGAGTTAGCTTACAAGATCTTATCTTCTCTATCAAATATATGTATAACAACAATCTAAAATTCTGATTACTCATATACTTGTATATTTTTAATCAAGGTTATTTGTTCAAAACAACATCTTTCTTCAAATGATTAAATGATTAAATGCGACTATGCTTAAACGTGTGCTTGCAGTACGACGGAATTCCGAAACGCGTTCTTGAAGACAATCCGACAGATCATCCGAGAGTCGGTGAGGAATATGAGCATACCCTCGACGAAGGGCCACCATCCTCATCCGATATCGCTGACCCCGCGTATGTCGACCGGTCACGTGGAAAAATTTGACAAGCAGCAGGCTAGGGAACAAGCTCAAAACGGAAATGGCATACCCACGGGCACGCTCTCGAAGAAGGCGATGAAGCAGCAACTGCTGGCCAGTTCGCACAAGCGAAAGTACAGTCATTCCAAACAGCCGGTGGAGCATGAGAGCTCGGAGGATAAGGACCAGGAAGACGCGCCGGTCGTCCAGCAGCAGACCTTTCGTTCCAGGAGCAAAACCATAAGTGACACTTCCGGTAAGATGAAAAATCCCTTTTCTCTCTAATTTTAGTTTCGGAAAAATTTTCTTTTGATAATCTTATATATACGCATGCATAAGTTAATTTTTATAGATTTGTTACAAGTAAAATTAATATTAAGGAAACTGATAAAAATGCGAGATAATACGGGTCGAAGATGTGATTGTTGATAGAATGTTGAATACGGTGTTATCTTTTGTGATGCTTAGGCGAGATGAAAGTCGAAATGGATTCGGGTACAAAGTCGGAAGGCGAGGAAGATTCGCAAGCTTTTTTAGGCGAAAAGAAGACCAATCTCGGTCGCACACCTAATCATCTGACGCTCAGCACCACGTCGACTATCTCGGCGGGGAGCACTGGCAGCCAGGCTAGATTGATCCAGTCCTCCCATCAGCCCGAGAATTACCAGCCCATTACCGTCAAGGAACTTGGTGAGTGTATTGGTTATCGATATTTTTTTTTATCTCTCTAACGAGAGACAGACCTGTCCAGATAATCGTATCGCAAAGTTATTCGATTGTTCAATAATTAAGAATTGTTTGTGAACAGCTCTAGCGATCAAAGTAACAATAAGAAATAATGATGTTTGAATTGCACGTGTACGGGATAGTTTCTCGAATGATTTGTTCCAATAAGATTTTTATAATAAAATAAATTTCTCCATTTTCTTCCAAAGACACGTCGCGCGGAAATGAATTAATCTATAATTATCTATATTGGCGATGGCAGGTTCGCCGATCTGGAAACCACGGGAGCTACCCTCCCTGGGGGAGGCGACCACGTTGCCGCGCAAGGGTAAGTCGGCAGGCGAGTTCGCGGATATGAGCTCGAGCCATAGCGCCTCCCGAAAATCTCTGATAGAAATCAACAATTGTGCTCAACAACCTAACTTTAATAATCACGTTTAAGTTGATATAATATCGAGGCTGACTCGTTAACGAGGTAATATCGTTATAAGTTCTACCACATCATCATTAAACACAACCGACACCCAACCATCACCACCACCATTACCAAGCGTAATACACAGAGATAATTGTCCAATTATTACGATTGTCACGATATCGAGACGCGTCCGCCGTTCACGTGGAAATTCATGGAAAAGACTGCACTTTCTCCCTCCGCTCTCTTCCTCGTTTTGTCTTCCAGCAGGATTTCGTATGTGCTTGCTTGAGTGTGTGTGAACGTGTGTTTTTATGAGAGACAGCGAGATGCTCGATCGGACTTCTACTTTGTTCTGGGAAATCTAGATAGAAATTTTTTAATATTTTTCTTTTCGTGAACAATATTTTTTATATGCTCAATACATTCAAGCACAATTAATAAAAAATTAATATAACTGTATACAACTATATTATTAATTATAATAAGATAGAACATTATTAAAATGGTTTGTGATTTTGATTATAAAATTTATGAGCTCAAAGATATAGAAACCCGAGCAGATCGCTAATCTTAAGTAATTCGATGGCGAATATTTTATCACTAATGAATCGTTATATCGATCGTGAAAGATTTGTCAAAGTGATCTGAGTTTCGAAATACTCGATTAATAGATGGTACAAATTCGTTTGTTTTAAATGTAGGTTCCAATTTTTCCTTATTTAATTAATTTTAATATAGAAGAAAGTGCAGTCGGTACCTTTTAATTTTGATTATTAACTGTTTACTCTATTTGAGATATTTTAATATAACAGCTACATGTATAATATATTCTTTTCTATAAACTTACTATACTAGAATTATTGTTTAACTTATTGTTTGTTAGTTATTATAGTGTAATTTTTTCAATAGCTCTTATTCTTTAGAGTCTAGCTTGTTTTTTTAAATACATATTTATAATGCAGCAAATATTACAAAAAATGTCAGCTATAATATTCAGTTCCATAATCAACTTTTAAAATAAATATATTCATAAAATGAAATAAAACAAAGTTTTAATATATTCACACATTTACATTCTCAAAGCTTAATATAAAATATTAAGAATATTAAGAATATTCTAAAGAGAGCAACCACGCAAAATGAAACAATCAAGATTGTTGGTGCAGTGTGCTTGCAAGAATCTTGGAAGAGTGGGTCAGATTGTTGGCAAAGTGCATATATATATTTTTCTTTTGAAATACATCCTGCGATTTCTTTAACGCGATGTCACAATTTTCATCAGTTTACAAGACAATCTGGTCGCCTTTTCGAGTAATCGCCAGCGATCGAGGCTCCGTCCTTCGATCTTCTCGATCCCTTCCGCGTGGACGGCGACATGATAATCGGCGGGGAGATAATTATCGACTCTGTATATAATGTAATAATGATATTATATCGTCAACTATAATTACCGTCGATCGCGATCGAGCGCTCGCGCGTAGCGCGCTCGTTACGTTGTTTCTCATCGTTCTCTACCATGTGACCCCTCTTCCCCATTTTTTTATTATTATATAATACTGTCGTGATGCGCGTCACGCACCATGCATTGACGATCGCCGGATGACGTGAGGACAGCTGATAGGGCGAGAGAGAGATTTAAAATCCGTATTAAGAAAAAACAAGTAATCGAAGAAGCGATTCGTGCGCGTAGCGAGTAAGTCTTAGCGGTTAAAGAAAATCAATTAAGATGAAACACAGAAATTATATGTATACATATATTATACAAGCGAAATATTATGTGAGCGAGAGAGAGGGTGGGTTTGTGAATTGCATTGTAACGTCGTCCAAGGTTTCCCTTAAAAAAAAAAAAAAGAAAAAACAAAACGAAAAAAAATGTTCCGCCGCGTGTTAACCTGTTTTCAGGGTCGAGCATCCTCGCCAATATAGCAGACTTTATTTTTAACGTTACTTAAGATACAAAAGAGAGCATTTGAACGAGAGAGAATGTCTGAAAGAGAGGGAGAGAGTGAAAAATGGTCAGAGTGCTCGAGACCGAAGCTGCGAGGTCAAGTGCGTCGGCGTAACAACGAGATGCATTTCAAGACCCAAGTAAGAGGGATGAATAACGCGAGCGGGAATGCGAGAGAGAGGGAGAGAGAGAGAGAGAGAAAGAGAGAGAGAGAGAGAGAGAGAGAGAGAGAGAGAGAAAGAGAGGCGCACACTCGACTTTAAACGTATATATTAACATTGATTAGGGACGGCGAACGATGCATCGACGGTGTCGGTGACTGGAACCCTTCACGATAAACCCGACACATGTATCGCGTTGTTAATGGGTATTAACGATAAATTAAGAATGGTATCGAGGGATTAATACGTGTAAATTAGACGACAGAAAGTATCCACATAGACGTATACCTACAACCAAAAATATATATAAATAAAAAAATATATATATACACATACACATGTACACGCGCGTAAGAAATATAGACACGCAACGACTGGTGATGCGAAAGTGACGAGACATTTATTCGAGAACGAAATATTCTAGGAATATACATTTTGGAGGACAATTTCCCGAGGGAAAGTGTCTGGGAAATATTCTCGGAGAATCGAAATATTTTTCCGAGGACGTATTTCAAACAGGTACTCTTTCACTTCGCATCATCACGAAGGCATATTCGAGGAAAGTGGATGTTGCACGACATAACCGATCTCACGACTCGATCTTCTATCTCGAACGGGGAATGTTAATGAGTCTCTGTGACAAATATATATGTTTCCTAAATAGGACAATAAACAGATCTGACGATGCTTCGGGCATCACCTCGATACGTCGATCCTCTCGCGAAGGATACACTTCCGCTCGAGGAATCTCCAAACTTTGGTATCTTCCTTTTGATTCGTACGGTTCCAGTTAGAAAAAGTAAGCGTTAATCATTGCAAACCAACTGGCGGACCCGGAATCATCAATTACGAGCTTAGATCTTCCTCGAAGTTAGTCTCGTTAGGATCGAAGATGCCTCAAGCTACGTAGATCCTGTTTGAAGTGACAAAATTTCGTATCAATTCCTTTATTCGATGTTGCTCGCGATAATCATCGAAATGACATCTGAAACGACAAATTGTGGAAGCTCGATGAATAATAATAAGGAATAAATTAATATAGTACCGAAAGAGTCCTAGAATTATAGTCCGGAGATCGTTAACGTTTTCGTTCGACCCTTCGAGCCGATGATCGTCGTTCGATGATGGACAAATAAGGATTTAATTGCCGATTAATGGGATTTGATAGTGTACCGATATACCTGACACACGCACACATTCCACTTGTTGTCGTCCGAAACGTCGATCCGCGACTCGAACGGATGCGTTTAAAGCGAGAAAAAAAAACGTCTGATAGTATAATATTTTAATATGTATTATAATAGCGTAACATATACCTACAATATTATAGTATTATAATAATATAAAATATTATACGCGACGCGAGATTTATATAACATTAGAAAAGATTATAGACGAGTGAGATATATCGTGCTGCAAATGCGCGTAACATCTAAAAAAAAAAAGGAAAGAAAGAGACCATTTTGATCATCTGAAATCGATCGACTCTTTCATATATTAACGTGTGTAATAACGTAAAGAGACGAAGAATTTTCCACGTTAATGCTCGACGAGAAACGTCGACGATCGCGTTGGCACAAAAGTGTCCTGTTGATCTGACATTCGTGAGAAGATCGCGTCAATTATTAATATATTTCCAAAGAAAATTTATACGCGTACTAATTATATAATGAAATGCTATGCCGAGATATTATTGTACAGTGTTTGTATAGGTGACGAATAAGAACGGGTAAGAGATTCGATCTTTTCTTTCTTCCTCGTGAGATGAATTGTACGAATCGCGTGAATTTTATCCATAACGAATTTACGAATGTTTTACGCTGTAATATTGCTTCCATCTCTCGATATACGCATTACACGTATTTAATCGCGCGTGCTTTAACACAAATTTCTTACGATCTTCGCGATGTATAAAATTGCGAAACTGCATTAAGTGGTAAAATTCATCGACACTTGACTCTTGTCTGCCAATCGATTTTTAATTTTATAACATTTAAAAATTTTTTACGTTTTACATTATTTGTAATGACATACATGTATGTACGTTTATCTCAATTGTATATGTTTTATAAACCGCATATTTTTTATAATACACATTTTATAATTATCTCCAAGTTATCAGTAAAATACAAAAAGTCAAAGCTATGTTACTAATTATAAGAGAAAGAACTACAGGCAGTCAAGAATATGAAAATCGATTTCGTCTTATTTTTTTATACTGAAAAGTCGATCGATCTTTCCAGATTTAACTTGAAACACGAGTTTGATGAATCGTCCAAGAATGATCTCTTCCTTTTTTTCCGCTTGAACTCGAATATGCGAAAGACCTGCCATCCTACGCAAGAATCTCTTTCAAAAGACGGAAATGTCAACGAGAATTGAACTGTAAATTTGCAACATTTAAAGACGTAAATTTATCTCAGATAAAAAAATTTCAAAAGCCAGAAAGAAATCTCCTTTTCTCTTATTTATTGAGAATACGTGTCGGAAATGCATGACAAACCTGGTGCCAAAATTGTCGTATAGCAATAATTAGTAGGATTAATATCAGACTGACTTTTAATTAAGGTGTTCAAGCGTGAGAGTTGGAAAGTCGAAAAATGAAATCTTAACGAAAGAATTATCGCTGAAATATCACGATTGATAATCATGTGAATTAAAAATAACCGATATATAATTGTTGATCAGAAAATGATGTCCAATACCAATAAAAGCACGATTGACGCACATAAAAATTTCCGAGTCCCTGCGCTGAAATACTAATGACTCATTGATGAATATATTTATAAGAATAAAAATTTAATGCGATTAAAAGAAAATACTAAAATTATTATTTTGAATAATTTGAGCAATTCAATACTACTTTTACACTTTGATTTTCATAAATTGCAAATTTCACAATTTTGTTTATTATATAGAACAAGTTCTTTAAAACCTGAACCTTTTATTTGAATGGAAAAAAATTGTAATTATATTTTTAATACGGTACAAAGTAAAATTATACCGCAAAATGTTTCTTACTATTACACAAAAATTACGTTTTGTACGATTTAATCATGAAGAAAAATTGAAGTAGGTGGTTTTTTTTAACAATTTTACATTTGGGCTTTATTTTAATTGTCATCGCTTGGGAACTCGTTGACATGAAGTTGAAATGAAAAAAGAGGATGGCGGGAACAAACAGATACATACACATAGATATACACATAGACACAGTCACGCGTACATATATACAAAGACACAAAATATATCTAATAAGACATCGGTTAAGATCTGACAGCGAAAAAAAAAATAAGATACCTACTTACTAATTACTATAGGCGAGAACACACACGTGCAGATTTAAGAATTTACGGAGGACCTTCTGTTGCTCGAATTATTGCATTGTCTACTAAATATAAATTTTATTATATAAATTCTGTCGAGGCGCGCCTCCGAGCGAGAGTAGATGTTTCTTTTTCTCCTCGACCCCCGTACCTTCCTGGAAGGATTTACGAGGAAATTCGAGAGAGACAGACACAGATAGAGGAAAGTGCGTAATTGAGGAATGCGTTTTTGCGCGAATATCAGAGTGATCGAGTTGTTATCACAATATTAAATGAAACAAGTCGCTTCTCATGCATATATATATATATTCTATAAAGATATAATTCGATAAAGCTCTGTATTATATAAAGTGTTTTATAGAATCATCTCACATGCTCTCTCATTCACAGATTCTGCGATAAATGCGATGAATATATCGGTTTATCTCACCATCTCTGTTAAACTGCTGATAAATCGACGATCAGATAATATAAATGTTTGAAAAACAATGTAGGAAGTATTCTTGTCTCGTGTATTATTAACTATTGAAATGCAAGCGTATGCTTTTATCGCATATCTTTAATCCACGTATAAGTATATATCCATAAAAATGTCTTCGTCACTTTATCGGCCAGGTGTCAGCTGGAGTTTAATCTGGTTTAGCAGATAGTGCGTTTCGTATTTTTTTGTTATCTCTTTGCTTAAGAAATCTTAAAGAATTAAAAAAACATGATATATTAGAATCAAAGTTCATTTAACGAGTTATTTGTAGAAAAACACTTCAAATATTTAGCGTGAAATAATTTTCAATATTTATTCAACGAATTACATTCAAAAAATCGAACAAAAAAATCACATTATATATTCATCGTATTCTTGATGCAATCTTCAAGCAATATAAGAAAAATAACAATGCCATGTTTCACAAGAAGTGATAAAATAATTATCAAAAAAATTACAAAGGACTCACATTTTAATTTAATATCAGATATCTATTGGAGCGAATTTGCGTTGTCAGAAATGATGTTGTCAGAAAATCGTGATTACACGAATACTATATTAATAAAAACGGATCTGAAAACGCTCATTAAACTGTCAAACTATTTCTAACGATGGACCTCCATTTACGCACCTTCCTCGACGATGAGTCGGATCAGAGAACAAAATATCGAACAGGGTCGAGACACTCTAGCTCGGAGACGTATCCCAATAGTTGGCCTAGTACCAAGTGTCATATTTTTCGCCCTTCCCCGGGTACGCAGTGGATCGTCGAACGATTGATCGTCTATTGTATGATTATTGACATTCTTCCAGAAATTTTATTGATAAATATATATATAAACTTTATCGCTACCGTTGAACATAATAATATTTGGGGATATATGATTAGGGCGATACCTTCGGTATTTATTGGAGACATCGAGAATACTAGATCGAAAGAGAAAAAAAAAGGAAGAGTGAGTAAGGGGATGAAAGGGAGACTGAGAAAAAGAAATATGGGATTGATAGTTATATATATAAATATATATATATATATATATATAAGAGAGGGGGGATTAGAGGGGTACACACACAAGTCGAGGGAAAAAACGGGGGCGGATAATAACGAAATGAAAAAAAAAACGAAGATAGCGTATAACTATTGTAACGAGTCTTTCCAGGGGAAAAGAGAGAAAATAGGGCAGAGATATAAAATAAGAAAAGAGAGAGAATGAGAGAAGAATCTCTTCCTTGTATTGTAAAATCGTATAACGAATTGCGAGAACCAAGGATGAGATTAAATATTGTACGTATGCGAGCGGAAATATATGGTAAGCAAAGAGAGTATAAAAAAAAAGAAAAACCCTTTACGTTTTCTCACTTATTACGTAAACGGTATACGTTATTACGTAAATGGATATATTATGATTACGATGATTGCTATATTTGTTGTTATTGTTCCTCGGTTGTATGCGGAGACGTTTAAGAGTGATCCATTTGTACAATCATTGAGTCATTAAAATATGATTATTCATTATGGAAGCTGTCGTGTCTCGCTTTCTTTATTCTTTGCCCCATTGTTCCCTATCATCTGATTATCTTCGTTATCGATCACACATACACAGATTGACGTTTTGAAATTTTCTGCTTGTGTATAACATAGAATTATTACGCTGATATTATCTACTCAATGTATTATCGATGTACTTAATTGATATAACTTAAATGCATGAGCGAATTATCGATTATTATTATAAGAAAATTTAATTCGTTTAGCGTTGCATGAAATTATATTGTTGAAGTTATTGTTGTTTATCCTATACGTATTTTCATTAAAAATTTACTTCACAGACGTTATCAAATTTTTATTGAGAATAATCGCGTTTTATACAATTAAAAATATGAAAAAATGTTCAGGAAACGATACAACTATTAGAGGTTTTTGACGTAAATTTTTAATATTTTGCGTCTTGTTTTCTCGAAGCAAACATTAATCGATACGTACAATAAAAATAGAAATAAAAAAAATGTATCATATTATTTTTAGTATTATGCTGTAACTGCTTGTTGGGAGCTTAACATTTTGTGCCTCCTTTCTCTTCTTCTAAATATCTATAATAAAAAAATGAATTTCTAAATTTTAAAAAATTTGCTACAAATAAATGTATTTTTTCTAGATTTTTTCTTTAATTTTTTATTTTATCGTTTTGATTGACAAGCTTTTCTAAAGCTTGCGTCCAATATGCAGGCACAGCTCTAAAGTTGCAACACCGTAATATAAGTTACGAAATACCGATAGCTCGCAGGTGTTCGATAATCTCTGATTAAATCGTGATTAGTAAGAAGTGCATATGAGTAAACTAAATGATTTCAGCTGTGCAAATAAAAGATTTAACTCTTATTAAATAAATCTTGTGTACAGATATTTAAAAAATTCAATTTTTTTTTCTCTACGAGAAAGAAAAGATTAAATCTCACAAATCTCAATCTCAAATTTGAAACGTTATGTTAATTATTTTAATTAAAATCAAAATATATAAATAAAAAATGAACAAAAGTTTAAATGTCGCAAGTGTAATCATATTTTATATACAGAGTACTTCAGAATTAAACGTCTCTAAATAATGTCTCTATAAGTATGAATTTAAGAAATAAGAAATAATAAATCAAGAAAGATGTCAATATTTCTCTTAAACAAGGCATATCTCTAGAGGAATTTTCTGATTTATTTTGAGACCTCAATTTTCATATATTTTAAATACGAACATTTAATTCTGAAACATATTGTATATTCCTGTGAAATATGTAAAATAAAAAGAATGTTAGAAAAAGACGGTACAATGTGTTTCGCATTTTATTTCAATGAATTTTCTCAATGTCTACCTCTCCAATTCGATTTTGATTAAATGTGTGTGTGTGCTTAAAAGGGTTTTAATTTTTTATATCTATCATTTAAACTATGCTTCGCCATCGATAAGACAACTCTTTGAATTCTCATCTGTGCGATAAGCCACCGGACGTCAGGTGGCTTGATAAATACGATTTGATATGTCATTTGATTCGGTTTACCGATTATTTAAGACAGTCGTTTATTTGATCTGCGAAGCGAAATCATTTTATTTCGTCGCCGCATCGACGATCTATCAATACTTAACTTTAAGTATCTTGACATTAATATATATAACCGATACTTCGAGAGACTGATAAATAAATAAATTGACAAAGTGTGAAGCAGAACCTTTTTATAAAACAAAGTGAACAAGGGATATACTATTGCAGTGATTAATATAAAACTACATTATTTTGTAATGTGGCATACATTATTGTGATATATTTTTGCCGAAATGCGTTTGAGTGATGTTCGGATTAGAATCGAGCAAAATTACAATGAAGAAATTGCACTATTCGTACTGAAACGATTAATGTGATTAAGTTTAAAAGATTTACAGTGTGTAGATAAAAAAAAGAGAAACACGAGATGAAAATTCATTCAAAAAAGTGCATTGTCGAGAGATAGTATTTATTAAGTGTCTATCGTGTATGATAGACGTGTATGATACAATAAATAGTATTCCCTGAAAACTGCGAGTCCAATTCTCGTTGTTTTGTCACCGAATTTGTATCGAATATCCTTTTCAGACTTAATCTCTCGATTGATAAACTCGAATTATATCCGCAAAATGGAACGATCAGAAGTATTCAGTCTTCTGTTCGCGCTATGTTGCGTTTTGATCTCGGCGGAAAAGCAATATTATTGTTCCTGGTATGGTCAATGTGGAATATCAGGTATACATCCACGAAGTTGTGTGGCAAAAGACATCTTCCCCCAACCGATTAATGACACAAATGCCGAAGCTATTCTGCAAAGAAGGTGTCCGCATTTATTCGAGGACAATGGTTTGTATCTTAATTGATCGATTATGAAATTTGTTCGTTTGGAGACGATTGAAAATTGCTGCGACAATTTCGCGGTTCCTCGTGATGAAAAATTAATCCTCACGCGTAATTGAAATGTGGCAATTCCAACAGAATCGCCAGAAACATGTTGCACGGCCGCGCAAATCGTTACGATGGATGAAAGTACGACTATGGCCGAAGGTATTTACGGCAGGTGTGCGACCTGCATGAGAAATATATTACGATTGATCTGTGATTTCACCTGCGGTTCTGACCAGGGTCGATTTGTAAACGTTACCAAGAGCGCCACAAATGAGAATGGCGAGGAATATGTCGTCGAAAGTGAGGTAATTCTTAAAAGTGCATTTTGGCTCTGATAATAAGTCTTATAACTCCTACAAAAATTGAAATTTTAATGTTAAAAATTAATAAATAAATATTTATTTATAGACACGCACATATAATTGTAATTAACTGCTATGTATACTTGTTTAAATGCTTTTGCAAGAACAAAACGATTCCTTTTTAAAATATATATTATAAAAATCTTTTTTCACTTTGTTTGTGCTTTCTTTCTTTTTTCTTTCTCTTTTTGCTATATTAAAAAAATGTTGTAAAATTTGTTAGACCCATTTGATCAATTTTGAATGAGACTACACCTTCAACTATATTAGCTTAGATTTATATTTGCGATAAAAAATAAAAGTAAATTAATTAAAAATTATGGCAAAAGAAAATTCAAATTTCTTTAAACGTTTTGCAGATTCACGTGGCGGAAGAAGCTATTAATGGCACATATGATTCCTGTAAAAATGTTGTCAATCCTACCAGTGGATATTTGGCGATGGACGTGGGCTGTGGCTCACACGGGGCCAGCAAATGTACTCCAAAATTGTAAGTAAAGAGAATGCGCGTGTATAATTATATGAGAGATAGAGTGGATCGTGAATATAAGATAATTTGACGTACAATTTGTAAAAAGATGGTACGAGTACATGGGCAAAGGGAACCCTTTCACACCTTTTGATATTATCTATGTTTATGATAAAGTCGACGAATGGGGCGACGAGCCATGGAACGTGCAAGCAAAAAACTGCAACGAAACTTATGACGTAAGTTGGAGAGAGGATGAGCTCTTTAAATAACTGCCATTAAAATATAAGTGTTTTCCTTTTTTTATTCTTATTCACCATCTTTACGTTTTATCAGAACTCATCCGTAGCCTGCAGCTGCGTCGACTGTCCCATCGCGTGTCCTTTCAACAAATTGGAAATTAATCCGAATGATACTTTTATGATTTGGGAATTTAACGGCTATGGTATTATAGCCGCTATAGTTGTCGTTGTGCTTACAATTCTAGCGAGTATCACGTACGGTTTACTGAGTATATTTCGTAAAAAAGGTATAAACATTTTTTCTTTTTTGAAATTTTCTCAAGAAATTGATTTTTTATTAAAGTTATAAAAATTTTTACAAATTCTATTCAAGTTGTTCATTTATTGCAATATATTTGCATTTTTTTCAGAGATGCCAGTGAGAAGGACTCATCGAAACTGTAGCCAGAAATATCAAAAATTCTTCGAAATCATCTTCGAAGCGTGGGGAAAAGGTAATTACATGTTTTTTATATTTCAAGAAATATTGTATAACTTACTAAATAAAACATTAAATAATCTTTTTTATAGTGCAATTTTTAAGAAAATTAGATTACATTGCACAATCGGATACCTACAATTGTATTCAAATCAGAATTATCATTTTTAATAACGCTAAGGATAAAAATAATTCTTTTTTGAGATACTATATTACATATAATTATGTTAAAATAATATGCAGAAAATATTTATAAATAAAGTATTTCAACAATTTTATCGATAGCATTTGCCAAGTATCCTATTACCACCTTATTGACGATCACGTGCGTGATTGTTGGTTTGAGTTTTGGAATCAACTATCTGTCAGTGACAGTAAATCCTATAGAAATATGGGCGGCACCAAACAGTAGATCAAGGATAGAAAAAGATTATTTTGACACTCGATTCCAACCATTTTATCGAACTGAGCAGATTTTTATAAAATCCGTCGGTCTCGACACGGTAAGATATTTATTATGACAATTAATGCAATATCAAGGTATATAAATATATACACAAAATAGTTCTAATCTTTGCATCTGAATAGATAGTACTAAAAATATTTAAAATATAAATATTCAATAGTGATCCTTACAATAATAAATTTCTAATATAAAAATTGTTTCCTCTAGATAAAGCGCGATACTCCAAGCGGAGTAATAGAATTCGGACCTGTGTTTAATAGAGAGTTCCTGCTGGCCGTATTTGATCTGCAGCAGCAAATTTTCAGGTATGTTCATATGTTTTTTTTTATCAAATAGTGATATATATTCTTGTTAATTGATGTTCACACAGTTGGGCCAAAAAGATGATGAAGGACTGAAAAGATTTGCTATGCTCCTGTGCAAAGTGAATTCACTGGACCAGTTACTCTTGATCTTTGCACGGTGCAAAACGTGTGGGGATACTTTCAAAACAGCATCGAAAATTTTAACAAGACGGAGATCAACGAAGGATATGAATCTAATTATCTAGATCACTTGTATAAATGTATGCAGTGAGTAATAATGAATATATGTATTATACATGTTTCCACTAGTTCAAAATTATTTAATAAATCATACAGCAATAATTTTTATAAATAATAATATAATAATAATAAATAATAATTTTAATAAAATGCTTTATAAAATCAAAATATATAGATAATAATTTAATAGTTAAAGAAACTTACGGTAAAAGTTTTAATTAGCAAATTATTGGATCTTTCTCCTAAAAAAATATTTTGCATAATAAAGACTTAAAAAATTTTTATTCTAGTTTCATTAATATAACTTTTTAATATATTAAATCAATTTTTCAGAAATCCTTTCAATCCAGATTGTTTAGCCCCGTATAAAGGACCTATAATACCTGCCATAGCAATCGGAGGTTTTCTGAGAGAGGGCGAATTTCAATATGATTCCGCGGATTATAGTAAAGCGACAGGATTAATTGTAACATTTCTGGTGAGAAATTCGCTCAAGGAGGAGGATCTTGCGCCAGTTATGAAATGGGAACAACGGTGCGTTAAATTCAAGAGAGTAGAAAAATTAAAATCGGATAGCATGAAAAATAATTATCAATGCTTTATAGATGCGCACAATTTATTAAGCAATTATTTATTAAAATTTTAGCTTACTTGATTTTATGGCAAAATGGGATCAAAATGATCGGCCAAACTTCATGGACGTCGCATGGTCGACCGAAAAATCGATACAAGATGAACTAGATAGAACTTCGAGAGCGGAAGTGATAACGATGGTCATCAGCTACTTGGTCATGTTCGTTTATGTCGCTCTCGCCTTAGGGAAGATCAAACTTTCAGTCGTCGGCTGCTTCGTAAGTTTCATTTTGTCGTCATCGATATCGCGAAATTATGAAAAACATCAATAAGCAACTCAATTATAATTTCCCACTTCAGAGAGAAAGCAGAATCTTGTTGAGCATCGGTGGAATCATTATAGTTATAGCATCGGTCGCTTGTTCCCTCGGGGTTTTCGGCTATGCTGGTGTACCAACCACTCTTCTCACTATCGAGGTAATTAATTTAGAACTCTATATACATTCACATTAAACATTTGGACCATTATATAAAGTCTGAATAATTTTGCAAATATGCTAAAATTAAACAAAATTATGATAACAAAAAACTTGAATAAATAAAGTAATTGCACACAATTAAAATAAAAAATAACTAATTGTAAGTGCAACAAATCGTCTTCAATATTTACATTAAAAAAATACAAATGTATAAGTTGATATGTAGAATGTTTCTTACATAAGAATAATAATAGCAATCTAATAGCCAATTATTATTCAGGTAATCCCTTTCTTAGTGTTGGCTGTCGGGGTTGATAACATTTTTATCTTGGTGCAAAACTATCAGAGAACTCTTCGATATGCCGATCAACCAATTGTAGAGCACATTGGTAAAGTTTTAGGTACGGTAGGACCGTCAATGTTGCTCACCAGCATATCCGAATGTTTCTGTTTTCTCATCGGTATGTACATTAGATATAGAAATGTATTTAACAATATCTAAAAAATGTATGTTTTTATAATTACAAACAAAAATTTCAGGAGCGTTTTCTTCGATGCCGGCTGTTAACACCTTCGCGATGTATGCCTCATTATCAATCTTAATTAATTTCCTCCTTCAGATAACGGCTTTCATAGCTTTATTAACTCTCGATTCGCGAAGAAATGAGGTAATTAATACAAATTTAATATGAATATTTAGATAAAGATTTCGAAATTCTCTGTAAAAGAATATAACGGTTAATATATGTATAGTGCATACAACTGCAAGTTATTATTTTAATTATCATAATTATAATTTATATCAATTTCATAATTTCTAACTATCTTATGTTACGATTTATATTGCAACTTCAATAAAATTTTAACTCTCTCGTGCTACTGTTAAAATAATTAATATAATGACTTGCATTCAGAACAATCGACTGGACGTTCTCTGCTGCATTGCTACTAAGGGAAATTCAAAAAGCGAGAATTACAAGGGTTTGGTCCACACGATCTTCGAGCGTGCTTACACGCCGCTTCTTATGAAGACGCCGGTGCGAATAATTATTATAGCGATTTTCACTGCCGCTCTCACTACTCATGTCGTAGTTATACCGCAAATCGAAATTGGATTAGATCAGAAGCTTTCGATGCCTGAAGACTCTTACGTTCTGAAATACTTTAAGGTAAAAAAAATGCATCTATATCTCATAATTATTGAAATAGAAGAATTTGCGCATTTAAAAATAAATAACAAGATGAAAGAATGAGGAAACTTTAAAGATTTTTTATAAAAGGATTATAAGTCACATTTGTTTTAATATAATAAAAAATAGCAACATTATATATTATATAGCTTCAAATGTAACTCATATTTTATTTGCATAGTACATGGACGATCTTTTATCGATGGGTCCACCAGTATATTTCGTATTGACAGAAGGTTTAAATTATAGCAAGAGAGAAGTGCAGGATATCATATGTGGCGGTCAAGGATGCAATACGGATTCTTTGTACACGCAGATATATTCGGCTGCCAAAGAGTCCTCGATGTTTGTATCTCTCAAAATTCATACAATTTTAAAAGTTTTATTATATGTAAATGCAATGCTCTTTTTATCTCTTTCTTTATATTTTAATGCGAAATATTAATTTCATCATTTTGCTTTTACATTTTTCTGTTAAATATTGCTAGTAGATTTTTGGAATTCGTAATATCTTTTTAAATTATTTCAAATGCAGGATTACAGAAAGAAAATCTTAACTATAAATAATTGCAGATCATATCTGTCTAAAGCAGCCTCATCTTGGATAGATGATTATCTCGATTGGTCGACGATTGATGGTTGTTGTAGATATTTCGCTAACAATCAATCATTTTGTCCACATAATAATAGTAAGTACAGTATCAATATAGGTAAAATTATTATTAGTATTATATTATGTAATAGATAAGTATTAATTTTTGAAAAACCTAAAAATCTCTTTTAAACTTTTATTTATCTATTATATTATATAATGTGAGATAAATATTAAAATAAATATTATTCTGAAAATAAAATTATTTATACAGAACAGTGCGAGACATGCAAGATTGATATTGACAAGAATACCTCTCGTCCAGATGAAATAAATTTCAGAAAATATATTCCTTATTTCATAGAGGATATTCCAGATGAAAACTGTGCTAAAGCCGGAAGAGCTGTGTATTTGGATGTGAGTAAATATAAAAAACGATTACATTTCAATGAAATATGGTTAATTTTTATTTTTATTGTATTTATTATAAAATAAATTCTTGTCAATTTCTTTACGAAAAATCGTGAAATTCAGCGCAAAAATTAAAAATTTCAAAAAAGAAATAAGGATTATTAAAAGACTCTTCACATAGGCAATAAATTTTTACTATGACGAATTTAATCTGACTGACGTGGGCGATTCGTATTTTATGGGTTATCATACGCCCTTAAAAAAATTATCCGATTGGTATGAAGCATTGCGTGCTGCAAGAATAATATCTGAAAAAATCACAAATATGATTAACGAATCCGATGTGGTGTCCGAGAAAAATATCCAGGTATTTCCATACAGGTGAGTAGTATTATTCCATAGATGAACTGTAGGAAGAAACTCGAGATTTTTAAAACAAATATCTATACTTTTGAGAGAAAAATATATATTAGTGAGTTATGATCGCACAAAATAACTTCTGTAATATTAAAAAAAATTTTTTTAAATTACATATTAATAAAACTTTTCGTGTGTTTTAGTGTTTTCTACGTGTTCTATGAACAATATTTAACTATTTGGCAGGAAACGCTGTCGTCAATAGGTTTGTCCCTTGCCGTGATTTTCGCAGCAACGCTCCTTCTTACAGGATCATTATTTTCTGCTGTCATTGTTCTTTTTACCGTGTTGATGACACTAATCAATTTAGGAGGTCTAATGTACTGGTGGGACATCACTTTGAACGCGGTTTCTCTCGTAAATTTAGTCATGGTTCGTATTAAATTGTAATTTGTTTATTTTTTCTTATTTGTTAATGAGAAAATCTTAAGTTATAATTATATAATTAATTATCATTATAAATATTTAATAATATAATTTAATATATATATATATATATATATATATGTATGTATAATATATAATTATATATTTTTTATTTATTAAATTAGATATTTTTTATATATTACTGTTAAATGTTTAAAAAATATGTTTACAGGCAGCTGGTATCTCTGTAGAATTTTGCAGCCATATAGTGCACTCCTACATCACTTCTACAGCCATGACAAAAATCGGTAAAGCATCGGAAGCACTTTCTGTCACAGGAAGTTCTGTAAGTGTCGTGAGAAATAAAAATTTGATATATTTTAATACCAAACTTAGAAGAAAATTCAAATTATTTTAGAGAAATAAAATATATCAAACTTATTTGCGTAATCTTATCTTATAGGTATTCTCAGGAATCACTTTGACCAAATTCGTGGGAATCGCGGTGTTGGCATTCGCGAAATCGCAGATTTTCCGAGTGTTTTATTTTAGAATGTATCTAGGAATCGTCTTATTTGGCGCAGCGCACGGTTTAATATTTTTACCAGTATTCTTAAGTTTTATAGGTCAGTGATATAAATTATATAAAATTAATTATTTGAAATTATTAATTTTTTTTGCATGTGGCACTATAATATAATTATTATTATTATTATTATAGGACCCAGGTAGAACAAAGAGATGCATAAAAGTTCATCCCAAATAACTCATCACGTTTGTTTAAACATTCATCAATAGGATAAATTGCACGTTAATTATATCAATAATATAATGATTCTATGAAGAACTTATTTCCAAATAAATATTTTTGTATTTTTTAATAATACGATATTATTAGCTTCGATACACGGCTCTCTGCGTTAATTTGTGATAATCATACTGCATATAGTCGTGATCATTGCGAATTAAAATACAAATTTTCATCAAATATTATATACTTTTATTATTTTCCCATTATGTATGTGAAATATAGATTTCCATAAATTATTCTTGGCTAAGAAAAATTTATTACTTACACATTTATGTATGTATATTTTATAAATTATTTATTGCCAATCTTTTTTGGTATTCGAAACACTGAAAGATATTAATATTGATATTTATTGAAGAATTAGAACAATTTATAGTAATATTTGTAATTCAAAAATGACAGTGAAATATGTATCTACTTATTTTTCATTATATTATAAATATCAAGAAATGATATATAAAAGTAAAATATAAAATATATGTAGATATATATATATATATATATATATATATATAAACTGCTTACCTTAAAACGTACTTAGCATTTTATTTTTAAAATTAAAATTATGATAATATCGCCTGAGAAATATATTTGTAAAGAGGTCAGCAAAAAATTATTCCAGATGGATCAATTCTGAATATAATTTAATGCTTAAATTGCATAAGAATGTATCTATTTTAATGGATTACAATTTAATTACATTCTTATCACATTTTCGAATAATTTTTGGAAGATATCATAAAAAGCATAGATATAGATTTGAAAACTTAGGTAAAAAAAAAATATATATACTACTATGATACTACTACTATGCAATTTGCAACTACTAACGTTTCTCTGGATCTGCGACTCAAAAACGTGCCCCTCCGCGAAGTCGCAAAACTAAATGAAGTGTAGATTCCTTTTGAATATTATAGTCGGAAAGAGTTCTGCCATCTTCCAATTGCTTACCGGCAAAAATCAGACGTTGCTGATCAGGTGGAATGCCTTCTTTGTCCTGGATTTTTGCTTTTACATTCTCAATGGTGTCTGAAGCTTCGACTTCAAGAGTGATGGTTTTACCTGTAAGAGTTTTTACGAAGATCTGCATTCCTCCACGAAGACGCAGGACCAGATGAAGCGTGGATTCCTTCTGGATATTATAATCAGAAAGGGTTCTGCCATCTTCCAGCTGTTTTCCCGCAAAAATTAAACGTTGTTGATCGGGAGGAATACCCTCTTTATCCTGGATTTTGGCTTTCACGTTTTCTATTGTGTCAGAAGCCTCGACTTCGAGTGTGATAGTTTTGCCTGTGAGTGTCTTCACAAAAATCTGCATTCCTCCTCGAAGACGTAGAACCAGATGAAGCGTGGATTCTTTTTGAATGTTGTAATCAGAAAGAGTTCTACCATCTTCCAGTTGTTTTCCGGCAAAAATTAAACGTTGTTGATCGGGAGGAATACCCTCTTTATCCTGAATTTTGGCTTTCACGTTTTCTATTGTGTCAGAAGCCTCGACTTCGAGTGTGATAGTTTTGCCTGTGAGTGTCTTCACAAAAATCTGCATTCCTCCTCGAAGACGCAGAACCAGATGGAGCGTGGATTCCTTCTGAATATTGTAATCGGAAAGTGTCCGTCCGTCTTCTAATTGTTTTCCAGCAAAAATTAAACGCTGTTGATCCGGGGGAATTCCCTCTTTGTCTTGAATTTTGGCTTTCACATTTTCTATGGTATCTGAAGCTTCAACTTCAAGGGTGATGGTTTTGCCAGTGAGAGTCTTCACAAAAATCTGCATTCCTCCTCGAAGACGCAGAACCAGATGAAGCGTGGATTCTTTCTGAATATTGTAATCGGAAAGTGTCCGTCCGTCTTCTAATTGTTTTCCGGCAAAAATTAAACGTTGTTGATCGGGAGGAATACCCTCTTTATCTTGAATTTTGGCTTTCACGTTTTCTATTGTGTCAGAAGCCTCGACTTCGAGTGTGATAGTTTTGCCAGTGAGAGTCTTCACAAAAATCTGCATTCCTCCTCGAAGACGCAGAACCAAATGAAGCGTGGATTCTTTCTGAATGTTGTAATCGGAAAGAGTTCTGCCATCTTCAAGTTGTTTGCCAGCGAAAATCAGACGCTGTTGATCCGGTGGAATTCCTTCTTTGTCTTGGATTTTGGCCTTCACGTTTTCTATGGTATCTGAAGCTTCAACTTCAAGGGTGATGGTTTTGCCAGTGAGAGTCTTCACAAAGATTTGCATTCCTCCTCGAAGACGCAGAACCAAATGAAGCGTGGATTCTTTCTGAATGTTGTAATCGGAAAGAGTTCTGCCATCTTCAAGTTGTTTGCCAGCGAAAATCAGACGCTGCTGATCCGGTGGAATTCCTTCTTTGTCTTGGATTTTGGCTTTCACGTTTTCTATGGTATCTGAAGCTTCAACTTCAAGGGTGATGGTTTTGCCAGTGAGAGTCTTCACAAAGATTTGCATTCCTCCTCGAAGACGCAGCACTAAATGAAGTGTGGATTCTTTTTGAATATTATAATCAGAAAGAGTTCTGCCATCTTCTAATTGTTTTCCAGCAAAGATCAGCCGCTGCTGATCAGGAGGAATGCCTTCTTTATCTTGTATCTTCGCTTTGACATTCTCTATTGTATCAGAAGCTTCTACCTCAAGGGTGATGGTTTTCCCAGTGAGAGTTTTCACGAAGATTTGCATGATGAATCTAGATTAAAAGAAATTTAATTAATGACAAGTTAATATTTTTAGGTTTATTAATTTCAACAAACTTATTAATATTAATCTAAACTTAAGACGAGATTATATATATTGCTATTTAGTAAAAATTACAATTGCATATTAAAATAATTACTTATGTTAAAGCTATTTAAAAATATATTAGTTTAGAGAAATTTAATTATATTACTGCTAATTTATTAGGAATGTTATATTTTCTAATGTTGATATTGTTGAAAAAAAAGAAAAAATATATTTGCAAATCGTACAATTCGAAAATTATTGACTTCAGCAAGAATAATCGTTTTACGTTTTTTTGCTTAATATAATATTTGTTTGTTGTACCTCTCAAGAGTAATGACTTTTGTACAAACTACGTCTAATAACAAGATTCGATAACCGTTAAAAAAACAAAAAAATCTGGAATCTTCTAGAGCCTGTTCTGGACTTTCATGTATAATTTGCTATAAAATAAAATATAACGCTACAAATCGCGTTGCTCTACGATGTTTATAATAAAAAAATAATTCGTGGGCTCGCAATTACAAACCTATATATAATATATAAACTGGCAATCGATCGATGCGGTACAAAAGAAATCGTAATTCAAGAAAATGGAGGACGATGCCTTGACGAGAAATTCCAAATCGGTTCAACAGCGAGATTTTCGAGATTTTCGGCAAAAAAGATGTTCGCCGAGTTCTTACCTGATATCGAGATGATTAGCAGCTACGGATTCGTAATCAAGATCACTCCCTTTGTTGAAAGAAGCGCAGACAAACGATCGAGACAAACGACTTTCTCAAAGTTCACAGTACTGTTGCAGATGGATATAGAAGAATGATCTCTCCTGAGTTGCGTTCTAAAACCATATGATCGCAATAGAGGGACGCTATACTTTGGCCAATTACGACAAAAGGAGCGAAAGTTTCTTGATTCTGATTGGTCAATCAAAAGGTACCATACCCAATGAGTAAATTTTCGATCGCACCCTCGCGGACCACGTGCGCACGCGTCAATGACGTATGACGTAGCGTCATACGTCATTGGCCAATCGTGGAAGCTACAGCTGATTCTTTCTTCTTCATCAGCTCGAGCGAGTCGACACTCGGATAGGGAATTTCTCAGGTTTTAACAATTGTTTTGTACAAATAAAATGAATTCGATTAATTAATGCATTAATGCATCGAATGCTGAGATTATGACGGAAGATAGAAATTCATAAAAGAAATGTTAATGTAAATAAATTACTTCATTCGATTAACCTGTGCTGGACATACAAATAAAAATATTATTTCTAAACTCCATAAATTATGCATAATATTTACAATCGAAATCCTCCGATCTTAAGAGGTAAAATGTTGAAATCTCGTTATATTTTTTTTCCTTCTAAATATGATTACATGCAAAAGAATCTTGTGCGACATTATGAGACGAGATGAATAATTCAACTGGACATATTTAGTTGCAGCACAAAATTCCGATCATACTGGTCATTCTGGTCGATACAAATGATTGTGTCCAATTATATTGCGGCCAAGTGAACATTTTCTGTGGGTGAAACGTGATATCTTGTGTGGAAGCCCTGATGATTTCATTCATTCGCTTTGATTCGCTTGCAATTTACGTCGTGGTATGTGATATCGTCGTATATTAACAAAACAAAAGTCGGAACACGAGTTATCATGTATCCAAAAATGCATCTGTAATTCTTTCGACAGCATATTAATTAACATGAAGGACGAGCGATCAGCAGTGATTTATGTGGCCACTGATGACAAACAAATAAATATTACGTTTTTCGTCGGTGCGACCATTGAAGATTTATGTATCCAGGTATATATACATATATATATATATATATAAGATAAAGCTAAATTTTATCTTTATTCTATTATCTATTCTTATGATAAAAAGGAATTTGTCTAATTTAACTGGTTTACATGTCCAAAAAACTTGATCGTTTTGTATTACATAAATTGTTTTGTAAACATGATATTTTTTTGTAAACAATATGTAGCAAATATAATCTTTAAATCATACAAAGCCAAATAATCTGAAGTAAAAATAGATATTTATCAGAAATCAAATTATTCTATGTGTTAAAGATATATTATTAAATATATGCAATATTGTGTTTTCATATTCTAATTTACATTATATCTACACTAATTTTTTAAAAATAAATTTAACTAATTGTATATTTTATCAGTTAGATAAATTTTAAATTCTCTTTTTTATCATTTTGCAAGATGCTGTTTAATTAATTTATTTATATGTAATTTATTTTATTTATTGATATCTGTAAAAATTAATTTTTTATTATACACTTTTCTTTCTTTCTCTCTCTCACAGAATACAAACCTAAGATTTCTTTATAAACAAAAAATTCTTTAATTTTTAGATATGCAAGCGCTTTAAAATAGGTCCAGTGGCAAGACATCTATTTGCATTGCGCAGTTATTCTTCTAAACTATGGTTTCCATATGGGCATAAACTCGAAGACAGAGATAAGAACAGATTCGATTTTCGCTTACGATTTAAACCATGCAGCATGCAGAAACTGAAACAGATAGACGAACATGCTTACAATTATTATTTTCAGCAAGTTCGTATAGATATAATGAATAATAAAGTACCTGATATAGTGTACGAGAAGCATAAAGATAAATTGATTGGCTTAGGAGTTAGTGATATGTACAGGTAAATACAAGTCATTTGATTAAAAAGAATACAATTAACTTTCATATTTCAAGCTTTAGTTCATAACTAATTTTTTGTAAATTTGTTTTAGCTTTTATTTTATATAGTTGTTGAGTTAAATATGAAATATGATACATGACCTTTTTTCTGTGTTGCAGAGTAATGCTTGAGAAACAACTACCACGGGAAATTATAGAATCAGAATATAAAAAATATATTCCCAAAGAATGCATTAAAAGGCATGCCTTTTTTGTTAAGAAACCTATATATAATGCACTGGCAGAAATATCTGGGGAGCACCTCGATGCTTCGTATGTTAAGGAGCAATATTTGCAGCAATTTGAAAGCATGGCGCCAAACTATTTGTATGAAGAATATAAAGCATTAATGGATAAAGGTGTTCCTAATCCACCAGCTAAAGTTTTACTTAGGATTAACAGAGAGGAAATAAAATACTGTGAGACTGACACTGATGATTGGAAAACACTTTGTACTATAGGAGATCTTTGTTTTATTTCTATAAGGTACAATAAAAGATTTTTAATGACTTTTCTTTTTTATATAATCTTAAAACGAAAATCAATTCTATGTATTTAATAATATATTTTTTATAATTATTTATAGCCTGTATAGATTGAATATATCAGAAACAATAAATTTTTTATCCATTAAACTTTCATCTTTCAGAGAGGATAATACTGTGGAAATTTCAAGAAAGAATGGCATACCATCATACTTAAAATTCATGGGGCATACAAATGGAATGTTGATGTCATTTGTATCCGCGTTGGACGGATATTACCGATTGTCCATTAAGTGGACTTTCAATCTTTGTAGAGATGTTACCACGCCTACTCTGGATAGATTACACGATTTAAAGTGCCATGGACCAGTCGGGTAAGATAGTTTCCACAAAATAGTGTAGAGAGTTATAATTCTGCATATGATGTGTATTATATTACAAAAAAACCTTTCCAAAAATATTTCAGAAAACAATTCTCATATGCGAAACTCAAAGAAAAACGTACTAACAAACCGGGAACTTATATACTGCGGGAGAGCGAAACCGAGTTTGATGTTTACTACATTGATGTTTGCAACAGAGATGAGAAAGTAATATCGCAAAGAGTGGAACAGATTCCTTCGGGAGAATTTTCGATATTTTCACAGAAATATCCTTCTTTGATGGATTTAATTTCTTCATTCCAAGATCGCGACAATCCAATGTATCTCGAAGAATGTTTGCGACCTTCAGAATATGGTATACACAATAGACGTGAATGAACATTATAGAGTTATAGAGAGAAAAAGTTACAATTTTAATTATGTCTATATGCGATATATAAATTTGTATTTTATTTTTTTTATTTAGACATATCACCATTATTAATTTGCGCATCGGAAAACATTGCGAGCGAGCAAGCTGCGGATGAGGAGATTATCGCTCTATTGGAAGGTGGACCGCGATGCGTATCGCAGAATCAATTGTGCAAAAGCGGTAAAGATTTGAGTCGTATGTCGGTGATGAGTGTACAACGAGCGACATGGCGAATCGCTGAGGGCAAGAAACTTGAAATCATGATGAAGACACTCAAACCTGATTATACCAGTTATACCAAAGATTTTCTAGAACTAGCTGATAAGTGGGGCAAATTACGATCGGGAGCTTTGATCAGGTAACATAAAAAAGAAACACACATATATTATATTATATAATATATATATATATATATATATAAAACAAGGATGAATGTAATATTCTTATTTCGTTTTCAGACTATATGGCATAACTGTGGCTCCGTCAATCGGGATGTTACTCGAATTGGTGAAGTTAGGTCCACTAGACTTGTATTTGCGCACCAATTCTTCAACTATAAAAATTGTCGATATGGTCGAAGCCACCGCCTGTTTGACAACAGCTCTATGGCATTTGGTAAGAGAGAGTATCTTTGAAACATATGTATATACTATTTAATATAATACTTTGAACAAGACTTAGAATAATTATGATATAGGAGGAGAATCACGTAGTTCATGGAAAGATAAGATGCTCAGGAGTATTCGTACATGCGCATACAAATAGTAATTTTAGTGTTAAATTAGGAGATCCTGGTCTTTTCACTTACACCGATAACGAGTAAGTTGAAAAATAAGTCTTGTTTGATCGAGTGATTTATTGTTTAATATAATTCTTTTATTTTATACAGCATACCTTGGATACCACCAGAATGTTACGCAGATTTAAGAAGTGCAAAATATAGCTTTCAAGCAGATATATGGGCATTGGCCACAACCATTTGGGAGATATTCTCCAGAGGGATTTCCATACCTATATATCATACTGATATTGTCAAGAAGGTATATTTATTATAAATAACAATTTAATTATTATAGTATTATTTTACACTAATAAAAATATGTAATCTATTTAAATAAAAAATTGCTTTTATAGATTACAGTTAAAATTTTTTTATATACTTTGATTTAGTACAAATTGTTTATATTAATTGCAAATTTGATTTATGCAGTTCATTTTTTGTACAAATAAATCATTGTAATATGAATATGTGACTAAACAGTGTTTTTTTTAACAGTTTTATGGAGGTTTTAATCATTTACCGCAACCTATGGACTGCCCATATGAAGTCTATCATCTGATGTGTCAATGTTGGAATGAAAAAAGTACCAGAAAACAACCTCAGGCCATTATGCGAGATATCAATCAGATTATGTATCAAGTATATAATTCCCGTCGGAATCATGCTTACGCTACAGCATTCCCTAAATTCTTTAACACTGATGAAAACGACAGCAACGACGATTTAGAGGAGAGAACATCGAATAGCGAATCACAAGTGCTAGATTCCTGCAGTTTGAACACCGATCACACTAACTTAACTTGGGATGATAACGACAGTGAGTTCTCATATTTAAATAATGACCAAAGTAGAATATTATCCTGTGTATTAAATATTTTCTCTATGTTATGTCTTCATATGTGTAACCATTGGGTTGTCATTCATAAATCACATTAAAATTTAATAATGTCGACTTTATAAAAACAAGAAATTAAATTTTGTTTTTACAGCCGTCATAAGCTCTCAGGAGAATTCCGTTGTTACCAATGACGAATGTTTTCGTTATCTAAATGCCGTGATCAGAGCCATGAACGACGCGCACATGTCGAGCATTAATGGCACTTCTCATCGCGGAGGTAACAACGAAATTTATTTAGGTCAGATGAAGGATATTTTCGAGAATGAAACGAATTCGACATGGACAATATACATGCAGGAACGCATAGGCCAAGGTTTCTATGGCGATGTGTACAGAGGAACCCGCATTAAAGGCAACGAAATAGAGCAGATAGCCATTAAAAAGCTGAAGATTGGAACGCAATCGGTACAGAATGATTTCGAAAGAGAAATTCAGATCATGAAGGTAAATCGTCTTCTTAAGAATCAATCATTTTTTCAAGAATTGCATTATGCAAATGCTCTGTCTTAGATTTTCAAAATTTCTTTATATACTATGTTGTAATACTAAAGTTGCAAAACTGCATTCTACATATATATTTCTTGTTAATAACAATGCATAGCGAATTTAAGAAAATAAATATTTGTACTAATATATAAATATTCCCTTAATATTGTGATTTTTAATATTAATACATATTGTATACATATTGTATAATATAATAATAGAATCAATTAGGAAAAATAACGAAATTGTTTTTTCTATTTTACTTTACAGACTCTCAAGCATCGAAATATTGTGAAAATTTTGGGCAATATATCAGAGCCAAAGTGCCTGATCATGGAATTTGTCGAGCACGGTTCATTGGCAACCTACTTGCAAAGTAATCGTAAGACTCTAAGATCTCCTAAGAAACTGCTACACTTCGCACTGGATATCGCCACTGGTATGGATTATCTTGGTTCCAAGAATGTCGTTCACAGGGATGTAGCAACGAGAAACGTCCTGGTAGTAAGCGAGACTCATGTAAAAATCAGTGATTTCGGTCTCGCGCAAATGACAAAAGGCAAGGGCGATTATTACATGCTTCAAACTGTCCGCGATCTTCCAATGAAGTGGTAAGTATAGTAAAACAGAAGACCTCAATCTTCACTACGTTAATACCTTTCCTTGATCGTCAAGTAAAGAAATAATTTTTCGTCGCTAATAAAACTTTTATTGACTCTAAAATCTAATTGTTCTTTCAAGCGTTAAATTCTGTAATAATTCTCATAGAAAATGGATGATTTTCTTAGGTATGCACCGGAGAGTTTAAAAGAGTTTAAATTCTCATCGCGCTCGGATGTATGGTCGTTCGGCGTGACGATGTACGAGATCTTCAGCCTCGGCGAGGATCCGAAACTGCCGGAGATTGAACTGAATTATAAGAACATCACGGAGAAATATAATATCCAGGAAAGAAATATGGTAACATTGGTGGCAGCGTTTGAAAAGGGCATTCGCCTTCCTTGTCCGGAATTGTGCCCGCCAGAAGTTTACCAGCGGCTGATGCATTCGTGTTGGAATATGAAGAGTCATGAAAGACCGACGTTTGCAACTCTGTGCAAAGATATTAATGAGTTGTTACAAAAATATATTAATTAAAACGTTTTCATTCACGCGGCTTCACGTGAATCGCGCTCGCTATTGTTTTAAAGATACGTAGATACGTCTCCTAATATCTATCCACAATTCTTATTTCAATGAGATATTCTTTGATGAGTCTAAAATTGATTTATCTGTTATATTTTTATTACTTTATAATTTATAGATGTATAAATAATTCTCCCACTTCTCATTCGAAGGTTTTTTAAAGGAAAATACTTTAAAGGAATCAAAGAATCTTTGCTATGAAAAAATTAAGAATATTTTCGATGCATTTCTATATAGGAATGCATCTAGTCGACGGTTTTATCATTATATTTCTTATGTATTTTCTGTGAAATATATATACAGCGGACTATTTTATTTTAATATGTAAAGTTTTTTTTACTATTTCTTTCTCACATTGTTCGTGCGTTTTATCTTTTTTTGTAATAATAGAAAAATAGTCATAGCAAAATAATAAAGCGAGAAAAGTTTTGTGTATAAGTGTATGATATGTTAAAATAATTGACTAAACAATTTTTGTAAAAAAAATTTATCTCGTATTATTAATTGAAGAGTATCAAATACTACCGTGATCTTCTCCACTCAATTCCTTTGATGCTAACGAAAATGCCTATTTCGTTAAATATTTTTCTTAATACATAATTTTTTCAATAATGTTACAAAAAAATAATTGGATATAATCAAGTGTATTCTATAAATAAGAAAAGGGATAAGAAGATTAAAACAAAGATAAAGCTCTTTAACGATCAGTTTCCTTGTATCCTTCAAAGTAAGTAGAGCATCTTGAGAGACATTATTACAAGTTGAATATACATGTATTTCTTATAAGCTAATGATTTATGATTATAGAGAGAGAGAGGAGGGGGGGGGTAGATAATGATGATATACAAGGGAATTTAAAAACTAGTATAATTAAGTATATTTACTATTTCATGAAAATTGTAAATGAATAAATTCATAAGAAACAAACAGATCAAACAAAAAATGTCAAACACATGGCGATAATAATTGTGTTTATCTATTTGTTCCTTTTTATCATGGATTAATAATATTTTAATCTTTTTCTAACTATCGAGTATTGTTATGTCTGAAATTACTATGGAGTTTGTAATATTTGTGATACAGACGATTGCACTCTTATTAGATATCATATATCATATGTACGCACGTATCCAATAATATATTGCATTTCTTATTTTTTACGTTAAATATTTTCAATTCAATATATATATATTTCATCTCAGTATATTAATATTAAGATTATAAAAAAATTTCATAAAAAATTATTTTTATATACGTGTGTACGTGTGTATGTGTGTATGTACATATATGTATATGAGGGGATATTATCCCAAAGCGCTTGATAAATAAAGCTTCTATTCTATATGTATGTACATAATAATAGTAATTAAATTTGATTAATAATTACATTATTATTTTGTCATTATTTTTTGCTATCATGCAACGTTATGACTAATTTTTGAGTCATAAAATAAAAAAAAAAAAAAAGTGATAAAATAAAAATAAAAGATTTTACACTCCTTAAATGAGTTAAAGTAATAAAAATATATTAATCAATAATATATCAAGTGCTTAATTAATAATTAATTTAAATAACCGAAAAAATATTTTATATATTTTATTCACCTAAAATATGTCGCGGCAGTAATAAATTTGCACGATATTTAGCGCTTATTTTTTATAGTATACTCATATGTAATAAGCACATTTCATACATTAAGAAGATTAATGTATTAATCGGTTTTAATGTGTCGTGAACAATTAGTCATCTTCGTGATTTTTCGATTTTGTTTCAATAAGCGGTTCGATTTCTAATTCCATAATCATTCACGGTACACTAGATTAATAAAATCGATCATAAATTATGAGGTCTAATTATGATGGTATTCATAAAACTCACTTTAATTAAATATATTAAAGTAGCGATTTGTGCCAGCCAAGACTACAAAACAGAGAGAAAATAAGAAAAACTTTTTTTAGTTTTTCCTAATTTGCCACGTACATTTTTTTATTCTTGGAGAAAACTATTCCCCTAAAAGGTACACATAAAACTGATATAGTAGTACCACAAAAATCCGATTTCTACCACAATATTCTGATATGGAATATTAAAATAATTCGCGGTTTTACCAAAGCATTTTATTGTCTCGGAAATATACAGACTGTCTTCAGGAAACATTAACTCTTACTTTAATGGAAGATTTGTTAAATCGAAATTCATAAGTTAACTTGTCTTATGTAAAAATTTCTCCGATGTGTCTCTTCATTTAATTGTTTGAAGAAAAGTACTTGTTAGGATATTTCTATTTTGAAGTATATTTGAGGAAGCTACTTCGAAAGAGTACCTATCTTCGAAAGAATCTACCGTTATAAGAATTTCGTTCCCCCAACGCACTTTTTATTATAAGAGGAATTTGTCTGGCGACTTCTTGTCGTCGTATATTGTATAAAATATATAACTTTACTATTTTCATTTATTTTCGATATTTTCACTTCTCCCCTTTGCTGATTGTTTCTCTTATTTTGTTATAGTCGAAGATTATTCGCGACAATAAGATAATCGCGCACGCAATAAAACTAACTATAGGCAATTTTCGTTTGTAGACTACCGATGCTTTATTTCTCATGTTATTAGCTGAATATTACACACGCACCCTCCAGATCGATATTCTAGACGCCTTTCGCTTTCATGTCAAACGCGTGCATTTTTCATAATTATAATACGCCCGATAATGCCGTGAAAATGGAGAGAAGAAATAAAAGATGAGAATAATCGCGTGCACTCTAAAAAAAATAGTAAAGTGTCTATAGCAACAAAATAACGATCGATGACAAATTCGTCCTCAACAGTCAGTTCTTCTGAGTCCTTCGAAGTAAATGGAACATCCTGTGAAGCCTCATTACAAGAACCGATTTTTTCTACCACACAGACTATGGCTTCATCAAAACAAATGGTACTCTTGCTTATTGTCACATAAAGACACTGTGTTATTACTGTCATTTTATGCTGTCATTTGTGTTCAGGTAGTCACGGATTTTAATATTTTTTTATGTTGAATGTTATAATTAAAGTAAAAGAAAGAATTAAGATTTATAAATAATAATACACATAGAATTGAAATTTTATAATTCAATATGAGTGTTTCATTGAAATAATATCAGACCATAAAAGAAATTTGATCACACATATCTCGACAATTATTTATGCTTATTTTTGCCCTTATAAAAAATTTAATAACATGTTTTCTCTCTATCATATATATGTGTGTGTATTTGCATATTTGTCAAAACAATACTCATTGTCAATCTAATTTTAATTACACTGTTACTCTTATTATCATGTAATACCATATACAATAATTTTTATAAACATATTATAAGTATCGATAAATTTTTAGGAAATTTTAATTTTATTTATATTAAATTAATTAAATGTATCGAAAAAACTATAGAATTTTTTTAAATTTATTGCATGAATGTTCTAAACAAATGTCGTCGAGAATGGAAAAAAGCAAAACTATATACATATAACTAACAATAAGTAAAATATTAAAAAAAAACAGTATTATTACAAAATAATGATTGAATACAAATTCTCATTCAATAATCCTTTCTTCAATAGATGGAATATGTTGAAAATTACTTCAAACTGAACCAATTGTTGTTATTGGTCAGCGGAATATGGCCTTATCAAAGCAAGTGGAGTGCTTATTTAATGAGAGTCATTTATATTGCCCTTATAATAATGGTTGTAATTTTTCAGGTATAATCGCACACATAGATATATTCTTTCTTATTAAATATTATAAATTATAATATATAATAAATAAATAAAAAAATTTTAAATAACAGTATATAAAAAAATTAAAATTATATAACCAACAATAAGTATTGCTCTAATTTATTATAAAATAGAATTTGATTATGCGAAAAAATTAGCCGTTAGAATACATTTCGATAAATATCTTTTGAGAAACAATTATATCTACTCCTTTGCTTTTATTAAAAATTAATGATATATTTCTAGTTAATTAACTTTTTCGTAACTGATGTCAGTAGAGATTTTCTAGTAATTACGGTACAAGCATTTATACTTACAATAGGAGTTTTGGGTCACGTATGGTCATATATCAAATACATGGACAAAGTAAGCTTGATCATTTTTATTTATATTCTTAATATTTTATATTCAATATGACGTAATAATGTTTATATCTTAATGCATAAAAATATAATTTCCGTAAAACATTTTTTAAAGAAAATAATTTAAAAAATTTTAAATATGCATGTATGCATTTGTGTATTTGCGGGCACGTGCATGTTTTATTGAAACAAAGAATTAAACTGATTCTAATTACGCTATTATCATATCACTATCTTTTTTAGCATCCAATATTATAAACAATATCCCTAAATAAGGTGAATAAAATGGAAAATAAAATACATGTGATAAAATAAAAAAAAATCTTATATATTTATTCATATTATCAATATATTTTAAAAAGTATCAACAATAAAATTTAAATTTTTTCAAATGTTTAATTTTTATTATTACATTAATGCTGAGGCTCACAATGTCTAAATAAATCAAATATATTTTTTTTATCCACCTTTCTTTATTATATATTATAAGATATTCATTTATTGCGCTTTAATGTCTTTTAGTTTAAAGAATTATTTGAGCATATGTGGAAAGATTGGGCTTTGCAAAAAACAGACGAAGAGATCAAGGTTATGCACGAACATGCTAAAACCGTGAGAAAATTTACGTTCTATTACATATGTAAGAAAAATATTAAATTATTTTATTATTAAAAAAAGTTTCTATTTGTAAATTTAAGACTGTATATTACATGAGACTATGATAATAATTCTTTCTTTATATCTTATCAACACTGAATTATAATCTCATTAAACCGAACATTCTTAAGACATGTAATTACAAGATTACAATAAGAAAAATGATGTTTATAACTACTAAAAATTAATGATATATTTTGGATATTACTTATGCTCCGCATTTTGCACTTATTTGAATCTTATATCACTTATATTATTTCTTTTATTAAAAGTTCTCATAAAGAAATTAATGTGATCTCAAAAAAATCACTATTCAAAATTTATACTTTGTATGGCTGTTATACATATAATGATTATATTAAAAGATTTACAGTTATCGAATTTTTCAGTTCTGGCATATGGATTTCTGAGTATGTATATCATATATATAAGTATGCCAGAAATTCTCGATGTTATATCGCCCATAAATGAGTCTCGTCCGCGGAGGCAACCCTTTGATTACACTTATTTTATCGATGAGGAGAAATATTTTTATGTAATTCGGTTCTGCATGTTCAGCCTGTGTTATATCATACCGTCAATTTATCTTATTAGTTGTACTATGTTTATGGCTTTTACGCAGCACGTTTGTGCAATGTACAAGATATTAGGGTAAGAAATTAATCACTATCTCGAAAAAAAATAGATAATTTACATAATTTACATTGCTCATAAAGTGAAACTTACAATTTGTTTATTAATTTTTAATGGTACATGTACAATTTTAAAGGACATGTACATAATTTATCGTTTTTTTTATTTTCTATATAAATGTCAAAATATTTTTCATTTTATATTCTTATTATTTATTTTTGCTTCTTATTTGTGACTTTTTTCATAAATAGTAATTAATTTTTTTTCTTTTTCTTTGCTTAGTGTCAACAAATTTGGTTTTGATAAGAGTAATGTTATTTTGATAGGTATCACGCGGAGCATTTATTTTACGGAAGCCCATCAGAAAATGATTTAAAACATGGAGTAAGAATGAGATGTAAGGACATAGCAATTTTTGTACGACTACATTACAGCATCCTACAGTTCGTATTACTTAATGTACACTTTATTTGAGCCTTGCCTTAAAGTTATCTGATTTTTCATGAATGCAATACTAAAGAATATTGTGATTTGCAAATTAAATTAAAAAGTAAGAATGACTCTTTATTTTTTATCGACTTTTTATACAATCAAAAAATTCGTTACTAGTATTAAATTAGATAATACAAATCATACTTTAAGAAATATTTTTTGATTAATTAATTAAATTTAGAAATAATTGTTTATAACTTATTATTCAATGTAATACAAAAATTATAATGATTCGTCTATTGATTTTATAATTACAAAAATGAAAAGTTAGCAATATTTTTACATATAAAAAGTATTTTTGTCATAATTTTAATATATTATAATGCAATTTTATATATATATATATATATATATATATATATATATATAATTTTTTTACAAGATTTGTTGATACACTCGAAACTTGTCACACAATATCATTTCTACTGGACCTCGTAACATGTATATGTGGATTAAGCATTACGTTAACGCAGGTATGCTGATAACAAAAATGTATAGATAATAATATTTTTAACAACTATCTCGAAGTGTGTTATCTCAAAGTGCTGAAATGAGATCTTTCAGATACCAAATATGATCGGCGATATGGAAGTAGCTATTAGATCTATAAGTTTAACTGGGTCAATGTTGGCTTATCTATATGTATATAATTACATGGGACAAAAAATCACGGACATGAGCTTAGGTATAAATGAGAAATTGTAGGTATAACTTACTTCTTTAATGATTATATATTTAATTATTTTTGAAAGTATTTTTGGCTATATTTTCGGTAATATTTAGTGTGTTGAAAATGAAATTTATCTGTTTAAGATAAAAAGAAAAAATTTATATTAATGTGAAATCTATTAAAAGAATGGGAAAATATATGTGTAAAGTGAATGTATTATTAAATACGATATTTGTACAAATACAAAAATATCTAATAAAATATACACCTATATATATATATATATAATTGTAATACTTCTCTAATAAAATATTATAAAAAGAACTTTTTTAAATTTATTTGTAATTGGGATCCAATTTTTATTTAATTAATCTACCTTAAATTAAATGTCTTCGTTATTTCATTAATTGGTAATTTACTTAGTTTCTAATGATTTAAAAATAAAAAAATTGATATTGCAGATACAACTCTGCATGGTACACTGCAGTCATTTCGGAACAGAACTCATTATTGATAATAATGAAACGATGCCTTCATCCGTTTTTCTGACTGCCTGCAAGTTTTATATAATGTCTGTACAGAGTTTTGGAATGGTAAGAAAATAATATATATTCGCTACATGCAAATCATAAAAATAAAGAATAAAAATGTGTTTTTATGTGAAGGTAATTCAAACGGCGGTCTCCTATTGCATGTTTCTCAAACAAATGTAAAAATATTTTTACTAATTACAAATAATGTAAAAAATACGCAAAAATGTCAAATGTCAAATATGTATTTATCGTTTTATTATATCAAAGATTCTTTTTAAAAAAATATATTATATAATATGTAAAGTGCTATTTCTTTCTAGATAAGTATGTGTACATTAAATGAATATAAAGTAAAATTTTGCAATATACTTTAATAAATAAAAAATATATTAATCTTTTTTAGAAAAATTTAAAATATTGGAATATAAAATGGCAAGAAAAAATAAAGACAGTAAAAAGAATGCAATGCTCAGACAATTAAAATATATTATGTGGTCTCTATTGGCCTACTAATAATAAAAAATTTACACACACACGTAAAGTTAATGTAACTATAACATTAAAAACCAAATTTCTCTACACTGCTTATTGTTAGATATTCGAGAACTGATCATGATATAGAGGAGATACCATGGAATCTCTTTATAAATTTTGCTTGAACCATTTATTTTCTCAGAAATACAAAAAAAATTCATCGAGTTTTCACTTTTTTTATTTTATTGATTTTATCTATAAATAGAATCTATCTATAGATATCATAATATTTTTAGAGATATTATTTTAAAAAGGTCCAAATTAACAGTCATTCGAAATAAAACTTACAAAACACTTATACTATACCCTTATAGTCATCAATTTCGTTCTACATTGTGTAAATACACTGTTTTCAACTTCCTTCACCATCCCTCGTTCCCTATAACAGTCGAGACATAACTGCAACGCCACCATTGCAGCAAAATAATCGCGTGCGTGAAAAACTAACAGTGCGGAAAAACTAACTGAAGATAATTTTCGGTTGCACACCAACACCAGATGTTTCCCTTTTCATGTTATTATCCGAATATTACACGCGATCTAACGAGCGATTTTTTTGGTGCCTCTTAAAAGTTCTCACTTTCGTGTTACAAAAATAATATAATATGTCTGATAATTCGAGAAATATAGAGAGAAAGAAAGAGACTTTGATTTCTTCATTTTTTCAATACTTGCACTATTCCTTACTTTTGAAAAAAATCTACATGTCTAGGAAATACACATATGTAAAATTCTATCTATTGATATAAACACATTTAAAATTACCAAAATCCGAATTTCGTTGTGTCCTATGAAATTCTATCTTTGCTGTTCAAAACCTGATCATGAAATGGATATACATGAAATAGTCGGCTATTCTATCGTCATTTTTATGTACCCTTATGTGTGAAATATCTGCTATATTTCAAATATTTATCCTCCCTCACTATTTTATTTTTTGCTCTACAATAACTGCAAAATAATCGCGATATTACCCCAGTACAAATAATCGGGTGCGTGATAAACAAACAGTACGGAAAAAAACCAATTAAAGGTAATTTTCGGTCGCAGACTACACACCCCAGATGTTTCTTTTCCCATGTTATTATCCGAATATTGCACGCTACCGATCGATTTTTTCGACGCCTCTGCAGAGTCCTCACTTCCGCGTTAAACGCATGTATTTTTCTTAAACGTAATTCGCATCAATAATGTCACAAAGATAATAGACAAAATTGCATAATAGAGCTACTCGAAATTCTAAAAAAGGGAGGGAGTTACTATAGGCAAAGAATAACATGTTCTCGCCTTCAACAGTCAGTTCGTCTACACCCTTCAAAGTAAATGGAACATCCCGAGGAGCGCTACTATAAGTTGAACCGATTTCTTTTATCGGCTACTGGATTATGGCCTTATCAGAGCGAGTGGAGTGCTCGTTTATTCAGGACGGTTATCACTATTTTGATGACATCATGTGTAGCTGCTCAGGTAATCGTAATATTGAAATATATATACAAACATACAAACACACAGACACATACATGTATTATTAATACTAATATTATATTAGTTATTATATATATATATATATATATATATATATATATATATACACATGTATTCTTGTATACAATTAGCATTAGTATAAATAGAATTTAAAAATAAGTATTTTATCATTTGTAAAAAAATTGTGTAATAAAGAATTTGATAAAGAATTTCTCATATGAGAAATTTAGTCAAATACATTACGATAAATAGCTCTAGATAATTGTGTTTAATTAGAATTAGTAATGTTTTTTTAGATATCGAGCTTATTTACGTATCCCCATATCGATTTAAACTTTATAAGCGAATTATTACCAATGATTGTGCCTACAGCAGGCAATCTGTTCCAGATATATACCCGTGTTATTTATATAGACAAAGTAAGTTTTGTCCGTCATTACATACTTAGTAAATTTTATAAGCAATAAAATATAAGCAAAATAAAGTAAATATAAAATAATACGTAGTAATAAGTACACAAATTCTGCCAATCTTTCAAAATTTAAATTTGATTGTTACGGTTATACTAATAGCGAGTAATGGAATAAAAGATCAGATATATATGCATTAATATTTATATATTTTTTTTCTTCTTATTATTTTATTCTTATAACATATGATTATTTATTTCTTAACGTTTTATGTCTCTTTAGTTTAAAGAATTATTTGAGCTTATGTGGAACGATTGGGCCCTTGAAAAAACAGACGATGAGATCAAAATCATGCATCAATATGCTGAAACTGCGAAATCAATCTCGATTTATTATTTTGGTAAACAACATACGAAACGTTTTATATATATAAGAAAAACGCAAACCTTTCTGACTGTGAGATTCAAATTGTATTTCTGAGATGATTATGCAACATCCATTTTATCAGCATCTTATTAATCATCGCATATATCATTTTCAATAACTGACTATTTCTCTTAGTAATACACAATCATAAATTTATTTATATATACAAAACATTCATATATAGTTTCATCATCAAATAAAATGAATATAAAGTTCTCTAGACACATAAGCATGATTATTTTATTGAGTAAATTTAAGTATCACTTTGCTCTCAATATTATTTGACTTTTTTTTTGATATTTATTTCATCATCAATGATATTCATCTTTTTTATATATTCTAAAAAAGTTAACTTTCGTACTATATTTCAAATCTCATATATATTTTTATATCTTTCATTTTCATATCTCATATATATTTTTAATCTTTCATCAAATTAAAGTCTTTTCAGATTTAATAAATATTGAATATAATAGAATTAAATGGAAAATAAAGTTTATATATATTTTCAAAATTAATATGTATTCAACATTTATGTTTATATCCACTTAAATCTTGTACATACTTTTTAAGCATAATAGAATCTTTGGATGGAGACCATACTGTGAAAAAAAATATGATCGCACATTCCTTACTGCGCTGTACTTATAATAAAATTTATATTTTCTCAAAATGGCTAATAACATAAAATTTACACTAAAAAACATTTACGATTTTCAGTTATATTTTACTCGATTGTGATCGGATACATTGTGTGGCTGTTCATGCCGGTAATTTCTGCCCATATACAACCTACGAACGAATCGCTCTTACAATCGGTTATTCATGTGGAATTTTATATTGATACAGAACAGCATATTTACTTCATTCTATTCTACCTATCTACCGTATTTATTCTTATGCCATTAATTTTTATTGCCAGTTCCACTTTATTTCTGGTTTTTGCGCAACATGTTTGCAGCATGTGCGAGTTGTTAGGGTAAGAAATTACTCTTCGCATTTAACTTTTAACCATTTACTTTATCTGCAAAATACATAAATATCATCAATATTTTCTTTCTTACACTTTCTCATTTATTATTTTGTTATTTTGTATTCTTTTCCCGAATAGTATATACAATAAAAGTAAAGTTGCTGATAATTTGACAGGAATCGCGCAGAGCGTTTATTTTATGTTATCGAGAATAAGGCGGAACGCGATTTAATTGATGGGACGAAAAAAGTTGCAAAAATATAGTTCTTCTTATACAACAACATTACAACGTTATAAAGTTTGTACTTTTATTTGTTTTAATACGTTTTATATAGGTTATATATAATGTTATATCTAATGTATCAGCACAATCCGATTTTTTATAATCTGCATAATAAGGCAAAATTGCTATTTAAAAACAAAAAGTCATTATGAACTGAATGATGTAGCTTTTACTTACTCTCTTGTTGCTTTTATATTATTTTATATTATTTTTTTAATTTCTAAACTATTATTAATAATACAGAGAAAGATCCTGTTTTAAAGTTATAATTTCTAATCATTCCTTTATATACTCCAAAATTACATTTTGAAGCTTTGTATATGATAATATAGATACGAAAAATATTATTCTTTCGTCGATTGAAACAATTTTAAAATTAAGATGCTTATAAAATTAAGCATCTTCAGCAAATTTTAAATCATATAAATGTTTATATCTACATATATATTTATATCTATATACAAAAACACTATTTGCATCATTGTTTTAATATGTATATGACTTTTTCACATTACAAGATTCGTTGACATGATCGAAACAAGTCACACAATACCATTTCTAATAGATCTATCAGGAGTAGTGAGTTCGATAAGTCTTTGCTTACTTAAGGTATGTTGTTAGAGAGCGCGGAAATATGTAAAACTTTATGTGTTATCAAAGTGTTAAAATGTATTCTTTCAGATACTAAATTATGATCTAAATTTTGAGAGTATAGACAGTGAATTTGTCCTATCTTTTGCTTTCATAATTGTGGTTGCGATTTATCTGATTATACCTAATTATGGGGGTCAAAAAATCACAGATAAAAGCTCGATTTTATGTGAGAAAGTGTAAGTAACAATATAATTCACAATGATATATTCAAAAGGTATATGTAAAATGTACATATAAATTACATATAATGTAAACTACATTTAATGTACTTAACTATATATAATGTAAAAGAAATAGAAAAAAGATAAGAAAAATTGAAAAAAATAATTAAATATTATTAAAAAGAATAAATATTTAAGATAAATATGTAACTAATTGCAAATGTTTATTTTAAAAATTATGAGAGCTTTTAACAAAAAAATCCATAAAATTTATCATACTAATAATATTAATTTTATTTATGATGAAATAAGATATTTCCTTTAGTTTGTTATTCGATAACTTTTTTATTTGATTGTTTTCATATGATGCAAGAATTATGATCCTGCAGATACAATTCCGCCTGGTACAATGCAGATGTTTCACAGCAGAAATCATTAATGCTAATAATGGGTCGACGATTTCATCCGCTCGTCCTAACAGCCTGTAAGTTTTATCCGATGTCTTTGTCGAGTATCAAAATGGTAAGAAAATAATATATAGTCTATACGTGCAAAATGCAATAATAAAGAAATAATAAATATGTGTCTTCTAAAGATATTTCAAATGGCGATATCCTATTGCATGTTTATGAGAAAAGTTTGAAGTTATTCGCTAACTATACATAGATGTTGGAACATGGTGAGAAAACATGCGAAAGTAATGTGTCAAATATGCACTGTACTTTTAAAATCAAAATATTTTTATAGAAAATTAGTGTTTTATGCTGATTTATAGATAAAAACGCATGTGTACACGTGTAAATTTAAATGTAGTATGTATAACTGTAGTAATAACTGAAATAAATCAGTAATACACCTTGCCCAAGCATTGTGAATTTTTATTTGATAAACAGAAGATTGGAATATATAAAGCAACATTAAAATTAAATATAAAAAGGCACAAAAAATTAATTACTGAATAATAACTAAATTGTTATGTATACTGTTTCGATTTTATAATAATAAATATTTTATATATATATATATATATATATATATATATATATATATATATATATATATAATTACACAATATTGTTGAATGTTAGAGAGAAAAAAAGAAAAAGTGTATGTGTGAGAGAGAGCCCTTGTCTATTTTATTTTGTTTAAACACTTTCTACTATTTTTTATTTTTGAAAAATCCACATGCTAGGAGATACACATATATGTAATGTATCTAATGTGTCTGTAATATTAAACGCGTAGAATTACTAAAATCTGAATATTATTGTGCTCTACGCAACGCTATTCTAGATTCAAAAACTGATTACAGAATGGAAAAAATAGCCAACTATTCTATGCTTCTGAAAAGTTCTCACTTCCGCGTTAAACGCTCGCATTTTTCTTAAACATAATTCACATCAATAATGTCATGAAGATAAAAAAGTAGATAATAGAGATATTGGAGACGCTAAAAACAGGACGAGATAACTATAGGCGAACAATTAACAATCGAATAATATGTTTCTCTTCAGTCTATTCTTTTACATCCTTCGAAGTAAATGGAACATCCCGAAGAGCGCTACTACAAGTTGAACCGATTTTATCTGTCAGTTACTGGATTATGGCCTTATCAGAGCACATGGAGAGCTCGTTTCTCAAGAACCATTATCACTATTATCATGCTATCATGTTTATTTACTCAGGTAGTCGCAATGTTGATATATATATATATATATATATATATATATATATATATATATATATATATTGTATATAATATACATAAAATACTGTATAAGTATAAAACTATTATACATTATAAAAATATGTATATATTTTTTATACAATAAACAGTATAAACAGAATTAAAACTTAATAAATAAGTATTTTATCATTTTATGTAAAAATTGTAAAAAAATTGTAATAAAGAATTTGATAAAGAATTTCTCATATGAGAATTGAAAACGTTTCGATAAATAACTTTCGAGAATTGTATCTTATTAAAAAATTATTTTTTCTAGATATCCAGTATATTTACATCCGATGTTGATTTGGATTTTTTAAGCGATTCATTAATAATGATTATGCCTACAGTAGGTAATCTGACGCATTTGTATTCACGTCTTGTTAACATAGACAAAGTAAGTTCCGTCAATCATTAGTAAATTTTATAATCAATAAAATAAAAGTAAAACAAGATACCTGTAACATATTAAAAAAATCGTATATAATAAATAAATTTGTAAATCTTTCAATATTTAAGTTTAATTATTACGGTTATAGTAATATAGACTCTCTGATGGAATAAAAGATCAGATATATGTATTAATAACTAATTAATTTCTTTATTACTTTTATCCTTTAACATCTTTATTCGTATAACAAATATGATTATTTACTTCTTAATGTTTTATGTCTCTTAAGTTTAAAGAATTATATGAGCTTATGTGGGACGATTGGGCCCTTGAAAAAACAGACGATGAGATCAAGATCATGCATCAATACGCTGAAACTGCAAGAGTAGCAACAATTTATTGTTCGGGTAAGAAAAAAATATAAGACGCTTTATATATTAAAAAAGAGTGCCCGCGTTTCTAACTGTGAGATTCAGATTGGGTATTTTTGTGTATGAGATAAATGTGCAACCTCTTTCAGCATTGAACATTACATTAATTATCATATATATCACTTTCAACAAATGATCATTTCTTTTAGTAATTCGGAGTCATGAACGTATTTATATTATCCATTCATTTTATACATATATAGTTTTACTAAATAAATATAAAATTCTCTATACATAGACATGATTATTTTATTTCGTACGGTATCACTTTACTCCTAATTTTTTGGTTTTTATTTTGATATTTATTTTATTGTCAATAATATAGATTTACCTTTTTTATATACTGAAGAAATTGACACATTTGTACTATATTTTATGTTTTACATGCGTATTTATAATCTTATCAAACTCTTTTCAAATCTTATAAATCTTAAATATAAAATATATATATACAATATATATATATATATATATGCGTGTGCGTGTGTGTATACATACACACACACAGGGTATTTAACATGAGGTGTCACATCGAAAATGTACGAGTAGATCTTGTTATTTGGAAACAATTTTTTCTTTACAATATTGAGGCATCAATAAATAATTTTCGAGTTATAAGCGATTAAAAATAAAATTTTTCGTAAACTAAGCCTTGTGGAAATAAAATATTAACAAAACCACACGCACATTTTACAATTAATTTCAAGTAGAGTTTACTTCGATAAAATTTTAATTTAAGGTTTAGTTATAAAGATGATGACATGATGACAAAAATTGGGAATATGCAAAAAATGATGACTTTCCATGACATTTTTGCTGAGGAAAAATTGTCTCCAAATAACAATATATGTATACTTGTATATTTTCGGTGTGACACTTTATGTCACGAGACCCTGCTCAAAATTAATTCACATTTTAAATTATATTGCATATTTAATTTAAGATTTTTCAAAAATAATAATTATTAACATAAAATTTAGATTAGAAAACATTTACGATTATTTTCAGTTACAATATATACGATTATAATAGGATATATTGTATGGTTGTTCATACCGGTAGTTTTTGGCATAATACGGCCTGTAAACGAATCTCTCTTACAATCAGCTATTCATGTGGAATTTTATATCGATGTAGAACAGTATATTTACATTGTTCTGTTCTACCTATCTATCGTAATTATTCTGATACCATTAGTTTTTCTTGCCAGTATGAGTTTATACCTGACCGTTACGCATCACGTTTGTGGTATGTGCGAGTTATTAGGGTAAGAATTACTTCTCGTAATTAACTTTTAATTATTATACAAAAATACTAGAAAATGGAACGTACAGTTGCTTGTTGTTTTATTAATTCTTAAATGCATGAATTTCATATGTGATGTATGAGACAGTATTTATTTTATCTGCAGATTAAATATCAGAACAATTTCCTTTGTTATATTTTTAATTACTTATTATTATGTTATTTTGTATTCGTTTTGCAAATAATTTGACAGGAATCGCGCTGAGCACTTATTTTATGTGATCAAAGATGAGACGGAACGTGATTTAATTCGCGGGACGAAAATAAGTTGCAAAAATATAGTCTTTTTTGTACAGCAACATTCCAACATTATTCGGTTCGTACTTTTTTGTTTTATATATATTTTCATATACATTTTTATATACATTTTATACACGTTATCTAAAATGCATTAGCATGACGACTTTTTATAAGTAATCTGCGTAATAAGGCAGAATTGTTATTTAAAAGTAAAAATTATTATAATAACTAAACAATGTTACGTTCACTTATTTCTGTTGCTTTCATATAATTTATCATTTCTTTATATATTTTCAAAAATTACATTACATTAAGCTTTGTATATAATAATGCATATATACCGAGAAAAACATTATTATTCTTCCGTCGTGTAGAACAACTTGAAATGCAAGATAATTATAAAAGCACTTCTAAACACACATATAAATGTTTATATCTACTTATATATTTATATCTATATACAAGAAGCACTGTTAGTATCGTTATTTTAATATGTATATGACTTTTTTCACATTACAAGATTCGTAAACTTAATCGAAACAAGTCACACATTACCATTTTTAATGGATCTAATAGGAATGGTGACGTCGATAAGTTTTTCATTACTGAAGGTATATTGTTAGAGAGAGCAGAAATATGTAAAGCTTTACGTGCTATTAAAATGCTAAAATGTATTCTTTCAGCTAAGTTTTGGTACGAGAATTGAGAATAGAAGTGCAATTTTTGTATCTATTACTTTAATAATTATAGATATGATTTATTTGATCCTACCAAATTATATGGGTCAAAAAATTACAGATATGAGCTCGATTTTATGTGAGAAAGTGTAAGTAACATCTTCAAAATGATATATTTAAAACTATATTTAAAATGTATATATGCACATATATATAACATATACAGACATATATACGTCTCATATAAAAGAAATAGAGCAAAAGAGAAAGAAATTAAAAAAATAACTAAAAAAAATATGTATATTAAATTTTCTCAGAAACATTTTACGTGATGTTTCAAATTTTCCGGAAGTATTTAAGATAATATATATTGTATATATAAACTAATGAAAAAAAAACTATATTTAAAGCTACAAGAATTTTTGACAAAAAACCGATATTATGTTCTATATATAAATTCCATATAATGGGTCATATTAAAATATTAATTTTATTTATGATTAAATACAATACTCCTTTACTTTGTTATTTAAGAATTTTTTAATTTGACTGTCTTTACACAATGCAAAAATTATGGTCCTACAGATACAATTCCGCCTGGTACAATGCAGATGTTTCACAGCAGAAATCATTATTGCTAATAATGTGTCGACGATTTTATCCGCTTGTCCTGACTGCCTGTAAGTTTTATCCGATGTCTTTGCCGAGTTTCAAAATGGTAAGAAAATGATATATCATAGTCGATACGCACAAAGTGCAATAATAAAGATACAAAAATGTGTCTTTTAAAGATATTTCAAATGGCGGTTACCTATTTCATGTTTATGAGAAAAATTTGAAGTTATAACTACAGATGTTGGAATAAGGCGAGAAAAGACGTAAGAATAATGTTTCAAATATGCACTAATCTTTTAATATCAAGTATATTTTTATAGAAACAATCATTATTGCTTTATAATGATTTATAGATAAAAACATGTGTATTTGTTCATATACACATGTAAATTTGAATGTAGTATGTATAATAATACAAATAAATCTATAATACACCTTGGCCAAGCATTGAATTTTTTTGATAAGAATCGTGAACTTCATTATCATTTGCTCAGGCAATCGCAATTATTAGTGTATGTATATTTGATTAATATTCATATAATTTATTTCTAAATATTGAAAAAAAGGATTAAACAATAGTTAAAAATATTTGAATATAATTAAAACTTACAATTTATAATTAAATATTTATAACATTTTATTATAATATTTATTATAACACTATTTCATCGAATTTATGTTAAAGAATTTGATCATGTTAGTAATTTAGTCAAACATGTCTTAATAATTATATTTCCGGATAAATAATATTTTATATTTTCTTTCTTGTTTTTATCAATAGCTAATAAAATGCTTAGATATTAAGTGTTTTTACATTTGAAATTATCAATATCAATAGCTAATAAAATGCTTAGATATTAAGTGTTTTTAGATCTAAAATTACTATGAAATTTGTAGCCGATATGATATCAATGACTTTACCTACATTAGGTGTCTTATCTTAGATGTATATATGTATCAAACTCATATAGACAAAGTAAGCTCGGTCGATCTATTATTAATTAAGTGCTTAATACTTAAAATTTAACAGGACTTATTTTCAATTCTAGTACATAAATGTTTATAAAAAGAATTTTTTACGATTATTAAGTTACTTATTTAATGGTATATTTTTATCACACACATATAGGAATACTTATGCATAATATTTATGTATATTATTATAATATATTATTAAAATAATAAAAATAATTAAAATATATAAATATATGTCATAATAAAATAAAGTTGCAAAATATTTTAGAATGCAAATCCGATGCGGATGTGATAACATATCGATTAGTAGCCCAATAAACGAAACACAGATTAATCTGGATTTTTTTCTAAATATATTTTTAAGAAAAATTTCAAGACTTTTTGCTATCTTTGTGATAATATATAACATATTGCTTATACCGAAAGTTTTTGACATCATCTTGCTTTTAAACGAGTTCACCCCTTTCTAAATTATTCATTAATGAACGATACAATTATTTGATTACTGATGTGCATCGAATTTTTCGTCATATCGTTAATATATGCCTATTCTACTCTGTTTATGGTTTTTACATAATATGTTTGCCAGATGTGCAAATTATTGAAGTAAGAAGTTTTCAAATTTGACTACTGTTTGCGAAAAAAATATATATATATATTATAATTTGTAAATTACTAATATAAATTATCAAAAGTAGAACGTACACCTAATTTAAAAATACCTGAATATACGTATAAATATCATCAAATGGTAATAAAGATATCACTTTCTTTTATATTTATAAGAAAATAATTTTCACAAAAATATAATTTTCATCTTGTATCTTATTAATTTTATTTTTCTTATTATTTACTCATCGCTTAAAATAATTTCCTAATCAAAAAATTAAATATTGATAAATTATCTAATTATAATTAATACAATATGCATTTATTCTTAAAAAACACATTTCTTATCTTGCGTCATGATCACGCTTTTTCATATTTCATACAAGATTTATTGATGTAATCAATAGTTATTACATTATGCTTAATGAATTTCACAGGATTTACGTTCGTGGCAAGATTTACAAGTATGTTAATAAAGATATGTCGATAATGAAAGCAATGAGTATAATTTTCTTTAATTAAAGTATTGAAACAAGTCTTTCAAATATTAACCATTGTCAAAATCAAAAAAGCTAAGAAATATATTTTTCACTGTTATCCGTTTATGTTTGATTATATTGGATAAAAAGTTACGAATATATAAAAACTCAAATATATGTGAAAAAGTTATGTAATATATTATATTTTTAATAATAAATATATATATTCGATGTCTATAGAGTTCTGATAAAAACGTAGATTAAAAAATATAAAAGAACATATGTAGCGATCTTGTTTTCAATGCTATTTTAAAACTTCTTTGTGTAAAAAAAAAAAAATCATTAGTTGCAAGATATAAATAAGTATATGCAGATACGATATTATAAATAAATAAATTTGTAATAATATATTGATAGAGTATGTAACGTCATTTTTCGAGTAATAATAATTGAAGTATTTGAGACAGCATTAGTAAAATGTAAAAAAAAATCACGGAAATGCGTACTGCAAAAGTATTCGTGCTAGTAATATAATGACCAATTTGTTTATTATTAAAATAAATAATTTAAAAACTTGTGTATATAACATTATACAATACACCCAACAATGAAAATAATGATTTTCAACAGCCACGTATATATTTAAATAATATAACATGAATAATTAATTTTAATCGCTAGTCAATTAATAAATCAGGATATATACATATATTGTTCGACCAATACTAGCTATAATTATTTTATTGAAAAGGACCAAAACCTGATGGTCAAAAAATATACAGGGTGTCCGGTAACTAACGGACCAATGATTAAGGGCGGATTCTCTGGCCAATTTGGAGACGATTTTTTCTTAGCAAAAATGTTGAGAATTTTCGAGTTAAAAGCGATTGAAAAAAATGGGTTTTTTGAAAACTAAACGTTTTGGAGTTAAAAGTCTAACGTAATTACATTCTTCAGTTAATTTCAGGTAGAGTTTACTAGAATAAAATTTTAATTTGAGCTTAGTTATAAAGATACATAATGACAAATATTGGAAAGTTGTAAAAAATGATGACCTCTTTCGACATTTTCGCTGAGGAAAAATCGTTCCCAAATTGACCAAAGAACCCACTTGTAATCGTTGGTCCGTTAGTTACCGGACACCCTGTATACATATATTGTTCGACCAATACTAGCTATAATTATTTTATTGAAAAGGACCAAAACCCGATGGTCGAAAAATATATACCATACCCTAATATAACATTGTAAGAGAAAAATATTTTGCCTGCGTTGCTAAAATTAAAAAAACTCTTAAGAATGCATCGTTTACAATTTATGTAAAGCTTCGATAGTTCACGATCCGCCAAAATTTCAACGAAAGATCAATCGCGAGGTGGAGTCACGGCGAGGCGAGGCGACGTCTGCGGAGGCCGATTTAATAACATTAATGAAGGAATAGCTCGCGAAAAGGGATGAAGACGAAGGGTGAAAAGGGCAGAGGAGAAGCTCTCTCTCGTCTCCCCTCGATTTTCCTCGCCGCTCCTCCGCCATTCTTTATCCTTAGAGGAAATAAAACCAGAGTTGTAAGAGCCGGATGATTAATATCCAGCCGACAGTTTGTGAAGCGGGCAGCCAATAAACGGGATAAAAATACTCGTGAAAAATAGCGCGCTCATTAGGGGTACAGTGACATCTGCGACTGCCTGCTTCGCGCTCGGAGGAGCTCGAGAAGGCGGGTCGACAGAAGAGAACGGTAGGGTGAAAGGAAAAGAAAGGGAAAAGAAGACGAGGTATTCGAGAAGCGAGGGCACCACGGAGAGGGACAGATTTATTAAAGTAATGGCAGATTATTTTAATATTCCGATATGCCCTCTCGCGCAATTCAATAATCCGCGCGCCTAAGCAACCCTTCCCGTTGAGGGATCATTATTTCGAAGACTGGACTGTCACTTCCTTCCCTTGATGTGTATCAAGAACGAATAGATTCGTTAAGACGGTTTTTTCAACGGCAAAATCTCCCTTGTTCTCGATACGTATTCGTAGCATTAAGTGTGCGATGTGTGAATATGAGCCAATATGTATATATCGATTAGTTCTGCCAAGAAGCTCGGCAAAGAATGTGCACCGTTTATTTGAATTGGAAGTAGCTGGAGCTAAATTTTTGCCGAGAGTACAGCGGATATAACGCAGCTGTTGGCTTATGAAAGTTGTAAGTGTTGCTGCTAAAGCAGTGATATCTGAGTAATCGATTCGACCACACACACACATACAACATGGCTGTTATTTTACTTTTCCTTATTAACATGCTCCGTTATTAACATCTATATTTTTCTTTGTTGCGTGAGAAATAAAAACAGCGTGAGAAGATACATTTTATACGAGTGCCATAGGATAATAAAGACTGGACGATAAAAAATACATTAGAGAGCATAAGATAAATGGGGATAATTAACAGCGGGATAAATGAGTTGCAGTCTAATGATAAAATCGATAGTCATCGCGAAGTCGTTAAGAAATCACGACTATTAATCAAACATTCATCCTAGAATTATTAAAAAAGAATGACTGTGAAATATCATATCGAGAGACACGATGATACTGTATACTCATTCCATTACACAATTACACTGATTAATTCCCAGTGTATAAATTTCATCGCTACAGTTTAATTCTAATTTCGGCAATGGCGTAAAAATATATGACGGGAAAAATTTATCGCCGTGCACAATATATGATGTTTGAGAAGAAACGAATAGTAATTCTTCGGAATAAGTTAAGTCGCAGATGCACATCGGGATAATTTCCTTCTTGGCATTAGTCCGCGCACGGTATCGTTTTATTTCGGAGTATCATTGCGCGAATCGAGAAGAAAGGAGCTTATCTTTTCATTCTTCCTCCCTCGGATCGTTTCGGTTTATTTGGCAAAACTGAGAGTCTACTTTACCGAAGAAAAGACAAACCGTTGCCAAACAACATATATCCGCGGAAAACTGCATTTATTAATTATGAGATACCAATCGCGCGACTCGTTGCAAACAAAAATTACGTCACAAAAATTAGCTTTCGTATTACTTTTAAGAGAAACGATATGTTGCAATTACCCATCCCAGAGAAAAAGAGAGAGAGAGAGAGAGAGCTTAACGTATTCCACAACATATAACTACAGCTACCAGCTGCCATTATGGGCATCGAAACTCCGATCGCAGCCATCGGAGCACTGATATACGC